GTATCCTGTTACCTTTAACTGCCTATTTTGTAAATATGCTACACTTGGAATTACTGTCATCTTAGACACATTGTACTTCCATATCTTTAGTAAGCTTTAGTCACTGTGTTCTTGTAACCTTGTGATATGATAGTACTAACTATCTATATTGGGTAATTGATTCCTTAATCATTCTTAATGTATTGATGTCATAGATATGGATTTATCTTCTGGTCGGGAAACCTGAGGAAACCAAAAGGAAACCTCAATTTTTATTTCCCACCGCCAAATAACTGGAGTTATTGAGCCCCAGCCTACAATAACTGGAGTTATTTGAAGGTCGGGAAACCTACACTTATAAAAAATAAATCAATTATGTAATAAAATAACAGCTTTTTATAAAAGCAACGAATACTTGATCAACATGCATTGCGAATATCAAATTTCTAGAAACAAGTTTATATAGCCTCAATTTATACATTTTAAAGTGGAAAATTTTAATTTGTAGAAAGAATAATTTTATTAAATCATGGAGAAAATTAGGTCGCTATTTTTGGATAGGTAGTCTAATGATTTTTTGTTTCTAATGCGAAGAGTTTCCGCTCTTCTAATAGCATCTTCAACGGTCCATCCTTCAGAAGCAGCGTATTCTTCACAAGCCTTGATGATTTTTCTTCTACGCATGTAAAAGCTTTTTTGCGATGAATACCAACCAGGGTGATTGGCGTTCATAAACTCTACAGAGTGATTACCACCCAGACCTTCTTTCCATTCCCTATACAGATCTGTGACAGTGTGTACACCGGTACTCAATCTGAATGAATTTGAAAGGGGTCTGGAATTACTACGTTCGGCTGGGGAATTGCAAGTTGGTTCGGCTGTAATTTGCTGTGTTGTTACAGCTGTGGTACGAATCAATGGCTGGCAGTCCCTTTCTCCTTGTGGCCACTCAATGTTTATTTGGAGTGGGGCTCTTCCAGTGGAGATATCTGATATTTTTTCTAAGACTGATGATATTTGTTGAGCGAGGGCCTCGTATGCGCTTCTGGTACTGTCTTCGATATTAGCCAACTTGCGTTCAACCAAAGGAATTACACGCTGCAACATGATACTCTCTTGGTTTTCTTCTGCTTGGGAAGATGCTAACAATTGTCTTCAAAGTTGAAATTAGTAACAAGGATTAATTAAATGCTTTTTTTTTTTTTTTTACCTTTTAAATGAGAGGTACTCTTCATCTTGAAACAAATCATGCTTCCAGATAGGATGACTAGGAAATTTTTGCTGCATAAAGACAGAGTCTTGCAAAAACGTGATTCTGATCGTTAACAATAACTTCAAAAAACCTTCGGCAGATACGGTTTGCTCAGCATGGCCTTCGTGAATTTTACTTAACCACACACTTGCCTCTGGAAACAATTTTGCTTGCAAGTTTTCGGATGGAATGGTGGTGTTGCGGGGAAGAAAAAAAGTACCTTGTTGAGGAAAACCAGCCAAGCTACGCATGATACCTCTAGGAAGACCTGTCAAATATGCACCATTCATAGATGAATTATTCCAACGACCCATTCGACGAATGTCAGATTCATCGACACCTTGTAAATCTGCCATTCTTGCAGCAGCACCACGGTTAACATGCGTCTTTTTTGAAGATGTAATATTGCACGCCTTGAATGCCTTATCAATTGCGCCTAGATGACTGTGGTAAGTCCATTCTTGGGTAGGATCTTGAACATGCTTCAAAATCTTCACATTAAACCAATTTTTTGAGTGGTCGAAATTGGGAAATGGTTCACCTTCCATGTGGAATCTGGAAAAAAAATAAACACCAAGCATCATGAATGGGCAGATTTCAACTCTTGCATTTCTTAAGCAAGCTCCAATTTCCAGTCTTCCGTACTTGTTAGTTTTTCCTTGTCTCATCACCAAAACCATAGCAGGGCATGCACCAGATCCTTCATTCTCGATGTTGACTAATTGTAAATCTGGAAGCTCTGCCTTACGGGCCGATTCACCTCTTAACAGACAAAAATGGGACAACAAAAAAGATAGACCATTACGTAAATCCTTAACGGTCTTTTGCTCGAAGTAGTACGCTGTGATATCCGCTATTTGGTCAGTGGTTGTATAACCATCCATAATAGTACCAACTCCTCTATCCTCAAAATTCGCTTTCTTTACTTCTTCTTCTTCTCTTCTAACTCTCTCAAGTAATGGGGCAAAGGTTTCTCTAGGATGAGTGTTTGAGTTGATTTTCATCTGGCGTTGGCGTTCCCACAGATGAACTATAGCGGCACCATATTGACTTAAAGTAGCAAATCTAATTACACGAGCAGGAGATTCCTCTCCATCGTTGGCCTTCTTTCTCTTACTACGGTTTGATCTTCCAGCCACCTAAGTATGCGGTCAAATTATTAGCAAATGGAATTTTTTTTATAAAAATAGAATACTTACAGCATCATCTAAAAAGAAGTGCGCCTTTTCTCCATTGACAATGTAACGTAATTCCAATGATTCATGAGCAAACTTTGAATCACACCATCTACGATATTCTTCAATCTTGGGTTCATATGCTCTCTTTGTATTCTCAGGACGTGAATTAAGTTGTGATTGATTTGTTTTTTCCAATGATTGTCTCATTTCTAATTCAGTTTGGACACGAGCAGAGTGGACAGTGCGAGATGTTGATTGAGTGTTATTATCCATTTTTGAGATGTTTTAAATTAATAAAGATGAATGAAACATTTTAATTCATTCGTTTTTATACAAATTATGATTTTAAACGCAATTTGTAATTATACATCCGTGAACTTCTAGCACTTTCTTTATAGAAAATTCGATTAAGTCTTTCATAAATCACAACAGTAAAAGACTTATGAAAAAGTTAGCTTATGTACATGATTTATAGTAACCTTAAGATGTATCCTAATTGCAAGTAGTAGATTAAGAGCTTCCAGAACCCAAATTATTCACACATGTTTGACGTTAATGCAGGTACACACATAAGCACTTTTTAAAACACGTCCAATCATTGAGCGTTATTTGGGGAAATCTGAACTTGAATTTATTTTAGCTGGGATACCTACAGGCCGGTTTCCCGGGAAGGTTTCCCACTACAAATTTTTTAGATAAGTCTTATTTATTTAATGTAGCAACAATATAGCAGATCACCACAATACCGTTTCTGATATAAGCTTAACAATAAATATCATAGTAAGAACTATAAGGATATTACATCACAAGTCTAATTTAGTACGTCTGAGAAATACTTAAAATTTAGTTTAAATCAAAGAGAGTTAAGAAGACTTAACATTTATTAGAATTAGACTAAATTAGTGACTATGTAATAATCGTATAAATTTTTGGTTAAGCAATGATAACTTCAAGATTGCACTAGCTATATGAACACAGCAGACATTTTTTCATATTAACACTCGTATATTTCCTTTATTATTAAAGACATCTCATAAACAGTCTCAAACTACTCCTATAGTCTTTCTATAATTTTACTTTACTTTAAAACACGACACTTCCGAAAGAATTTCATTATTTAAAAATACCACCACCACAATTACTATTTCTTTTAATGATATCATGAATACAATAAGAAATTTAATTATCACATCCTAGAAAGGATAAATGTTAGTATAAATGTCAACCATGAATCACATATGACCCTGCTTTTTTCAATCCTATCGCTGAATTCTGTACACAGCGCAAAATCTTGTGACGAGTAAATACTTATTCTCGGAGGTACAAAACATTGATTAGGTTCGTGCTATAGAATATTAATAGATACTGTGATAATTGAGAATAAAAAGGGAAATGTAATTGAAAAAATAAAGCAAGTAAAGAAATGAGACTCTATAATCCTTTATTATAAGTTCGAGAGTTTGTCATGATAAAAATAGAGAGCCTTTTTATATTCAATTATTACTTCATGATTTTTCCTGCGCAGATCGAATTGACTATTTACCCGCAAAGTGGGAAATGGTAGAATTAGATTTAAAAATCAGTTACATATGAAACATAGCTTATTGTTATATACAAGGAGCTAGTTGACCCATATCCGGCACTTCTAGAGCATTATAGTTTATCCATTCAATGACAGGATCCTTGATGGGATTACCAAAATAAATTTATCAGAAACTAGAAGATTCGGCAGCTACTCGACCAATCCAGGAACGATTATAAAATCTGATCTCAGTTTGACATACGAGGGAGCTGGTACTGTGTCGTAACAATAGGAATGTATTCGCAATATGGTACTTATAATACATAGGTTATATGTATTATAATTGAGTGGCAAGATAAGAGTAATTGTATTCGTGGAATTAGGCGTCAAATACAACAGATATTGAGCATAAATATTATCATTTTCATTTGATGTTTCTACTACGGTTGATCCATCAAATTAATATTTATATACTCAGTATAGCAGGGCTAAATAAAAAAGCATGTCATTTATTTATTATCACCAGAGTACTACATCAAGACCCAATAAGACGATAAAAATTCTCTCAGAACTTTTTAATTTTATATATCTATAGTTTTGTCTTGTTGACCATCATACTTGTTATAGTTAATTATTAATTTTTTCGTCCAATAAATTAAGTGGTAACGAGTTTCTAACATTATCAACTTTCATTTTGTTAAGCATGCAAAGCAATTTTGGAAAAAAAGACGGGTGAATAATTGATTTTTAAAAATCAGCACTTTTTTTAGCTACATCTCATCCCTTGTTAGAAAAAAACAAAGGTCTAATACCACAGTGTAGAAATAGAAATGTTTTGGAATCCGTTAAATAAATGGCTACTAATGGAGTACATTCCTCTATAGTTTCCCTTGTTCTGTCCGTCAATGTATTTATGAAGTCATCAGATTTAAAAAAAAATTGAAATTCCGTTATTGGCTAAAGAAATCCAGACGTCATCATTCTCCCTGGCGCAGTCGGTTTTTTTTTATAAAATTTTTTTTTTTCCGTTTCTCTTTTTTTCTTTCTTTAAAACTGCAAACATTGTAAGATGCTCCTAATCAGTTTTTTTGACGAGTAAGTATAAAAAAAAGAATGATTAAGATCATAAACACTATTCTAATGTCGTTAATGTATAGGTTTTTCCGCGGATTGACTGATCTTGCCTTCCTGTTGCTGTGGTTTTTTTGGTGCTTGACCAAGTTTGCTTTCTTTTTCCTTCGGGAGAAGATAAGCAGTGACTTTGTGTCTCTTTGGCGTGGTGTGAGAAAAAGACGTGTCAATTATGACAATGTCTGTGTCCGTTGGGGTGATGATGATGCCCTCATCGCTGACATTAGACGTCTTGCAGCTGAGCCTTCGTCTTCTCGCGTTTGTGCTTCTTCCGCTGTTCCCGTTTCTCTTCCCTCTGCCGGTTCTCTCCCTCTTCGTGAGGTTAGCAACCAACCTTTTGCTTTGGCTTCTCTTTCGCCCTTGCAAAAATCAGGGTTCGGCTGTTACAGCCTCGATTGCGTTTGTGTTGTCGGTTTGCCTTGCCTTTCTCCTGGGTTTGTGCCTCCACCCCTTCAACCTTACCAGCCCAAATCCCATGTTCCTGCCTTTGCTTTCGCTTGCGAAGCTATAGTCCAGGCATGGGTACAAGAATACGCACCTGTTCTTGTTTCCTCTGCGGTTTCTTCCCCTTTTGGGGATAACGTAGATCCAGCGGTTTCTTCCCTTCATAGGGATAACGCTGAAGAAGCGGTTTCTTCCCCTTGTGGGGATAACGCTTTCTCTGCGGTTTCTTCCCTTCTTAGGGATAACGCAGATCCAGCGGTTTCTTCCCTTCATAGGGATAACGCTGAAGAAGCGGTTTCTTCCCCTTATGGGGATAACGCTTTCTCTGCGGTTTCTTCCCCTTATGGGGATAACGTAGATCCAGCGGTTTCTTCCCTTCATAGGGATAACGCTGAAGAAGCGGTTTCTTCCCCTTATGGGGATAACGCTTTCTCTGCTGTTTCTTCCCTTCTTAGGGATAACGCAGATCCAGCGGTTTCTTCCCTTCATAGGGATAACGCTGAAGAAGCGGTTTCTTCCCCTTATGGGGATAACGCTTTCTCTGCGGTTTCTTCCCTTCTTAGGGATAACGCAGATCCAGCGGTTTCTTCCCTTCATAGGGATAACGCTGAAGAAGCGGTTTCTTCCCCTTCTGGGGATAACGCTTTCTCTGCGGTTTCTTCTCCTTATGGGGATAACGCAGATCCAGCGGTTTCTTCCCTTCTTAGGGATAACGCTGTCCCAGCGGTTTCTTCCCTTTTTAGGGATAACGCTGAAGAAGCGGTTTCTTCCCCTTGTGGGGATAACGCTTTCTCTGCGGTTTCTTCCCTTCTTAGGGATAACGCAGATCCAGCGGTTTCTTCCCTTGCTAGGGATAACGCTGATGAAGCGGTTTCTTTCCCTTCTGGGGATAACGCTTTTACCTCGGTTGTTGGTGGTGCTTCCGTGTCTGGTGTGGGCGATGAAGGTTTGCTTTCTCCCCTTCCTTCTCCTTTCTTCCGCGGGGCGTTTGCTTCCCCGGAGTTGGTTCCTCTTCCGTCCGCTCTGTCCCGTCTTCCCCCTTTGGAGGATGATGTTTTGGGTGGCAAGCGAAAAACTCCCTCTCCTTCCCCCACCACATCTCCCCGGGTATATCCCGTTTCCTCTCCTTGCCTTCGAGCATCGTCTCCTTCTGGAGAAACCACTTCTTTTGTGGTTGATTATTCTGGTGTTCTGACCCCCCCTCGCGTGATTGCCAGGCCTAGGCTTTCACGCGCCAAGAAAAACAAGAAGCCGGAGTTGAAGTTGCCCTTTGCTGCTGGTAAGTAAAATTATAAATCATGGTCTTTATTCTCTCTGCTAACAAATATACGGTTTTTATTTTTTAGAAATGCAAAACGACGTTGAGCCGGAGGAACCGGATACGAAGAGAGTTCGCTCGCGGGAATCGTAGTCCCTGCTCCTTCTTCTAAACAAAAAAATAATAATAATAAATATTTATTTAAAACATTTCTATTCCTCTGTTGCGACGTACTAAATTACATGTTCCTTTAAACGTAATAAAAAAGATTCCTTTGTCACTTTTTTTTCGGTACTGTCGATTTAATACATCCACAATGTAGGACGGTAAAGTTGTCGAATTGGACGAAACGTTATTTATGCAGTGATTCCTTTGACCCTTGATCAACTAGCGTTAAAATCCGATCCAAAACTGGTAATGTTGGATGTTTCAATTTTTTAAATTTTAGTATATATCTCATCCATTTTGCACATGGCCTTCACAATTGGAAAAATATTGAAAACTCTCAGATACTTTTAAAAATAAGTTTTGAAGAGAGAAACATGTTGACAATTTTTCTCGAGTAGTAATCTGCGCATTCGCAATGCTTCCTGATTTCTCAAGATTTGAAATTGTCAAACTAATTGACATGACCCACAAAACTTTCCGTACTACGATCAAGCAATTTTGGGTACAGTGGTAAATTGATGAAACAATTTGAATAAATGACAAGTGTAGTGGATTAGGAAATTAGGTCACACGATTACAAATATCCATAGTAGATACCGATACACTATTTTCATAAATTATTTGCACACTCTAGGAAAAAAATTGCTCAATTTCCGTACACTTTTTTATTTATTTTTTGCTCACTTCACAAATTATTTTTTGCTCACTTTTTGAAAAAACAATTGCTCACTTCCAGGAATCTTTTTTGCACAGTGTGTGCGAGTTATTTTAGAGGGGATTTTTATTTAAACAAATTTCGAACTTGGACTCAGAATACCGGCAAAAGCCTTTCAAGTCGCTTATCAAGACATTTTGGCATGCTTCAGTGATTCTGGTGTTCAAAGTTTCGGCCTCCAACAGTTTTTCGCGTTTCAATTTACTCTTAACAACAGACCAAAACTGCTCAATAGGTTTTAGTTCAGGGGAATAAGGTGGTAGATACACGCACCCATACCCAGGACTTTCGATAAACTTTCTAATATTATCAGATGTATGTATGGGCTAGTGTTCGAACTTTTCGAGCTTGAACCGATCTTGCGCCAGTTCGAACGAAGCTCGAACCGAGTTTTTGTACTCGAGCTTGCGCCACTTTTTTTTGGGTTCGAGCGAGCTTTGATCGATGCTCGCTCGAAGCTCGCTCGGCTAAAATGTCGATAGTAGTCACTTTAAAGTTAAGGTCCTTGAAAGACTACAGATGGCATTTCCCCTTGATTTTAATCTTTTCTTCCCTTTACCATTTTTTTTTATTTATGCTCTAATAGTTCCAATTAAAATGCTTTGGACTTTTATTTAATTGTACAACCAACAAACACATTTACCATAGAAATTGAAACAGTGTTGCACACTATACCAAACTAAGCCAATTTTTTACAGCAACCATAGTAACATGACGTAGCAGAATTAATTTAAACTTTCATGTTCACAAATCCAAATGTATTACAATTAAAGATGCAGTAATAGTTTGATTTAATTATCCGAAATTGGTGTTAAGGCTGGTGAGAAAAAAACTTTTCTTTTTCTTTTTCCAACTTCTATTTCAAAAAATAACAATTTTATTATCATAATTTTCTGTAATTAACATCACTTTGACGTGCACTTTGTGTAATAAAAAGGGCGAGCGAGTTCGAGCTATCGTATTCGCAACCAAGCCGAGCTTAAGAAACTTCGATCGAGCTCGATCTGCAAAAAAACGCATCCGAGCGAGCTTCGACTGGAACACGATCGAAGCTCGCTCCAGAGTTTCGATCTTCATTCCGAACACTAGTATGGGCGCATTATCCATGATAATGTAGTGCCCTTTGAAGTCCTCATGACGATCCATCACATCGATAGTGCTGGCAATAAAATTGAAGTAATGTCCCGTAACAGTACCAATACGTTTCTGCATTTTACTACCACCAACCATCTTTCGTTTCTTAGAAGCTGCTAAATATGGTACCCTTATCTTAATATTGACACTGCCATACGGGAATATAGCACCCACAATTGTCGTAGTCTTCGCTCGTGTCAGTGGTTGGATAACCTCGGCTCGAGTGCCTTTTTTTAGACTAAGCCATTGTTCGCTTCAAATTGATGTAAAAGGCGGACTCGTCGATAAAAACACAATTACCATTGTAATCCATGTCGGTTTGAATCCATCTTGTAACCCAGTCAAATCTTTTCTCAATGGTTACGGGCGAGTTTCTTTCTTTTGAATAAAAGTGTGCTTTTTTAAAAAACAAGGCACACTTCTCTGTCATGAAGTTGTAAATAGTTGTCTTGGTTACTTTCAATTCACTGAACTGGATGGTAAGACGTTCTATTGCCTGATCCAAAGTTGCAGAAGGGTGATCGATAAACGTTTCTTCCGATTGCTTTTTATGCTCTTCATTCGATAAAGCAGGTCTAGCAACTTTCTTTTCGGTTTTTTTGGTCTACAATCCATCCTGCGTTTCAACAATCAAATCTTGGTCTTTTTTCAACCAGTTGTAGGCGGTTCTACGGGCAATATCTAGCTGCTTTCCTGCTTTACCTGACGTTAGGCCTTCTTCATAAACAAGGTAGAAAAAATGATCCTTGACATCGTCTTCATGTTTCTTGTAATAAGAAACTGTACCTGATGCAGCAGTAGAAACCATCTTATTGGTTTTAATTGAGGCCTCGGGCTTTTCAGGTAGTTTAAATTCGATGTGGCTATCGAAGTCAACAGTGTCAGCGAGTCGGTAACCGTTCACTTCTACTTCCATTTCAACCGGTTCATTTCCATGCTCATCTAAAGCGTTTCTATATCCATCTTCATGAAAAATACGAAAGTCCATTGGTTATATTTATTTTTGGAATTTGTGCGAAATGTAAAAGTTAAAGTGAGCGATTTGTTTTTCAAAAAGCGAGCAAAAAATAATTTGTGAGGTGAGCAAAAAATAAAATAAAAAAGTGGGCGGAAATTGAAAAAAAAGTGAGCAATTTTTTTCCTAGAGTGTGCCAAAAAATTTATGAAAATAGTGTATGGTGGAACCAGATCAGCTCTATCAATCAGATCTACTACCTTTGACATAACACTCACTATGGCGGAATTGTTGTTTGTTGTAAACAACTTTGTTGACAGAATCAACAACTGTTGTTTATTCTGTCAACAAAGTTGTGGACAATTTTTTTTTATAAAAATGACTTGTTGCTGGCCAACAATTTTAATAAATTATTCAACAAGTGTTGATTGCAGATTTGTTTATCGATTCTGGTGTCACGATTTTTCTATTTTCAACCAGACTTTTGAGATTCATTTACGTCATTTCGTCCATGTTTATTTTTATTATCTTTTCTATATTTCTTAAAGGTTACTCGCATTCCCCCATTTTTGAGTATAGCAATTCCCTGAAAATCTGATGCTATATGACTTTGCAATAATTTTCAGCCATGGTGTATGGGAAAAGGCCTACGTTACAAACGATATCTTTGAAGCGACAAACAACATTCTTATGTTGACCGAGGCGACGTAAGATCACCTTTGGTATGAGCCTGTTGTAATCTACCACGCCACGTAATTCAGCCACATCAATTAAGATAAGAAAATCATTCACGCCATCAAATGTTGTCTCAAAAAAGAAGGTGTTGGAATCGACATAAATTAGACTCGTCGAATTGTAGTAATGGCTATAAAGGTTCAATAAAATTTTCTGTACAACTAAATAATGACTATAAACAACTAATTTTACTTTAGGTGGGATGCAGCAAACAAAACATAGTTATTAGCGCTTCTGGGCTCGTTGACATGATCTTTTAAAAAGAGGAGATATACACAATATCATCAAACCAGGTCTGAAAGCACCATTGACTACACCATTACTTGTGTTGACAAGCTTGTGGGAACAGGAATATGTTCTGCAGTAGTACCGTTGTAAAGCAGAGATAAGTTGTCTATCTGATAAACTACACACCCAGAGCAGCCATTGCCTTTCTAGGTTTAGTTACACGCGGAATAATGATAATCCTTAAAATAAATGAAAACCATTGGAGGTTTTTTTTTTCGAAAAAAAAAAGATGCATGGCGTCCCCCCAAGGCTCCTCATTAAGGCATATTTGTGCATCATTGTGATTGTGTTCACTCCCCCAAGCATCCCCACCACCCCCAAATTATTTTGTCTGACGTGAACGGCTTTTCAAATGGACTTAGCAAAAAAAAAAAAAAAAAACACTGTTTTATTTCGTTTGATGTGTAAAAAAAATATATTAAATGTATGGCAATCTTACGATTTTTTCCAAACTACAACGTGTGTTGAGGAGCCACCAAAAACTACCGAATTTTGACTTGTTGATACTCAAAAGTGAAGAATTATTATTATGCGGCGAGTCAAGCAAAGGAGGTTGCGACATGTCCAGCACGAAAACGACACGATTTTGTTCATGACCAGCAATAGTAAAATCATCGTTAGGGAATCTACGAGTTACAACATTGCCAGCAAGATCTAAAAGGCAACTTTCGTAAATACACATGTCTTGATCTTGTGGAATGGCGTTTCGAAGAACAAAATCGTACGCCTCGATTATGAAGTTTTGACCTTCTTTGAAAGCTACCCTACCAAGAGTTAAACCGCTTGACTTGGAGCTTCTAACGTTATAGAACAAGCCGGTGAGCCCTAAGACCAGTTTTATTTTGCTATTATTGTTGTCCAGCAACTCAAGTTCGCTTTCGTATAATGTCGAATCATAAGATTGGATTACACTACTGCCGCATGTCTCATAAACAGAAGAAGAAGGGTCTTTCTTGAACAAACCACCTTGACTAATATGACGAAGCATACACTCCTCTGCAAATCGGATAGCAACATCTCTGCCACCATTTTGACGGTTGGTATGGCATAATAGTTCTCGCATGAATTTATGCTGCTGTTCGCCCCTTTCAGTTTCAGTGTGTGGACCACCAGCGAAACGTTCAGTATCTTGGGAGATATGAACCAGCAGATGAGACTTCAACCTACTACAGAGAGACGAGAACTTCATCATTGAGATAGCCGCGGTTCCTCCATTTGCTGACCTTCTTCTCGTTATTGTGGTATGGTGGAGAGCGTTCATTGAAGCGATAGTTTCTGACACAGTATGATTTAGCATTTCTTGATAAAAATAAAAATTGTCGATCTTTTCCATATAAACCAAAGAAGCGAGTAGCGACAGCTGATCGAAGCAATGGTAGACTGATGAAAAGGAACCTTGATTGTCAGCAAAAATTGTTGGATCTTGAAGCTTTGCCTTTTGGAGAATCGATGGAAAAAGCTGTACGAGAATTTTAAAATCTCTGCCAAGGTAAGAACGATAAGCTGTTAAAGAAGAAGTCAGATTACGATGTAACGCCTTTGAATTATAGTTTCTAAACAACTCTGTAAGCTCTTTCAGCTGGTGATCGTTTAAAAAATAGTCATGCGCAATCTTGAAGCAATACTTCGTCATTCCAAGCAGTAAAGTGTGCAAAATTTCAACAGGCAGATCCTGGGACAAGTCCACAGCCTTCAATTTCAACAACTCCTCGGCACCTGTTATTTTGAATCCAAGATCACTCCAGTTGGTGGATTGCGCGGGATCTTTTATAACCCCTTGATTTGTTACACGTCCTCTGTTCGGAAGAAAGACTGGAGTATCACGGTCTGTTTTTTCAGGATTTATAAAATCGTTGAAATCTTTTGACGTTCTTGGTGCAGCGGCGTATGTTTCGGCAGTATAATCTAATGCGATGGGTTGCTTCCCGGTTGTCAATGGCTTAGCTGGATCAGATTGCCAGTAGCAAAATCGGCAAGGGTGGTTGGCTCTTGAGCCCTTATTCATTGCAAGTTCAGCTTGACGAACATTGTCTCCTCAAAAGAAAAGGACAGGTGCAATCACAAACACATTTTCTTGACGTTTGGAGTCATACATTACCACGCCTTTTTCTAATTGCAGCAAATCTTCAGTCAATGGTTTTATCATTTCCATTGCAGTTACTTTATGGTTGTTAGTGCACAAAAAGAAGCGGTTCTCGTATTTGTTGCTTTCGAACAAAGGAAAAGCATCAACGCTCATGATCCAGCTGTCAAAACAATTCCACTTTTTTGATCTATTTCCACTGGTATCGTCTGAAAACAAAGAAATAGGTACTATGCGAACTGACATCTGTTGATTTGCGGTGATGTATGGTACTCGTTTACGGATCGCAAGACTTTCAACAATCATGGTATGGTGTGGACGTAACAATTGGTTGAAGGGCGTGAATGCAATCTCACCATCGTCACGAATAAACTTGGACAGTAATTTTTGATAACATTGCTCTAGGAGCTCTGTTATAGACATGACCAAGAGAATGCTAGACACTGGAACGTTCACCCTTTCGGAATTAAAAGCCGCGATTTGAAAGTTTTCGAGAAACTCCATGGGGAAAGCATTGACAAAGAGTTGGCCATTTGCAATGAAGAATTTGGCAATGATGTACATTTGTTGCTGACCACCAGAGGTTCGAACAACGTCGCCAATCCATAGATCATCACGATTGTTTGACATCTCTTTGGTTATCATGGGTGATTGAAAGTGAAAATTATCTTTCCATTTACGTCCTTGATTTGGATGGTACCGCTGGTTTGGAGTGAAGTCGGGCAAAGATTGGAGAAGATTGACCTTTTGGGTATTAGCCATGATCAATCGTAAATGACTTGATGGTTTGATATAGAACAATTGGACTGACCGATTGTCTCCTTTTGGAATGATGGCTTTGTCAACCTCAAGGCGAGGGAATTTTCTTTTGAGATCATGGCTTTTGCAAATCCGGTCATCCTTAGGTACGCTACTAAGAGGATCGAAACCATCTGGTCTTCTTTGAATCAAATCCCTTTCTTGGTGTGATATAACAATTAATTGGCGCACCAAATGCATAGTTTTTTTTACTATTCTGTTTGAAAATCTATCTTGCGACCCCTTGAAGAACATCAGGACTTTCATTTCCATTTCATTTTTAAAAGGATAAAAAGGATTAGAGCTAAAAATGGATGTACTTTGATAGGTATTAGATCTCTCGATTTCATCATCGCCGGACTCGGAAAGAGATTCATCATCAGATTCAAACGGGTAGGCAAGGTTATCATTGTCATCTTCATCCAAGCTGTCAAACAAATCATTGTCATCAGCGATTTCATCTACTGGATGACGGTTATCGTTTGTAGGAGTACTATCAATGGTATTTTAATAAGTATATGTATTTGTGATTTCATATTAATTCTTACTCAACATGTGGATTACTTGCACGCTCATGGACGATTTTTTGATGGCGGTTAAGGTTACTATTGGTCGTGAAATCTTTTTTACAAATAGTGCAAAAAGTATCATTATTGTGAATAGAGAATATGTTAACAGACATTGCTTCGCGTTGTGAGTATAATAAAAATTATGAAGTTTGGCAAAAAACTTTCACTGCCTTCATTTATAGATTTGGTCTCATGCAGTGTAACAAAATGCTGATGCTTTTAAATCACTTTTTTTCTTTTTTTTTTCTCCTTTCTCTCTTCTTTCTCCCTTTTTTAATTAAAAATACAATTAACTTGTATTTTGTTTTTAAGAAGCCATCGTCTTAAGGTAATTAATACACATATAATAAGAACCTCATTAACAGTTCATTAATCAACAGGAAATGGAATACAAGTACTACCTTGTGTACGGTGGGTGACAGCTAGGTAATATACACGCGTTTTTGTTAAGTTTTATTTTCTGTGCATTTATTAACATATCATATCTGGCTTAAAGCTGCTTTTCACTCTTGGCGTTCTGAATTCTAGTAAGGTATGATATTTCCATCTTATTCATAACGTTTTTCTTTCTAAAATAATTTTTTCAGTGTATTTTTCTCTCTGTTTCTCCCTCTCTTGAAATTACAAGGTACGCGTGTTTAGGATAATACCAATACTACCTTTAGGTTCTCTAACATGCTTTTTTACAATAGTATCTTCCTCTTTTTTTGGTATTTGCTTTTATCGCGTTACGACTGGACATCCCCATCCAAAGCAACCGTTTTTTTATGATTATTTATATACATTTTTATCCAATAAAATTTTATTATTTTGATGCTACGTAATCGCTTTTATAACGTTTTTTGACCCCCAATGAAGACCCCCAATGGACCCCCAATGGACCCCCAATAGACCCCCAAAGAGCACCCCCAAAGACCCCCCAGCTCAATTCCCCCCATTCCCAAAATGGTTCGAAATCAATCACCGATGTTTACAAATAAACCTGCAAAAAAATCCTCTGGGTGTGTAGATACAAGTCGGATTTTAGGTCACAAAACCAAATAAAACTGGCGTAAGCCCAATATTTATTTTTTACATTCTCTTCCTTTCTTTCTTCTTAAACTCACTTAAAAAAAATACTAAGAATATATGGTAAGTTTATTTCCCAGTGTAATATGTGTGTCTATTAACGATGCTGGTTTGGTTTTTAGCTTCAATGGGACCTTTTTTTAATAACCCCAACGTGTTTCTAACGCTCTTTGCTTCTATGTAAGGTACTCAACTTCTAATTTGAAGCGTGCTGTTTTGGGTTTTTGTTATCTACATTAATAAGAACGCTTCTCATTCAGGTAGTCTAGGAGTAGCTTTTCTCTTTATGTAGGCTGCTACTATACTTCTTTAGAGCTGTAAGTTTTCTTATATACTTCCTAAATCAAAAGACTCATGTTGACCACCTCAATTATTTTTCTAAATTAGAACACTCTTTATTTAAAGATGTTATGGTAGGTCTTTTGAACTTTTATATTTTTTTATTAATTGATCACATATCTGCTTATAATTTTTTAGGACCAACGGTAAGCATGTTTTATGATGTACGGTAAAAGTAAGGTTGAGATTACTCTAAATCGCTTCTTTGTGTTTCTAATTTTGTTTTTTAGAGGATCAATTCGTTCATATGAAGCATTTTTTCTTGGTTTTATGTTTCGTTCGATGTCGGGTGCGAAAGACTGTAAACTTTATTAAATGTGTATTAGTGCCCTATTTATGGTTATGCCGTCTATAAGAATGAATGTTGAAAAAGACTCTTTTCCTTATTATCATTATAGATATTTCTGCTTCACAATAGCCATTGTATATACGATAATAAAATATGTTTAATAATTTATCATGTGTTTTATACCGTTCTACAAATGAAAATATGAAAAAGCGCAACAACATTGGTTTGAAACAGTAACAAAGTTGTTGGACCTTCCAACAAGTATTGTTTATGAATTAAGCAAAGTTGTTGAAAGGTTCAACAAGAATTGTTTGTAAGATCAATAAAGTTGTTAAATAGTTCAACAAGACTTGTTTGGAAAATCAACAAAGTTGTTTGCAAAAGCGACAAAGTTACATCCAACAATTTTGTTGATATAGAAATCGACGCAGCTATTTCTCAAATAACTATTTGGCAGTAGCACTTGTTGATTTTGTCAACAAATTTGTTGGAATCGTCAACAAATTTTCCGCCATAGTGACTAATAATCAATATCTGCAGATAGTGTTCTTAACCAATATGATAGCTATCCTTATCACACAATTATTTATTATTAATGCCCTTGAAATTTTTTCAAATTATGAATAGATCATACTTATATTAACTTTGATAATAAAGAGTTTTAAAAGAATTCTTTTGTTTATTATTTTCTTTTTTTTCTAAATCAAACTACCCCTTGATTAATTACCATGTCTAAATATACAATTCAAGTGTCGAATGAATTCTACTAGATTTTCTTTAGACACTCAAATAGGAAATCAAAAATATGAATGTTCTAATCCAGAGAATTTATAAAATAATCAGAAGCATCTATAAACATGTTCTCATTCAATTCCATCTCGATATCCTTATCATCTAAAGAGTGTTGGTGAAATCAAATTCAGAAAGATGTCCCGGCCTGTTGTGGTTCTCAGACGTTGATGACTACTCCCAGTTACCCATAGTTACTCTATCCTCTTTTGGAATACCAGATTGTAACGCCAGAGAAGAAGCAACCGATTGTACCGACACCCGTTTTTCTTTCATAGACTCGTGGAGAGGTCTTGACATCCATGCTTGAATTGTTCGCATCATGATAGGCCGGTCTGGTTGAATTAAATTGATGAGCAGCGACGCTGCTGTGGTGATCTGCTATATTGTTGCTACATTAAATAAACCTATATCTATGACATCAATACATTAAGAATGATTAAGGAATCAATTACCCAATATAGATAGTTAGTACTATCATATCACCAAGGTTACAAGAACACAGTGACAAAGGCTTACTAAAGATATGGAAGTACAATGTGTCTAAGATGACAGTAATTCCAAGTGTAACATATTTACAAAATAGGCAGTTAAAGGTAACAGGATACACACTGGGAAAATTATAACAACTTCAAAGATACACTAAAGATAGTGGTACAGCAGATAGTCTTTTTTATATAAATACTTGTTCATTTTATTTCATAATAAAGACAATCTTATAAACAGTCTCAAATTACTTATATACTGCCTTATAATTTTACTTACCTCAAAACACAACAGTTGCTTCGCAAGATGGTCTTTTTTCCCAAAATATTTTTAATGTTTTGATGGGACAAGGATTTGAATTCATATGAGCCTTGACAGAAAATGACAAGATGATTAAGCACCGGCCCCTTTTTTCTTTTGGTCTTTATACCTCAAATGACAACAACAAATCATTATTCGAAAAAACCATTGAGAACCACAGGATTCCATATAAGTCTGAAGGCCGGAGAAAACGCGTCGTCTCCAATAGGAATGCTAACTTGTTTTGTAAAGTAGCCAACGATATATTTGTAGCAGCGTATGATCTACCAGCGTACATATGTCATGAACTGCTTAGGTTTCAGTTGCATATTATCATGCAAAATGTCTCAGACCATTATTAAAACCCAACTAGCCCATTGTCGCTGTTCCACCTATTCCCTGTTCTCTGTCTCCTGTCACACATGTCACTGTCAAACATCACTATTGTATCCTGTTTAACGTCTCTGTTCCAAACAATGTATCTCCGTTATCCCTTTTCCTTGTAAAACCCATTTAACATCCATTTCCTTTGTAACTCTGCCTTTGAACTCCCTTGTATATCATTAATAATATCAGCCCATGTTATCCTCTGCATCTATCCTCGAAATTATCTGTATCTATGCCCGCTACCCCAAAGATGTCCCAAATTCAATATGACTAATAATCTGTCTCTGTAAATCTGATCCCCGAACCCTTGTTTACCCGATCTGTCAATTAATATAAATAACAGCATGTTTATTTATTCTTATTTCTGTATTCAAGATCTTATCTATTTTTCCTGCTTTTCTGAATAAACCTTTCTCTACCTTCATTCCTTCTTATATATATGTTAATACTAATACATATATAATCTCTTTTTGTCTTGTCCTCACCTTAATAATCATTCTGTTCTGCTCTTGCCCCGCCCCGCTCCTGACAGCATATCACTTAAGAAACTAATAAAATCTTCATGATTAAGCTTATCAGCTTCGACTCTGTGATTCCTAGCCCAGTCCATAAATTGAAATTGACTATTTTTGTATGACCAATTGGTGGCATTGTCTTCTAAACGGCTACTAATCAGTATTTTTTGGGCATTTTCGCTCCAGTTTGTAAGCCTTTCCTTGTAGCTGATACGCTCCATACGGTGAGTTCCCGGTTTTTGTTGTTCATCAACCATGTTGCTGTTGGTGTTGGCAGGTGAACCCCCGCTTGGTCCAGTAGGAGTGGTGGACCGATACTGAGCGCCTGAATTGTTGGAAACCAGACTTCTGTTGGTCACCAAAGCTTAACCATTGCTACTTGACGTACCTGCTCTTGTACCAACTTCTGAAGACACCTGTTGATTAGATTCCGAGATGGATTCAAATACGGTCGGTAAAGTTGGCTCCACGGAATGGTAAACGCGTCGTTGGTAACGCTTCCCGGATCTGGTAGCCATTATACGTACTTTGAAAGCTGTTGGTGTTTCTGTCGGCAAATAGGTCTACGTCGTTTTCTCCCAGATAATGTTGTAACTCTTGGAATATTTTGGGCTGTATCATCCAATTGTTCTTGAGGTATGGGCGCAGTGACTTGTGGTCTGTTACTGTGTTCCTCACTCCTTGCACATGAGTGGACTGTATTGTAATTCTTCGTTGTAGACACCACTTCCACAGGCTTTTTGCTAATTTCATTAATGGTTATGACCTCGTACCCTTGCTTGTTCATGTAAGCCATCGATGTTGTATTGTCTGTTCGTATCAGAATCCTCATGTTGTTCAATTGCGGGAATGTTTGTAACGCAAGAAACGCCGCTTTCAACTCCCTCCAGTTGATCCACATGCTGGCTTTCTCCTACGTCAATGTCCAAATGCAGTTCTGCTCTGCCGATTTGCTAGTTTTATGCCGCATACCCAACCTTTGTTGCTGGCATCTACGTATATGGTCTGCTGTGGTGTTTGCGGTAGTATACTTTTCCCACTCCATGGATGTAGATTGTTTTTCCACCAACGTAACTCCTTGATGCATTCCTTTAGAATTACCTGTATCTTGTCCCAATCTCTCCATGAGTTTACACTGTGATGATCTGGCTTACTTCCAATAAAATCATCATCATAAAAATAACATCAGATACACTTACATCATACATTCTACACTAAAATATAAATATCTCAGCATCCATACTTGATAAAGAAAATACACTTCTTTAGTCTCTACACGTCTTTAACTAAAATAGGGCAAGAAGACACTGCACCAAAATAGCGTACTTCCATTATGCAATAATTTTATAATTTAAATTCAGACATCTTATATATATCCTTTATTCTTTGACCTTGATAATCCCTAATTCTCTTTTAACTAAATAAAACATATCAACAGTCTCAAAATATTCCTACTTTTGTTTTATTTCCTTTCTGTCTGAATTTTTATTATCCCAAAACACCACATACACTCTGGCCCCTCATTTTTATCAAATGCTGAGTGTACAGACGAGCTGGTACCAGTGCAAATATGGCTGCTTGTATCTTCATTATCAAACTGTGAATTGTACGAGCCGATTGCAAGGGATTGTTTAATACTTGCTGTATGCTGCGTCGAAGATCTCTCAACGTCTTTCCTGGCAATTGGGCTGTCATTGCGTTTGTATTCAATACAAAGCCTAGATGCTCTATTGACTGCTGGGGCGTTAGACTGGAGTTGTTGAATTTGAATATCCATTCAAATGACGCTAGTTTCTGTATTATCAATTGTATTCGCTGTGCTGCTTGTTCTGCGGAGCTGGCAATGATGATCCTGTGATAATTGAGGAATAAAAAGGGAAATGTAAATTGGAAAATAAAGCAAGTACACAAATGAGGCGCTATGATCCTGTGATAATTGAGGAATAAAAAGGGAAATGTAAATTGGAAAATAAAGCAAGTAAACAAATGAGACGCTGTGATCCTTTATTATATGTCGGATAGTTTGTCATGATAAAACTAGAGGTCCTTTTTATATTCAATTATTACTTCAAGATTGTTCCTACACAGATCGATTTGAATACAGTAGTCGCTCGATTTAAGGGTGTTCGATTTAAGGGTATTTTCTATTCCGGCTTATTAATTGTTCTTGTTGCTGATTGTACGGGATAATTGGCGTGGGATTTTGGCGTCGAGGAAATGGGAAAATAAATTGAATTTCAGTCCGAGTTTGACGATTTTCAGCAGCCATTTGTCTGTTGAAAGTGTGGTCCACTCGGTAAAAACTGGCAGAGACAACTTCCTACTCGCTGCTCGATATCCTTTACTGTTGATTCCTGATAAAAGGGTTGGTGTTGGAGCTTCCCTTGGTCTGGTGCTGTTTGTGTTGTTCCACATGGCGTTGTTGTTGTTATTTTCGTTGTTGTTGTTGTTGTTGTTGTTGTTGTTGAAAAAAACCGCCCTGTTGTGAGGACGGAGCTGGCCGAAAAAACTGCTGTGGTAGTTGTTGATATTGTTGTTGTTGTTGTTATTGCTAAATATTCGCCTTTTATTACGCATATTACTAACTGATTTTATTGCTTGAGAGGATGTAGTATGTTTATTTCAAACTTCTTGGAGACATAGTATAATTTGTAATGCTTGCATTTGCTGTAAATGAGAAATTTATAGATTGAAAAGCAATTTTGTTACCGAGATCGTTTACATTTGCTGGTACATTTATTAAAAGGGATCTACAATTAGTAAGCATTTCTATGTATCGCTGAACGTTTTGATTTTAATTTTCGAGACTAAGCTCTAGACCTAATACATCCAGCGGACAAAAACCCCCAGAAATAAAGTACTGCAAACGCTTCAACGACATATCATGTTCGGCCTGATATTTGTTCATTCTACGCGCAGCACTAGGCATAGATTCTGGTGGCTGATATTGAAAGGACTCGATGCCTAGTTATTTATCGATTAAGGAACGTTCCGCATCCCGCATAGTTGTATATAATAACGGTGATCGATTCCACGGGTATGAGGGTCCTATTTCAAGAGAATGTAATACGCCCTGCTATTCGTCCATTCTATCTTCAGCCATTTGTTGCGTTGGTGGTGGCTGTGGCCCTGTTGAAGATTGTGCCTGTTGGGCTTGTGCTATCAATTGGTCTAATTGCATAATTCTTTGCTGCAAAATAGCTAATTCTTTGGAACTCATAATTGTGGTGGACCGAGCGAAAAAAGAAGATCAATTATTATATGATAGTATTAGTTTACTTTTAGTTGTATTTTTCGGCAACTTTAAATAAAGAAGATATTGTCGTATTTGACGCCTAAATAAATCGAATACAATTACTATTTAATCTGTCTTGAGTTATAATATACTTCATATATTATAACAGACACAGTACCAGTTCTCATAATCCTCTAACTGGAAATCATACCCTACATTGGACCCCGGTTGGCTGATTTACTGCGGTTCCTTCTAGCACCTACGATGAGTAATCAAGTAATCCAATCATCGCACATATTGCTAAATGGATAAATGATTTCTCTGCTGGAAATTCCGGACATACAACCATAGGCTTACATAACTATAATTTATAAGCTATGTTTCATGTCGTTACTGATTTATATTTCAAATCCAACAATTCCCAGTCTCTGGAAATGTTTATTCGATCTACGCAGAAATTAATTGAAGTAATAATTTAATATAAAAGGACCTCTATTTTTATCATGACAAACTCTCCAACTTATAATAAAGGATTAAAGAGTCTCATTTCTTTACTTGTTTATTTTTATCTTTTATTTTATTACCCTTTTATACTCAAATTATCACAGATATAAAGCACAATCATATTCTAATTTTCTATTTGAGTGTCTCAAGCAATTCTAGTAGAATGTATTCGACACTTGAATCTCTTTTGAATTCAGGAACGTAAGAATTGTCGCTGCTTTCTTTAAATTGTTTTACTTATCATCGTTGCCATTATTTAGTTAAAATATTAAGCAAAAAACTGATATGTCTTTTGTATATATAGCTTGCGCTTGATTATCAAATGCCTTTAAACGCAAATCTGTTTTGTCTTTGCCGGTGTTCGCCGAGATACGTTTATCAAATTCTGTTAGCACAAGCATTTTATGACCTCGTTATCATTTTAATAAATTATCTCTTTTTCGGCATTTTTATACTCTCAACAATATTTTATTTTTACAATTTTTAAAATATTGGAGCAGTGTTTATTTGTTTAATCGTGTAATTGTTGTGCGTCGCACAAAAATAGCTTAGACTGAAAGGAATATTCCTGCTCGCTCCGTTTTTGGGAAAAAAAGCTGAGATTTTCAGCTGCGATCAATATGTTTTTTGATTGATATTTGCGATATTGTATATTTACACAACCTGATTTATTTTAGGGTGTGAACACCGACAAAATAGCAGTGACTCATCTTATCAGATGCCAAGAGACCACACACAATAGTTTACAACGGGAAAGCTTTAATTAATAACAGGGTACGCTATATTTTATTATTTACAGAATATATATAAACAAAAGAATTGTGGAAAGAAGAGTAAATTGAAAAAAAAAAAAAAAATCTTTCAAATAAGAGCGGAAAACTGATGTAACGTCAAACACACGGAATGGTCAAAAATTGCCCGCATCCGTGACAGAGACGGTGAATGTATAAGATTTCCCTGTCCAAGATACATAATAGTCAAAAATTGACCTGATCCGTCACGGACATGAGAATCGTTGTTGACCTTCACCGTAATTTTGAAGTGATGCTCTTCTGATTACAACACATACCTTAGAAATGAACCAGTGAGCTTGGCGATGTACATATCTACCACACCATACGTGTATATCTATGGTTAAAATGTAGTTAATAAAATGGATAACAAACAGATAATAACATTATGATAGTAGTGTTTATCTTTAAGGATGTTGTTTATTGAACAAGTGCTTGAATAGTCATGGTAAAAGTACACCTTTTGCAAAAAACTATATATCGTGTTACAAAAGCCGCTCAATGAAGGATGATTAAAAATTTCGGAAATCTCACCGTTAAATAGAAAATACCCTTAAATCGAGCAAATTCTGTACTTGGATTTCTGTAAACCCTTTCCCCCCCCCATTCGCCAGGCAAGATGATTTAGACCAGGAGTTTATCAACGTGTTTGATTATGAACACATTGTTGTGAGAGATAAGGCATGTATGTAGAGAAGTGCCAGGTGGGGAAAGGTGCCTTGGCACCATGACCCCCAAAATTCTGTAAGCCCCGTAGATTTTCCCGGTTCCCTTTTCATTGAAAAAGCAAGAGGGCATGTGATAGAGAAAAATGGGACTTGCTTCCCTCATACTCTTACCATGTCGGAAAGTATCATGTATGGGATATAAGGAAGGGTTTACTTATCATCCTACAGTGAGTCGCTTTTCTGGATTGTAAGCAACAAGGTAATTGAAGGAAAGCAATGTCTTGTACGCATTAATAATCTTTCAGATGGCACAAAAATAATAATTGACAATAAAGCCCAAGTAACAAAGATCCTTTGTAATTAAAAAAACAACTGTGAATCCATCTTACAAAAAAAAATAATAAATAAAAAAAACCCTTTTTTTAACTAGAGGAGCAGTTGTTCAATTATTTGAGTTTTTATGCCTTTAATGGAAATATCTTCCGCCTCAAGCACAGTTTAAGCTAATCAAAAAAGGTAAAAAGAAACAAGAGAAAAGAAATCAAACAAATTCTTGGTTTTTTATTTATCATTTTTCATTTACACCCTCCGGAAACGATTTACCGAAAATTACACCCTCGATATTACACCCTTTTGCCCAACACCCCACGTGGAATAGCATGTTTAAGTGTTTTCTGTTGTTTTATGGTTAGGGATAAGTGCATTTGATATTAAGTTTACAATAAATATATCTGAGTGGGTTCCAACAATGTAAGGCTACATGTATCAAATAATCACTAAACGTTAATAAAAAATTGTCTTTTTTAAGGGAGTAACGAAATTCGTACTCAATCGACTATTATTTTGATGAAAGGTTTTGAAACTGGCTTTCATTGCTGTGACTTTGGGAAGAAAGACATACTTTATTTGAAGCCAATTGAAAGAGAAAAAGACACAGATCCTCCTGGTATACCAAATCGAGTAAATAACTTCTCAAATCTTAACACAACATAAAAAATTGCATATGTATCGTGATGTGCTAAAATCTGTGTACAAATGAAAACAAAATGAATAAATGATGACCAGATAGAGGAAATTACATTGTCTTGCTTAATTCCAATATCTCTCGACCGAAGGTTGGTAAAATAATGATTAATCGCCTGTGCGAGCAAGGAATCATTTATTTTAGTTTTTTGGATTTTCTTTAACTTGCAGACGAATTAAATGAGTTTCTCGTGACACCAGAGATCAAGACCAGCCCGTGTCACAAGTGTACGCCCCGGGCTACGAGCGAAATAAAACTTGTCAATATTCTTTAAAATCGTTTTTGTTTAATTTCGGTTTAATGATCCAGAGAAAAGGAACTCAATCGATAAGTTATGGTCTATCAAAAATTTATTTATTCTTACAACCAATTAAACCAAAATCCACGTTTCAATTTGGCCATACTTGTCGCGATTATTCTAATAATGCTCAAAGTGACTTAACATCACTCCGTAGAGCGATTGGCCGTGGCAATATTAATCATGCAAGGTTTGCTTACGAGAACATGTTGAAGCAATCACAACAAAAAATGGATCGTGATGTTGTTCGAAAATTACTTTTGCTGGCACGCCATGGCAAGCACAGCCAAGACATTGAATTTATACAAAGTGTAATAAGAGATATGAAAGGTCCACTACAGATCTTGCCTCAGCATTTCGAATACCATGCCCTTATTTTTGCTTATGGCTTACAACAAGAACCCAACAAAGCATACAATGTACTCAATCTGATGAGGTCTGACGGCCTTGAGCCTAATATTTATACATACAACACATTGTTAGCATGCTACAAACGCGGCAATAATTTGGACAAGGCTGAATCGCTATTGGATGAAATGAAGTTTAAGAAGATCGAACCTGATACAGTGACATACAATACAATTTTACACCTGATGTTACGAATGGATAAATTCGACCGGTTATTTGATTTGTATGAACGAATGGATACTGATACAAATATGGCAAAACCGGATATGTACACTTATTCGACTGTGCTTGATGCAGCCGCCAAGTCTGGCAATCAAGAGATAGGAAATCCGATTTGTGACAAACTCCTGGATACAAATAAACGCAAGGATATCGATCTGAACATAATGAATAATATATTAAGATTTAAAGCAAATACAGCAATGCACCAAGTTTTAGAATTATACTACAGCTTCGCAGACCAATTTCCACATATTCGGGCTGACAGAGTGACTTATAATATTTTATTAGACGCATGTCTAAAGAATGGGAACCCAGCCAAAGCTTACATGATATATGGCGATATGAAGAGGGCAGCACTAAAACCGGACGTTATAACATATGGTACATTAATTGATGCTGAATCTAAAGTGGGGAATTTGAAGGATGCTCTACAGTTATTCCAGGACATGTGTCATGAATCGATAGAGCCCAATGATCGTATTATGACTAGTTTAGTGAATATTGCAGCGTCAAAAACAGCAACATTGAAAGACTTAGATACTCTTGTTGGACTTATGAAGCAATTTAGACGGTCGTTAAACCTCGATACCAGGGCTTATAACTCTCTCATGTATGGATTGGCACTACACGGCAGATCAAAACAGGTGCAGCATATATACGACGATGTATTTCGGGATTCCTCTTGTCAACCTGACGTAGCCACTTTTACCAACCTTGTCTTAGCTTACATCAATGATGATTATTTAGACGACGCTATGGAAATTTATTATACTCTTCGCGAACATCATAAAAAATGTCGAGATGAAAAAACCAAAGTTAAGATACCAATTCGCTTAGACACAACGTTTTATTCGACTTTGATTGCATCTTTATCTCGCAATATTGATAACACAAAGCAGCAATATACCACCGATGATGAATATGACTCGTCGCCGCGATTAGTCACTGCAATGGCAATTTTCAATGATATGAGACCACTCCAAATTCAACCGACCAAGCATACTTATACGGCTATGCTGCATGCGTGTGGACAATATCGCGACCGTTATGTCTTGAATCAAATTTACCAACAGATCAAAGTTGATTTATACCTTGATCCAGATATTGGTATTTACAATTCCCTGATGGACGCGTATAGCAGAACGGAAGACGGTGATACTGTACTTGAAATTTGGCAAACGATATCAAAACCAGCCTCAACATCATACGTGATACCGGACCAAATATCGGTTTCTATTGTTTTTGACAGCTGTGGGCATAACGGCTTGTCAGCCAGAGCTCCATTAATTTGGGCATGGTTAAAGAGGACTGGGTTTCGATTAAATACCAACAATTATAATTCTTACATCGAATGTCTATGTCGAGAAAGAGGACGATCAGGCTGGGATATGGCCCACCAGCTGATAAATCAAGAAATGTCGATTCCTCAAAAACCATTGCATGGTAAACCAGTCATGGATGAAAAAACTGTAAATACATTAATTAGTTTTGCCAAAAAGAAGGGTTTTGGCTATAATGAAATAGAAGCACTTGAGGAATGGAAGTTGAAGTTACGGTTGTAAATTTGCATATGAAATCTCGTACTTGAAGACGTATATGCGAGATGGTATTTATGTGTTATAAAGTATTACCCTCATTACAATACAAAAAATAAAAGCCATTTTTGTATGTATCCAAGCCTTCTTTTTTCTTATGTAATAATCCAAATTCGAAAATAAATCCGGCAAATCATAAGTTGAGAATGTTATAAATTCTAAAATAAGCTTCATGGTTACTTAAATCTTTACAGATTGCAAATCAGATTTTTATCTTACTTTTTGAAGCATTGATGCTGAGCTGCCATAGTGTTTGACATTATTTAAGGACAAGCACATTATTTAAAGACAAGTACTTAATTTAAAGACAAGCACATTATTGCTGATTGTACATAGCACACACCATCCAAAGAATTGGTTTCGCACAAACAATATAAAAATGCGTGTATATGTAGTGTAAAAATTGTAGACTTCATTAATATTAAAAATACAGTGCATGTAAAAAGAGGTATGGCTTAAACATAAACTAATCATTGCTCAATTGCCTGGTAGCTTTGATTTCCCCGAAAAATAAAACATTAACTCGTAAAATAATTTTTATCACACGATATTCACTTGGGATGTTTTTTATTGTTGCTGAGAAGAGGTATGATGCCCAAGATAAACATCCCAATCGGACCAATTAAGGTTAGATGGTGGTAAAATTGTACTTGATATATTCAGATTAGATGGATTATATGGTGAATGATATGCTTGTGGGGGTTGCGGATTAAAAGTTGGCATTGACTGGTTATGATGAGAAATATTTGTTTGAGGCGTATAGCAACCATTATCCATACCACCTACATTTATAGCGACATTTAATTTTGGATCAACACGAGGGAAAGGGGAAACGTTGGTCATAAATTCCAATTGGTCATATGAGATGGATCTCGAATGATGTTGACTACACGCTTGTTGGGTGCTATGCAACTGGTCGGACGATAAAGATCTTCGATGAGAGTATGTAGGCGCATTACTATAGGTAGGATAATCATTTGTGTACTGAGGTTGTCTTATATGTTGCTGCTGTTGCGAAGTATGGTATTGTATTCCGTATTGCTGGCGATTTTCTATATGGGGGGTCATCGTTTTTTGATTTGATCCTCGCGAGTACACGATTTCATTTCTGCTGCTGGTTGGTGGCTCATGAAAGCGTGGCGCTACTGATAATTCTTTTTTAACATATAAGTCGTTATGTGATGTAGTTTGGTGAGGTTCAGATCTGACATTTGCAAGCCTCGTAACACTCGGACTTTGGTTACTTGATCCAGGATATAAACCATTTATGGTAGCCAACATATTTAAAATTTCGATTGCCCGAGGAGCTGGGCCCATATCGTTATGTATTTTTATCAAATGGATAGACTGATAAAATTCTTGAGTGTCCGAAGGATTCTTAGTTTTTAAAGCTTTTGAAAGAAATACCAAGGAGGATTGGAATAAAGCATATATAAAGCATGTTGGGGAGCAAAATATAGTATAATAACCGGGACTCTTCGTTTGATCTTGACGCCTTGTAACAACTTCACTCAATTGTTTAGCAGCATTTAAGCATATGTTTTCGGATTCAGAAACAATTGATTGTGATTGAGAGTATTTATCTGTGGGCAAACTGCTGAATGGGCGGTGTAGTAACAGCACCACGGTGTAATAAAATAGCTTTAAATTTACTACAAAATCAATCATATTAGAATTTAGCGACTGTAAAGCTAATAATCCAGACTTACGGTTGTCTATTTCCGTCAAATATTTGCCATCAGTGGTTTTATCTAATACATTCTTCCAGTTTTTTAACCTAGTATTAAGCACAGACACGATTGTTGGGTCGTCTAAGGCAGCGTCTAAGTTTGCATTTTTTGCGTTAGGAGCATACAGTGATTTTAGGACACGACCTAGAATTTCAGACAATTCAATTAAAAGTAAGAAAAACTGATATACTGGTGCTTCTTCATTGGGATCCTCATCGATTTCGAATGGAGAAGGAATGGCAGCATCAAAATCTCTATCCAAAATTGTTAGAGGCTTTCCAGCACGAGCACCAAGCCATCGATCCATAATATATAATGCATAGAATACACGATGTCTAGTTTCAATTTCAGAGCGAGGTAGGTCCCAATTCGCACAAGAACGGTGAAGGCCTAAATCTTGAGCCATACGTATAGCACTTCCTAAAGTACACCATTGGACAGATTCAATATCGTCTTTGTCCATATCTAGAAAGAAAACCATTAGGAGTGTGGCTTGAACATAACAAAGTCTTGATCGGGTTGAGTCCCGCAGTAGCCTCATAACTTTTCTGAAAAAATCATCCCCGAAATGTTCGGCTTCTTCCACAAGCCCTGGTAAATTTTGACTTACGAACCGAAATGACAATGCAAGAACCGCTTGTGTTAAAATAGAGTGTTTAGTGGAAGAGCTGTCGTATTGCTTAAGAAATTTTGTCTTGTTGATTATGGGAAATGACACATGCAAGTGACTAAAATAGCTATTAATATAAAAAACGGAAAGGTATTAGAAACTCAGTATTATACATCAGATTCATAGGCAGAAACACCGCAAAAAAAAAACAAAAAAAAACTTACATGCCAATCATTTCGTCTAATTGATGAGCGGTAGGCTTACTCGCGCTTTTAAGAAAAGCGCTTCCCAGTTTTTCTGGACGGCTTGATAATGGGATTCTCATGGAAAGTCCAATATCCAATAAAATGTCTGATTTCTTTGCCATTGACGATTTTTCAGTTCTAACAATCATTAATTCATCTTGTGACACTAATTTTAATACAATGTTTTCTCTGCCGGGCCACGGAATTGAAGACTGATCTTTGAAGGCATTATCAAATAGTCGTAGCCCAGTGGATGATTGGCCAGTGTATTTAATACAATCGTAATCCTTGTTCATGTCCTGTTCTCGTTTATCAAAATCGGAATCTTCGTTTTCGCCAGGAGCCAGGTCTGTTTGAATAGGTGGTGAATTTGGCTGACTGTGGCCGGTATACTGAAAGTCATTACGTTCAAGATGTGCAATGGAACAATTCGTTAAAGCAATGAGAAGCAATTCCATTTTTCTGCACTTTTTTTCGAGGTTATCTACATATCTTTGAAAAATGCTTAAGTCAAAGGATATATGATATCAATAGTGGTACTTACACGCTGGGAGGTCCGCGTTTTTTTCTTACTGTTTGAAACTCGCATGTATAACCCCACTATATATTTAAATGACGTGAGTATCTGGCAAGATCAAGTATTACTGATAGGAAAAAAAAATCTTACAGCTTTGCAATTGGAGCATGGCGTGCAGGTATCTGCGTCACATCGTGATTTTCTTTTTCTGCAGAAATCACAACTTCTTTTTGCGCGTGTTCTTTTTAAAGGTGTTGATGATGTGTTGATAATGGATAAATGTGTATTATTGATATGTGAATTTGATGGATTTGTTGGTTGCGAGTATTGGTAAAAGGGGTTCATTTAAAACGTTATCGGATGTTCTTTTATTCTAATGATTTATAGTGTGTATGAACTGTAGCAACAATGACAAAAAAAGTGTTGAAAAGAAAGACAAAAAGGAAAGAAGAAGAAGAAGAAAAAAATTAAAAACTAAAAAGACAAAGGAGTATTAATAGGTGATACACAACCCGTACCTATTCCCAAACATCAAATAGTGAAAAACGGCGCTTCAAAAAGAATATATTAAAATTGGTGGATTTCACCTTGTAATTGATGAATCAACCTAAAGTTTCACATGATTCAGCTATATTGCAGCCTATTGGAAAAGTATTGTACTTGCCTCAACATTTGATCGTTTTCATCTTTGAATTGTTGAATGGAATTTTCAAGTTTACTGTTACTTAATTGCAGGTTATGAATTAATATTCCTTGTTCCTTCAATTTTGTCTATATTTAGGTAAAAAAAAAAGAGTATTAAGATTTTTCGTTTTTTATGTATAATTCAATAGTATAAATGAAGAGACCTCATTTTGCTCGCTATCAGATTCCAACCAACGCATTTCAAGTGACTTTGATTTTATATCCTCTTCCAGCGTATAGAGCTGGTTTCTTAGATCCTGCTCTAATTTCTTACTCTCTCGGGAAGTCTCCGTCGATGATCCCCTTTTAGACTTCATTTTGTAAGAAAGATCATTTAGCTCCTTGTCCTTCATATCCAATAATGTCTGGAATTGGTTTTGCAAAATGTTCAATTCTTTTTGATGTTGTTCAATTATAACTTGTAATTTGATTTGCGTAGTTTCATCCTAGTAACCCCCTGTTAAAAAGATAGGCCCTATACATCAATACGCAAATACTTACATTTGCTTTAGGCTTGTTTTGCTGATCTTTCACTTCTCTCAATTCTCTCTCTTTTGCCGCTAAAAGATTTTCAAAGAACGCCTTTGTAGATTTCAATTCTTTGCTTTCATTTTGTCTTCTGTTTTCATTCAAGTCGTCAATTTCAGAGTGCAAATACGCTAATTCTTTTTTAGAAAGATTTTCATTGAGGATTGATTTATTTAGCTCTTGTGATGATCGCTTAAATCTGTCATTGCAACTCTATAGATATATTAGGATTCATTTTAAATATAATGTTGTACTACTCTTGATTATACCTTTAATTCTAATGTCAGTGTATTTATACTATGCTTTAATTCGTCTATTTCTTTAAGATGTACAAGTTTATCTGCCTCCAGTTTTTCGTGGAACTGTGTCTCTAGCTCATTTCTTAGTGAATCGTACTTTTGTGACAATTCCAGGGCCGACAATTTTAACTTTTCTGCATGTTTCAACTCTATTTCCAAGCGATAGTTTTGCAACTGATTTGTTGTTTTGAATAAATCATCTTTTAATGACTTTTCACTATCCCGTAACTTTTGCACTTTGGATTCATAGGCTTGGGTAAGTAAAGCCTATACATAGAAATCAAAAATGTTAAAATATGTTAAGAAACTCAGATAAATGTAAGAAGGACATTGAAACATCTTTCCATATATGAACTCACCTCTGATTTTACCCGGGTACTTTGCATACGAGAGTCCGCTAATTGTAATTCTTTCTGGTGGTTGGATTTGAGATCATCGACCGTCTGGGTATGCTGTTCTTTCATGTCTTTAATAAATAACGCGTGCTCTTCCTCAAGCTGTGTAAGGGCAAGCTTATTCATAAACAATGCTTAGAATCTAAATCTATTTAGTCTTATTGTTCAATGTTATACCTTAAACTCCGCCTCTTTCTGCAACTGGTCCTGTGTCATCTTTAGCTCAGCATTGGCCAGCACTTTGTTTAAATCGTCACATCTTGATTTGCTCTCCTCTAGGTCTAGACTAGCCTGTTCCTGATTTATCAAATATTAGCTTTTTGGTAGGACGTACAAACTATTATAACAAAAAAATTACTCTCAGGTTTTGCAGTTCACTCTTTAACGATGTATTTTCCCCCTGAAGTATAAAAATCTTGTTACTTAATTCAAGTATCTGTGTTTGATGTGAATCCTATAAAAAAATGGTAAGTTTTTTTATATATATTTTTTTTCAGTTTACACTTTTTTTTACTCGCAAGTCGTTGATTTGTGTTTGCCGAGATTGTTCAATCATTTCAATCTGCGCAAGCACTTGTTCCTCTTTAGACTTTAAATGTGCTGCATGATCTTCTTCGAGCCTAGTGATGATATCTTTTGTTCCGGCCTCATATGATTCCTTTAGATCATTTAGTATGTCAGAATGCTCTTGTTTAAGCGAAGAAATCTCTATTTTGTCGGTCTATAATGACAATGATAAGAATTGTATATACTTTCTTATTACACACATCGTATACCCTTTCTTTGCATCGTTCTTGTTCGATACGTGCATTTTCTGCTTTTGCGTTTTCTAAGAGTGTTATGTATTGGTTCAATTCGGCCTTGTGGGTCACCTGATGCCAAAAAAAAAGGAGAGACTTAGCTTGATACCATTATAACGTACACTTATAAAAAAATTCCCGTTGACTGTACCTCATTATCGGCACTTGTGTTTCTCAGTCTTTCTATTTCTGCCCCATGACTTGATTTTAAGGAATCAATTGTTTCCTGTTTGTTAATTATTAATTTCATATGTATGACGTATGTTTAATGTCGCTTACGACCAGCTCTTGGGCTTCTTTGCGTGATTTTTCAATATGACTGTTCAATTTGAACTCCAATAATTCGAGTTCCTAGACAATGATACGGTGTTAATGAGAAACAATGAAAGGATAACTTTATTTTGACAGTGTATACCTTTTTTTTCTCTTCAATCTCTGCTGAAAATTCTTGGTTGTGATCACTTTTTGAAGCCATTTTTAAACGGTCTTCGTAGTCAGATTTTAATTGATCCATGCCTTGGGCGTATTGCTGATTTAATTGATTTGTTAAGCTAGTGAGTCGTGTTTGATGCGATTGGTGCATGTCCTATATATTGTGAGTACGTTTTTTTATATATGCAAAGTAGACCCATATTGTCCTATACCCGTATATTATCACGCATTTCATCCATATCCTTCTTTAGCTTCATAATATCCCTTTCTTTATCCATAACTTTTGTATTTAAAATCGACTTTTCTTGCTCCAATTTCTCTCGTAATTTTTGCATATTCTCACGATTTTTGGCCTCCGCCATATCCTGCTGTTGGCTTAATGTTACTTCATGTTGCTGTATCAATGCGGCTCTTTCAAGATTGAAGGATTGTTTTAAATCGTTTGACTGGGCTTCGAGTAACTGGATCTTCTCCTCCAACAGTAACAAAGGCCCATTATCTACGGTTTTGATCTCTGTGATGACGACATCGGCTTCTTGTTGCTTCAATAATTGTGCCTTATTTTCTTCAATTTCAAGTTCCAATTCCTCTAACTTTGTTTTCAGTTTCTTCAAATCGTCTTCTTTTTCTGCCAGCAGCTCTTCGTTTTGAGACAGTGCAGTTTGTAAATGCTTGTTCTATTATACATACATGTAAAGAATTGTTGGATATTTGGATTTATTGAGCTTTTTTTTTTTTTATTTTTTTTTTACCTTGTCATTTAATTCTTGGATCGCCAATTTATCCGTAGATACTGATGGAGCGACTGTTTTTTTCTTGTTGATTGTTGATGAATTAGAGTTTGGCGTAGATGCACGAGATGGATTTGAGGCTCGACTAGCACTTCTTGCTGTACTGATGACTGCCGGTGCCGTTGGTCTCTTTTTAGTTAGTGTGGAAGATAGCTGCCTGGGAGAGCTCGTTACAGACTTGGGTACAGGAGTTACAGGCTTTGCAGTGACAGCGGGTTTTGTATTGACCGTTCGGCTTGGTGGTTTATTTGTCGTCAGCTGTTTACTGCTATTACGAAGAGGTGTTTTGGTGGGTCGAGTTGTTGCAATAGGAGAGGCAGCGGGTGTATTTGAGGATCGAACATTTCTTGTTGAAACCGGTGCAACCGTGGGCTTTTTTACAGGTGTCTTTTTAATGGTAGCAGTGGATGATGTTGTACTAGAAGAAGATTTTACGCCTGCTGATTCAAGCGAAGAAAGTCTTGATACTGTCATGATAAAATAAAAAGAAATAAAGAATCGACTTAAAAAAGGGGAAAAAACAAAAACAAATCCTATTTTTTTTTATATTATGCTAGTGTCGCCAATTAAATGAACTTATATTGTGTGTTTATTCAGAAAAAGGAAAAAATAATCATGCAAGAGGCACATATAAAAAGTTATCCGATTTAAAAGTCAGTTGATTATAGGCTTCCCGTAACTCATTGTCATTCTAGATGCTTCCACTTATTAAACTGTTACATATTCTTCAAGCAAGACTTCGTTATTGAAAGAAATAGGCTTGACCAACAGTTCTGAACTTTGTGCCTGATTAGCATTTACCGTATCGACCCTTGTACTCCTGCTATTCTGGTATGAGAAATTCGGACTTAAATCTATCGCCTCTTTGGGAATACATATCGAACGATATGTAGATAGTTTAGAGCCTGAGTGTGACGGCACGGCTTTCATCCACCAAAACCTAGTCTCAATACTGTTTTTCTCATCGAATATGCAAGTCTTTTTGATATAAACAACAACAGCCTGATTATAAACCGAGTTGGACTAGTAAGGGGTTTAGAATACCAGGATGAAGGTATGTAAGGAGAAGAAATGAGCCTTAAACGGAGCCTATTCAAAGCGATGTAGCCGCTGATAATGAAATGGGCTTGTTTAATTTATTATTTCTATCCTGTGTCTAGAATAGACTTCAGCTTAAATATGTAGGTAGACATGGACTGCAATAATATTAGACTAGGTATGAACACTACCCCGTATATGTATTGATCAACGGATAAGTTTCCTTCTACTTCCATTCTTTATGGAAAACGACAACGATATAATTAAGAAGCTGGCATAGGATTTATGTCTCTAAATGATTTTTCTAGCCAGGCCTTTTTACTGTATGAAGAACATTACAAGGACACTGCATGTCAACATCCGAACCCTGTGCGACACAACTCTTGTTTTTTCATTTTTAAAAAGCAGCTCAATTTTGTTTGTTTAAATCTTTTCTTTTCTTTTAGCAACACTCTAATGACTAAAAAAGAAGCTGCCGGTGTCAAACCTTCACAGTTTACCAAGAAGGCCACACAACCACCTCTTATCAACAAGATCCCAACAAACAATAATAGTGATGGTATCTCAGATGCGGAAAAGTTTAGATTAATTGATCAATCAGGGCTGATGCAGAAGGTTAAACAACGCGAGTCTGAACTGCTGGTGAAAAAGCAAGCAACAACATCAGAGTATGTTTGGCAAGCAATCTTTTTAAGCATTCCTTTTGGCTTTTTAATGGCCACTTTTGATATAACTGTAAAGGTTCAATTTAGCGAACCTTGGAATTATGCTGGCATATTCGCTAAATGTGCAAAGTCTGCCCCAGGTAAAAAAAAAAAAGAGGGAGATTGGCAATGATTGTGAACACATCCTTAATAGATCCCTTTTAGCGCTTGCACCTTTAATATACTTGAGCAATCGTTACAAGTCTGGTCGAACTACACAAATTTTAATGGCCATCGGTTCAGCGGTTATAGGTTCCTTCTTGATGTATACTTTGCGCCACTCTCCTTCGTTAGGCCAAATGATGCGTGCTCCTGGATTGGCCACTGTTTGGATCTATTTTATTGTACAACTTGATCTGATCCCAGCAACAGTGACATTAGCATTAGTTGGACTATATTATTATTTTGGACTACGAGTTTGAGAGGTAGCGAGATAAGGATGAGGGAGGAGTATTACACATTTTATTAGTAGAAATAAAAGTGTAAAAATAAATAAATAAATAAATAAATAAGTGTTGATTATACTTCAAGAAAATTATTTCTTGAGATAATAACGTTGATAAATAGTAGCACCGACAGCGATAGCAGCAACGCCTACAGTGACAGCACCAATGCATCCTAATCCTGAACATCCGTTCTTTTTAGGCTTGGCTTCTTCAGTGGTTTCGACTTGGATTTCCTTTAATTCAACAAGGATTTCTTCTTCAATGGTGGGTTGGATTACAGAAGAAGCAAGTTGACCAGCATCAGAAAGTTCTTGAATTTCATCAAATAAAGCGATGTTCAATTCAAATGACTGAACAGCTTCAGAGACAATAAGATCTCTAGTATTTTGATCAACCTTTGCAGCATTGAGACGTTCACGATAAAAGTTCTTGAAATCCGTTTGATTACCCAGGTTGTTAAAGTGGTAAAAGTTCAAACCTTCAATAGTGTCCCAAGAGCTATCGTTTTCGTCAAGTTTAAGAATGCTTTTCTTGAGTCTCTTGGACAAGATCTGACCACCACTGAGATCACCCAAGTAACGGGAGTAACTATGGGCAATTAAGAGTGCGGGGCTCTTGGCACAAGCATCTTGCATAGCCTGAACGTATTTCTTAACGGCAGGAGTCATTGTTTTAACATCAATGAGTTCGGCAACGCGATCCTTACCATAAAAGAATTCAAGATCTTGTTCAATGGCTACTCTTCTGTTCAATTCGTGAGGGAAATGAATGATACTGACGACAGAATGATCCTTATACTGCTCAAGCAATTCTTCCATATACCTAAAAAAAAAAAAGTGATAAGTACAATTGAGCCATTTACTTCCATATAATCAATCAACTTACTTGTAAACAAAATAGAGAGAATTGATATAGCGGCCATATTCGTCGGCATTGATTTCTCCCTTGAGGAAACGTCTAGAAGAAAAGTAAAATAATTAGTAATGGCACCATTATTTTCAACTCCAGTTCTTCCTCTTATTCTTACCTCGTAAAGATACTAGTTTCAGCAGCTCTGTGAACAACCTTTGTTCCTTCACGCATAGCAGAAGCTAATTGAGGATCTTCAAGGTATTCGGGTTCCTGTTCAATGGGCTTCTCTTCAACCTTTTTCTCATCTTGCTTGAAATTAAAAAGTTGTGCAAGTTGAGTTTTGTCGAGGAAACGATTTAAAGTCTTTACAAGAACGACACCCTCTTCACAAGAAGGAAGTTCTACAAGGATCAGGTTAATCTTTCACACTCTAACAACATTTCAGTAAATGAAAATACCTGTCATGTTCAGCGTAGGATGATCTTTAGGGATTTGAGCCATCAAATCAACAATCTCTTGTTCAGACTTGGTAGAGAATGGGCATCCTATTTGGTAACAAAAAAATTAAGTAACAGAGTCAAACAAAGTCTTCTTTTTGTTTACATACCATCTTTGAAAGCAGGACTAACGTTAAATAGAAATGATCGTAAATATGCATGTCAAATATATCATACGAATATGTAAAAAAATGGTTTTACCAGCGAGAAAGCTCACCGTGGCTAACAGCAAGAGAATCGACCTCTTCTAAAACAGCGTAAGGGCAACCCTTTGAGAAGGCAGGGCAAAGATGTTTAAGCTCTTCCATGTTGGCCAAACCATCAAGACCGGGGTGGGGAGGCATTACAGTATCTGGAGACATTGTTTGTTTTTATTTGTATAAAGAAAGGGAAAAAAAGAAAGGAAATCAAAAAAAAAGGGATTTTATTTTAAATGATCCCAGCTGACTCTTTACTCAGTGTGATTAAATAGCCGCTTGACAAGGGTTACGTTTTTTTGATAATCAAACCTTTAAGCATATCAAAGCTGTTTCCGTCAGGCTGAAGTGTAAATTTCTTTCGAGGATCATCAACACTTACAGCCTCCAACATACCATAATCTGAAGTGATACCTACAATCTTGGCACGTTCATTATCGTGCGTAGTTAATGTAACAAGCTTATTACTACAGAGGTATATGTAAGTATATAATATGGTTACTGCGAAACATTGATTTTACCTGTGAAGCCATCGAGAATAGTAGAGATCCAGGAACCATTTTCCCATACCCTTTTCACAAAAGTCTATATACAACTTTTCAAATGTGACTAGAACATGTGCCAATACATCTTCTTTATCCAGCTTTTTCAAGCTTGGGTTGTGATTTTTAATCACATCATTAATAGAAACAGTGGGATGAGTATTATTCAAATTAACACCACAGCCAATTACTAGCAAGAATTCATCCCGAATAAAGCTAGAGTTCACTATGAGTCCGCCAACCTTCTTGAGGCCTTGATTCGGTAAATCGACATAGATGTCATTTGGCCATTTTACTCGAAGCGGTACATCTTCGTACCCTTTTCGACCTCGGATACTTTCGACAATAGCCAACGCAGTCAGATATTGAATGAAAACAACAGGCGATTTGTCCAGCTTCAAACTATGTCGGATAATAAAACTAAACTGCAATGCGCCAGCTTGTGACACCCAAGAATTACGTCCTCTGCCTTACAATAAAAATATACGCATCAGCTTCTTATTGTTCTTTAACACGTTTTTAGATTACCTCTTCCGGCAATTTGGTTTGTAGCCAAGCATACTAGACCGCTGGGTAAATTCTGTGCAAACTCATAGTTCCTGTAATTTCCCCGTTAGCCATATTAATAGATAAAATAAAATGATGATGTCAAATACTTACTTGTCCAACACAGTTTGGGTACTTGTAATGACCTCAGAGCATAGCATGGCATTACCAAGTCTATACCAAGATCCGCCTCCCCACTCTAATTTTCGACAGTCTAATAAAGACTTGTAAAAAACGGATAAATCAAATACGGGTGTCAATGATTTATCGGGTACAACGGGTTCCAAGGATTGTGTAGATGACGTTGCAGGGTATAACACTTGTAATACCGGTGATTTATCCTCGGATCTTCGCTCGATCGAAAGCTTTTCCATAGCCAATTTTAAAGCATCGACATGATTGATTTCAGAGATACAAAAAGTATCATTTGAATCTTTCAAGATATTGTTTCCATCTACCTTTGTAAGTAATTTGGCGGTGATTGCGTTTAATGTATTTCCATTGATGGCCGACATATAAATGGGGGTTAAATCAGGCACGTTGCTAGCGGCTTGTAACACATTTAATCCTAATTCAGACAATGATTGACAAAGTAAATCTCGGCAAAAAGGTAAAGAGGCTGTCAGTTCGGCAGTAATCTTCTCTTTTTCCTCGTTCTCAGTCAAGTCAACCAAAGACACGTCATATTCGGGATGAACACCAAATAACAAGGCAGATCCCTTGCCTACTTGACATTTGATTCCAGCCGCGGGCTCATCTTCCTGGTCACCACATAATCCACTGTCTTGGTAAGTACAAATCACCTTGACATTCTCGGCTGACTTGGCATTTGCAAAATAACCACCGCCATTATAATAGGTTTTGATGGTCTTATTATTGGATACAATACCTACAGAACGAGCGCCCTTTTCACTATTATAGATGAAACCGGGAAACATGGTGCCACGACACACGCCTGGAAAAAAAGCTAATTCTCGAGATCCAATGATCTCACTTGTACCGTGTCCCTTTTCAAATTCAATCTCCTTTGAAGCATAATACCCACCCGCACAAAATCCAAGGTAGTGTCCACCTTCTGAAACATACCGACGAATCTTTTGATTACCACGTCCGTTCAAGTCTTCACAATAAGGTTGGTCTCGTCCACCGGGAATAACTAGCAACGAACAAGTTTCTTCCCAGGGTTCTGTTTTCAAAGTCGCGGCGTCCACCTTCATGACATCGTAAGCGTGACCGAGAATGGCTTTTAAAGTAAGATAGGCTTGTTTGACAGAATTAGGTGACGTACCATTGCCGTTGTAAATGAGTACGTTCATGGCTGCACTGTATTGACGATGAAGCGTACCGGAGATGGTATGGCGAAACACTTTTGAATATTAAAACAAAGCTGTCTAGAAAGATGAAAGGTGAGATAAGGCTCAGTGTGTAGGGTGACTGTTAGTGCATGTAGACCTGTTAAAAAAAATTAGGCGAGCATGGATGGGAAGGGAATGGCCTTGCAAAAAGGTCGATTTCCCAGAAAGACTGCTAATTAGTGTCACCATGCGTAAATAAAATGACAGTATGGGTATGATAATAAACCTAAAAAGTGATGATAACATCTTGAACAAGGTTTGAAAGTGATGCATGGCCCATGTACATGAATTTAGCCACTATGCTTTGTATATTTAACCCCAAACTGTTTATTTTAAACATCACTCCCAGTGTAACAAGGTGAAAAAAAAAACTCCATTTGTAATGGATTAAAGCAAACGCTGTTCAATTTTTTTTTTGTTCGGTTTTTTATTTCTCTCTTTCTTTTTCTTTTTTTTTTTTTTTTTTCTTTTCTCTCTCTCTCTTTTAACTTCTTTTGCAGTATATACCTTCTTATGTCTTTAAGTGATGACAAGTATTATTTACCATCTACCTTGGAACCAAAAAGAGATGAACATTCGACAGATGTTAAAGACAGAGAACCTTTAAAAAGTAAGTGATAATTATTGGCTGACATAGTGTAATTTTAGACTAAAATGATGATGATTTAGATTATTTATCTAGTAGGCAACTTCCTGCATTAGATACACTTCAAAATAATTATCATAATGATGATTATATTCGTATTAAACTTTCGGGAATGTCCGTAGGTGTTTCACCAAATTCGTCCCCTCGTGGCCATCCTCAATATCAACATGAACAACGTGGTAGTGAATATTTTCCACCGCAAGTAGAGGAAAGACGTGTCTTCGATCCCATAAGATCCTCTAATCAAACACCGTTAATAAGAAGAATCATGCATCAAGACCCATTATTAGCCCAAAGAAGACATTCTATTGCAAACATGGATTTAAACACAAGATCATCAACAAATGGTAAGAAAAAAAAATATATCAATCCTGTCACTTTATAATTAATTTTTCTTACCTTTTTTTAGAGTCACATATATACCACCATTCACAACAGACCCACCAACACCAACACCACCAACAACAACAACACCAACAACAGCAACTTGCAGGCCATTATTCTGCTCCGTCAAGCCCACCTCTATCTAACCATCAAAAATTAAATAAGCATACATTTTCACCTTACAGAATCAAATCACATAATAACAACATCGATGATGATTTACCTCCTCCACCATTACAACAAATGCGTCGTAACTCTTCTGCACTGGTCTATCGAAGTAATAACAATAATCTATCATCCCGTCGAATGTCTTCTTCATCATCTTCGTCATCGTCTTTGGTAAATATTTGCTATTGTTTAGTGTAACCAACGTCAAACTTTTTCTAAAAAAAATGATCTCTTTAGAATCGGATGAACCAAATTGGGACTTTCTCAAAGCATCATCATCAAGAAGAAGAGGAAGATGAAGACGACATAATTATTAATAAACAACAAAGAGAGGACATGGAAGGCTTATATTCTAGAAGTCCTGAACTTCGTATCAGCCACAAGTTGGCTGAACGAAAGAGAAGAAAAGAAATGAAGGATTTATTTGAAGAGTTGAAGGATGCTTTACCTGTTGATAAATCAATGAAGACTAGTAAATGGGAGATACTCAGTAAAGGTAAGCAAATATACGACAATATGATCGTATTTACTTATAATATCATAAACAGCTGTGGAATATATTGGCATGCTAAGACACAGAGATTATAATATGGAGCAAGAATTAGTCATGTTGAAGCATGAATTGGAGACTTTAAAGACTGAAACTCATACTTACCGTTAGTCATACCTCAATATTTTTTTTTCTTTTTTTTTTCACTATGAATAAATATCATAACCCACTTATTGGGTATGCACTATTAAGCAATGCGGATTCATATTGTATTCCGAGCCACCGCTAAATATGTCAAGTAAGGCTCACATGTTTCACTACCGATTCGATTTAAGGATGGCCGCTGCAGTTTTTTTTTTTCGATTAAGCATACATTGTGCGAGGAAAACACGTGTTTTATTTAACTCAAAGTCTGCAAGGGAGCCTCAGCTTGTGGTGGTACAATATAAGGCGATCAAAAACTAAAAGTTTCTTCAATATTTCCTATTTTCCTAAAGTTGCTACCCTTTTTCTTTTCTACATCAGTGAGATCGTTTGTTTACCACATTGCAGAAAAAGCACATCAACATATTGATGATTTGTCAAAATCAAGTGGGAAAAAATGTCTGTTGTACAATATCAATTGTCGCTGGACTAAATAATGCCTTTTTTTAAAAATAGGGTTTCGCTGTTTGCACGGGTGAAGTGTTAGGGGACAAGCATTGTATCACTTGCAGTTACTTTCACAGAGTAGCAGCTTTGTACATATTAAAAATGCAGGTGTGTACATATGCATGTTTCCAAAAGACAATGTACCATTTGGTAAATATGGCTACGTAGTTTACTGGAAGAGGTCCATTTCATGTTTTAAGTTTGAGCACTCTAAACCACCGTAATCTTTAAAAAGAAAGACGTATGACACATAAGAACCTAAAAGAACATAGCCAATGTTTTAGGGTATTCTTATAGTTTAATCCGTATTATCTTTTAAAATAAATCATTGAAAGAACAATCAATGAGGCATATTTAAAAGAGATACAGAAAGCAAAAATACTTGTGACATCTACGTATCAACTATAAGCAGATGCAAGCTACAAAAATTTCTATAAATGGTTTGACTAGTTCAGGGAATAAAGGGGGATAGATAAGGTAAGCAAAAAGTACCAGCAGATCAAGCCTGCCGCACTTCCGTTAAAATCTGACGAAGCTTAACAATTTTTTATTAAACCGAAGTCTCTTTTCTTCAAATGATGGAGGGGCAAAAGAACAAGTCTATCCAAGCAAGGGAGGAATATGAAGATACCATCGAAGAAAAAATTAACAATAGGATATGGCTCAATTCGCATCTTTTTGTTTTGGCGACTGTATATACTTACAATCCTTTTTTTAACATATGGCTTTAATTTTGCGAGTTAGCAAACAGAATTAAAAATAAACAAAAATTATCGCTGGTGGTGATACAAATAAACATGTAAAAGATGCACATACGCAAGAATATATGATGAATCATGATAATTATTTAGTTTTACGGGTGTCAAGTTTATCACGTTACTTAGTTTATCATATCGTTATATAATTTTGTAAAATCTGAAAAAACTGCCATGGCGGAAAATTTGCTTAATAGATGCATAATTCTTAAAATGCCTGTTTTTCAATCCAATCTACTGACAGATCACCTGCTTGTAATGTCATTTTTTGTTGATTGAGGCAGTGACCAGACAGTTTTCAAAATTTATGATGACTCTCGTATCTGCAACCCACAGTGTCACGAAGTGATCCTTCTTGGCTCATTTTTAATGCACAACTAAAACAGTTTTCTTATAAGAGTATCTTTTCGTCCTTTTATAAAAATAAAATTACCCTGCTAGATTCTACCACCACTTAATACAATATAAAGGCTTGGTCGTATAAAATCAGATTTTTTGGGCTTTTATGAAAAACTTATTTAAACGACGTAACCTATTATTGTTTTCTGTTCTCTCTGATATCAGACAGTAGATAGCCCGTTTTGTACCAAATCATATGAAATTAAAGGGTGTTTGGAACGGGCCTTATTTAGGCTACACTTGGGCACAATTTTAAGAGAAGACCTTTGATTTCTGGTGATCTTCTGTACTTCTGCATTAATTAGCTGATCTTGACATTCAATAATAACACTAACTCCAATATGCTTTATCTGGAGACTAATTGTGAAGTGAATTAATTTCCCATCTATCCCAACCATTGATGGCATAATAATTTTGGCTTCAACTATCTTAGTATGGTTCATTGTAAGGTATCTGTTATTAGCATTTTCCTCAGAGTCACAAGAAAAAATTGCTGATATTAAAATTAGCTAATTTCGAGAGTTTTTCACGGTTGTTGTATTTACCTATTACTGCATCATTGGGGTATACAACATATACATCTTTCTTATACACTCTTCGCTCGTCTTCTAATTGCTGGCCCCTTGTTACAAAATATTCTAATCGATCTTTTTCAAAATTCTCCTCTCCGTCAGGGCCTTTCACTTTTCTCTTATGTGAATTCGCCAGACCTTTTTTAAGAGGTGCCAGTACCAATAAGCCTAAGGAATGTCCGGCAGTTCTTTTTGTTATCAAACGTGGATTCAAGGCATAAGATACAGCACCGTTAGAAATAGCCGTGACACCTTCGAAAGGGATGCTGACAGCACACACGTATCTATATTGGTCTTTAATGCGCTGCTGCAGGTATCTGGATTGGGAAAAGCCACCAACCATCAAGATAGCATCAATTTTTCTATGTCGTTTTTTTGCCTGCCTAATTTGTTCATCAATCAGGGCAAGGATACGATCAACAACAGGGTCGAATATTTTCTCTTTCATATCCCTGTTCTTCATTTTAAGAGTCTTGTTCCCATTAACCATTCTGTAGCTATTATTATTGGGAAAGTTTATAGCAATCTTCCCAGGCAAATCAATATCAAAATAACTATCGCCTTGACAATTAGGCATGAAATCAGGCTGAATTATTTAGATGAGTTGAAAAGAGCTATATTTACATAAAAATGATATATCTGTTACCTTGTGCTTTGTTACAAAAGTCCGCATAACATCATCAAGAAGGACATTTTCTTTGTCTATATTTACTCCAACGCCTTTATAAAATTCACAGATATAGTTTTTAAACCTTACATCGAGATACTTTGAGCCGCACATATCACCAACACCATCATCAATTTGACAAAGCATTGGCTCATTTCTTTCATTGGTTTTTAAATTAAAAATAACTGAATCTACTGTTTCTCCGCCAGCATCACACATAATAAAGTTGGTATCATTTATGTCGCTTTCTCGAAAGTATGTGGAAAATCTCTTCTCACAGTACAATGCTGCTGCCTCAGGTTCACTGATTATAAGAAGCTGGTCTATTTCATCTTTTTTTATCATTGTAGCTTCAATGGCGGCCTGTACCATGGTATTTCGAGCTGATGCGTTCCACATTGCAGGTACTGTGATTACATATCTTATCTTGTATTTTTTTAAAAGCTTTGCCCTGGTGAAAACATTAAAGTTTTCATTCATTTCTTTGGTGACGATATACTCAACAACATGTTTTTTAAAGAGCTTCAGATAATCTGCAATGACTTGTACTACAAACACTTCATTTTTGTTCCCTTTCTTTGGGGTCTCAATATCAGCGAAACCCCCTTGCTCCTTCATTTCTTCCAGATCTTGATTTTTACCATAGAAGTTTTCCAAAGATTCTGGACATAAAAATAATTTAAAATTTTGCAGAAGATTGAGATCTTTGTGCTGATTGCTTTGAAGTCTTGCTTTTTCACCCCAATATTTCGGCTTCATCTTTTTATCGTACGTTAACAATGTTGGAGTCTTTCCAAACTTAAGTAGATTGTCTCCTGGCCTACAAATATCTACATATTAGAGTGTTGTTTAAGTTGGGGAACTCTAGCAATTAATATTACCAATTCTCTTTTATAGTCTTAATATTTTCTGTAGCCATAGGTTTGCCATGCTTATCCTTGAGTTGAACATACGAGCAGCCAGAATAACTTGTACCGAAATCTAAAAAATGACAGGAGAATTTAAAAAGTGAATCCAATTGCAATTGTGTTTTTTTTTTTTTTAAAAAGTTACGAACCAATTCCGATAATAAAGTCGTAAGCATCATTTCTGTTAAAACTTTTGGTGGATTCGTCTAAGACTGTTTTTGATATATGTACTTGTTCTCCGTTGTAGTAGGGAATCTGTGATGATACAAGAGTGGTTAAAATTGAAGAAATCGCGCCCGAGGAAATCGTATTTAGCGAAGGTTCAACTAAAAAAATATTATTTTTTCTTTTCCCCTCATATTTGTCCCTGAGGTTTTCAAAAAAATATGCATCACCCCCATACTTTCCAGAAAGAAATAGCTTGCATTGACCGTGAGTTTTATCAACATTTAATATGTATTCTGTTATGTTTTCAATAAATTCCTTGAAGACAATTCTATTGAGTTCTTCGTAAGTGAATTCGATGATATTCCCATTGGCATCATTTTGTGAGATAGCGACCTCTTCTGGATAGTCCATGTAAAATGCATACTATTAGAACGGTAACAGTCAGATTAAACAGGCACAAATAAAACGTAAATTGAATAAATATTTGCCTGGACTTGTTCGGAGAACGCATCGACGAATTGAGCAATCACCGAAACATTCAAATTCAGTTTTGCCATATTTTCCATCAAGTAATCTTCAAATTTAGTTTCCAGATTTATTGAGCCCAGCGTGAGGTTGTCAGAAATTGCTGTAACGGAACTTAGTGATTCAGTAGAAGCTGCTTGAATTTTTGCTATCCCAATTGAGACGTCGTCTACATCGCAAACAAGGTAATTTTGATCGTTTTGGATCCTGGTTACGTTTCTTTCAAGAGAGAGTTGACAGTGAGCAGTAGCGACTGCTCTGGTACTAAATAAAAGCCGGTGTTCAGCTTCAGATTCCTCGATAATTCCTGCCTTGATAAAGCAATCTTTCATAAATTCTTGGCGATCAGTTGGACAAACGAGGCAATAACAAACAGCTTTGATGTCTTCATCAATAAATTCTTCGCTAACAAATTCTTTGAAATGCATATCATGAATAAGCTTTTCATGAACCTGTAATCTCTTGAGGGCAAGTTCAACAAAATGTTTCAAATAATCAGTTATAACTTTTTTATTGGTCAGACCATCCATCAGTTGACCAAGTTTTTTATTCGAAGTATCGATGTCAGCAAGATACTGACCGATGTTAGCTACATAAACACCTTTATTATCGAAATCATCAAGTTCAAGACCACATAACGGGGTGTCGTTCTCATTCTCTGGGTACGTAATTGAAGAAAAAAATTTTTGAGATTTTCTCTTGTAATCATCCCTATGTAAAGCTCTTAGAGATTTTTATAAAGGTAACATTTTATTTAAGAACGTAAATTACCAGGTTGAAACGGTAATAACATTTAATGGGTCGTTTACATGAGCAATCGAGACCGCTGAAGTGGAAGTTCCTAAATCTGTTGCACAAAATGTTATAGGATTTGCCTGAATTGTTTCAACATCATCACTAACCTATACCGACAATGTATTTTATCTGATCCAAACTAGTCATGCTTTTAAAAGATAAAATAACAAAAGGTAAGAATGCGATATCCAAAAGCCTCTTTTATATTATTCTGGTGTCCAGTCATAAATTGCTTCTTGATGTCGCACATAACTGTGTGCTACCACGGATTAACCAATAAATAGCGCAAATATCAGATAAATCCAAATGATGAGGAAGTGCGAATGAACCTACTTATTCTTAAGGCTATTATCAGGGAATCTTTCCTTTTATTATCGATATGTTATTGTGATTTTTTTGTTTTTTTAAATTATATTCAAGTAGCACAGAAATATCTGTACGACTGAACATGAACTCTAATATAAATTTTAACAATGTCGGAATCAGCTTCGTTTATTTCGCGCCATTCATAAATTTTTCTGAGTTTTGACATGTTATCAAAACAAGGCCTCCTACAACTTCTCTTTTGTTGGGCTTTAGTCACATACAAAAGGTTTTAAATCCCAAAACTATTCAACTTGACTTATTATATTTAATCTTAAATGAAAATTAATGCTAACATACATTGTCTATTTAAAGCAAGATTACTTCATGATTACTTCTTTTCATCTTAACTTTTATTCAATCTTAGTGTATGCTGACCAAATGTATTATTTCGATACACATGTCTAAAATATTTGAGGAGTGCTGCAGGCTTAACACTCACACTCATTCGAATCAATTTAACTCTTTGATTTTGTGCTGAATGCACCGATCTAAAGACATAATTCTTGTTGAATTTTAATAACTCTGTTTAACAATGATTTGTTATTCGGGATAGTCGACGGACCGTCTAATAAAATTGATATTTTTTTAACTGCTTTTCATAAGTCTTATTCATGCTTTTACCTTAAATGTAACTTCTACAACCATATTGAGAAAGATGTATGGCTATACTAACGTTTATAAATACAGCATGTATGTGATTCGAATCACTTAATAAATAGTACATTTTAGACGTAATAAGATAAAAACGCCAACCGTGACAACTAATGAGATTATCAATATAAATAAAGCTGTTGTTGCAGGAGATACCCAGAATAAAAAATTGAAAGAAAGCTCCCTTTATAAATAAAAAGTCCCTTTAAACGGTTGGGGGACTGCAGCTTTCGATAAGCCATGTAAAGAAAGCAATCTGGTAGACACGCTTCATGGAAAAAAGATAGAAGACACAAGTGCCAATGAAAGCATAACGATCATGTATATTGATGAGTACTTAACCTTTAAAATAAGATGATCAAAGATTCTTACGTCTGACTGAATAATAACACTATAATTAAAATGAGTTCAAATATTTCTTACTTGCTAACCCTTATATCAGATAGTTCTATAGTTTTTTGACTTGTAAAAATAGTACAAATTATGGAACGAAATTATAAATGCTTCCCTAAATATTCAATCTATTTCAAACAATTAACAACGTAGGACCAAAATTATTTAAAAGATCTACAAGAAGCATTCAATCATCCATATCTGAGCACATATTGGTAGTTCGGTTAGATGAAAGAAACACATTTTTTAATAAAGGCTCAGAAAAAATGTGTTCCGCCTTTAAGCATGTCCAGCGGTTTGATATTATGCAAGGAAACAAAATTCTTTTAAAAAAGCAGGTTGGTTCTATTTGTTTGTAAAAAAAAAATGTGGTTTACTTTACTACATATATTACGACCGTTACTAAAATCTCACAGAGATTACGAAATTATCAGGAGGAATGTGTTCGCTACGGGTGATTGTGGCGCTGACAACTTATAAGCCCCACAATCTTTGTTTGAGAATTAGCATTGTCAGTGTAGTGTGAGAAGAAAGTTTTGTTGAGCTTAGTTTTTCGAGACAAGAATTTTTCTACAGAAACGGGAATTCAGGTTTGGGTCATTATATTTAATACGCGGGTCTGCAGCTTTCTATGTTCCTTTCATTTTATATTATTATGCCAAATATATTAATGGATGGTGTTAACATAATAATAATCGATCACTTGTTTAAGTGCATAAAACAGGGAGTGAAAGGTGACGTCCAAGCAGGTTTCCATTTTTTAAGCCCAGTCCTTATTAGCCTTTTTTTTTTTTTTTTTTTTTTTTTTTGCATGACCCAAAACATATGAATGACCGACAGAGAGGGTGCACATAAGAAAACGGGCTTTTTTTTCACATAGTTAAAGCAAATGAACCCTCCAACAAAAACTTCACATCCTTTCATAATGGAAACCAAACCGCAAAGTCCAACAAAAAAATTAAGTCGCCATTCAAGAACTGAACTTATAAAACTACGTGACAAGAATTTGCAAATGTTGAGCAACCCGTAAGTTGATAATTTTTTTTTTTTGGAACACTCACACACATACTTAAATAAAATTAGGTCTTTTGTCGAAACTTTGCCTGACAAGGGGGATAAATTAAGAGAGACAAATGAGATAATCAAAAGCTTATTAACAGATGGTCGCACAGCCACATCATTTGATGAAATTACAGTGTCTAATACGTTGGGTTTTCAAGACTGTCCGTTGACTAAAAAATTGGAAGAAATGTCTGTGTTAACACCACGTCAGGGAGCCAGAAAAAGATCCGTTGACCATGCAAATCAGCAGGCTTTTAACCCTTATGCATCTCCTGGTCTCTTGACCAAGCCAAGAAGAAGTCATGGTAGTTGTCCTTCAATTTTTTATCCTCATCAGCGTGAACCGCCCGCCGTGTGTGACATGAAGGTAATAGTGTAAATATATTATTCAATAAACAGATATTAATTATTTCTAAAAAAGCCAAAAGTAAGGATGATCACTTTGGATGAAAGTGTATCGCTTCAAACAGAACAAAGATCATCAGTGATAGAGGTAAGATTATAGTCGCGCTGTTGCAGTGACGGTAACTAAACTTAAAATATAGAGCCATAAAGAGCTTGATATTGCAAAACCCGGTAGGAGTCTCTTGAGGTCTTTAAAGTAAGTTTCATAATGACCATCAACAGGTGTATACTAACAGGTTCCCCTATAGTCTATCAATAGATTTAATTCAAGAAGTAGACATTGACCAGGTTGAACTACCAAATGATGATTCAGATGATGCATATGATCCCATGCTCATTGATTAAGAATTTTATTCCTTTGTATATCCCCCCAACTCATAAATAAATGTAAATATCCCTTTACAAGTAAGAATAGATGAAGATCAGGAGAATAGAAGATGTATGCAGCCATAATTCAGAGGTTATCTGGTTCCTTATTATCAAATCTAGTTCATATCCAAGGTTTCGGTTATGTTCAGATGCATAATGCTCGTAATTAGACTGAACGAAAAAAAAGCCCAAGACGGGGATTGTTAAATAAACAACCTTTAGTCTAGACAGTGCTACACAAGAGTTTTTTTTTTAACAAACAATGAAGCAAGTGCAATTTAGATTAACATCTACAAATATTTAAGTCTTTCCTATCCTACAGACATTACAAATGGGTCTCAGATTAAGTGATGTTGACTATCACAGTTTTGTTTGCTCAGCATTTTTTAATAAACTTAAAGAATACGCCGTTGTTCGAGAATCTTTTTGTCCGTAACACAGGTTTCAGTTAAACATTTTAATAAGGGAGGTAATCATAATTTTGGTTACAAGTCGATAATTATCAACACGTATGCAGCATCATGCTGAAATAAAAGGGAGAACTTTGTAACTGAAACTGGTTATACAACTACAGCAAAAAAAATTAAGCGTTAATATGCAAATGTACTTGTGACGAGTTATTATTAATGTTTTGTTACCATATTCAATCATGTATTATGCATATAGTGTGTCTTATTTAGCTATGGTTTTACCACATGAACGATGATTACAAATAGTAATTATTGACTTTTTCCGGGTAAAGTTTTTGTAGCAATTTTTAAAGGTTGTGTTCTAGTATTAAACTTTGTAACGGAGACATCCCATGCACATCAGCTTGTGCCTTGATGGTCAGTAACATACATATTTTAAGTCTTGATCGGTTTGCCTTAAATTAGCTATATTTATTTGACATTATATTGGGTCAAAGTCGTTTTGGAAAAACGCGGGGAAGGGTGGAGATACTTGATATAAACATAGTTGTATGTATCGAGCCTTTTTGACTGCCAAGCCTTTATCATTGTATACCGAGGACGTCTATTAGCCTTTTTTGTTTTGTTTTGATTTGACAGTTTAATAGTACATGTGCATTCGGTAATTTATTTATGATTCGACCTAAAGATGATGGAGTATATTTAGCATAGCATTATTATTTTCACAGCATGTTCCTGTCTTGTAGTAGTATCTAATAATGATATTTGCAGAAATGATATGTCTATGTTTTCACGGAACGATTATACTCGATCTTACATTGGAGAGAAACACAACAGATTTAAAAGATCAGCGAAACATTTATCATGCACATGACGTTAATACTGATTTCGGTTAATTTTTGTTGAGGAGAAAGAGAGTATAAGCTACCTAAGACCTTCTGCAAGATATATTCTAGAAAAGGTACGCGGTAACACCTGCTTGTAGTGGCTGTATTATCCCTTTTAAAGAAGCAACGATTACATACCTGATGTGTGTATCTATTAATATTCAACAAAGTAACCCCCCCCCAATGCAAGTAGCATAAAATTGAGGCTAAGCAATCCACGGATAATTCTTGATAGTAACAAGTAATTGTCAGGTCATATTGGTTTCAGCCAGCTCAACAGTGCGTGTTTTTGAAGAGGGTATTGTTTATTTTAAATCGATTTGAGACATTTTAATTTGCCTGATAAACATGATCAGAATATGGATCATCGTGGTTACTGTTTATTAATAAGTTTCTAACGAATGTCAGATATGCGAGTACGGGAAGAACAACTAGCCCAACTTTGGAAGTTTATTTATGCGGAGATACTAATGAAAGAAAAAAGGAATTTTTCTTTTCCTCTTCTGTAACATTCCTCCTAATCTATTTAGTAAGTGTAACGTATTGACGCCATAAACTAAATGATGTATGTTCTCCATACCTTTAACCATAGAGGATGAAAAAAAGTTACATGTTGGAATAAAGGGGCAAATAAAGAATAAAAACCCAGTCTTGAGATCATTGGTAACAGACTGAAACTTATATTAAAAATAACAGATATGCACAGCAGTTCGTTTGAAGATTAAAGAAAGTTATTCTCTTGTATAAAGGAATGACGTAGCCCCTTTTATTTTATTTTTTTACGTATAATACTAATTCTTTACCGTTCAAAAAGTTTATTTATATGATATACAATAGAGTGCTATGCACGGGAAGCAGTGTGATATGCATGTATATAATGACGGGATTTTATTTTTATTTTTATGGGAAACAAACATACCGAAGGAGATTCCATTTTCTTACTATAAAAAGACTATTGTGGAAATTTTGACGGGAACCAAGTAGATGGAACTCTATCATATTTAGACATGGGGGAGACACCAAAACAGATATTGGGTTTGAGTTATTCAAGTTTTAACTATTTTAATAAAAGATAGCCATTTTTAAATATAAATACAGGCGATAAAAAGTTTTCCCTTTCATTGTTTTTTTTTTTTTTTTATAATTATTGCCCTTTCATTGTTTTTTTATAATAATACCTTTCACTGTTTATGCGGAGGTCAAATAATTTTTTTCTTTTTTCTTCTTTTCCCTCTTTACCTTCTCCACATATGACTTATAAAAATAATGTGCTTCCAGACAACACTTCTATGGAAACCGAGACAGACACAAGTTATAACACAACTGCATATTTGCCACCGATTCCAGTCTTAATGCGTCATCCTTATATGGTTACATCTGTTAAGCAATATCGTTCTGAATCTCAAAGTGAACAACTACAGACACACATAGTATCAGAGTCCTTTATTCCAATGGCCCCAAACCTTATAAAACCACCAAGAAAAAGACGCCGACCCCCTTTTTCGTACTCGTCATTAATAGCACAAGCTATCTTAGAGAGCCAGAATGAACGTTTGACACTACGAGATATATATACATGGATCACAACGAGATATCCAGCCCTCTACAATGCTGAGGATACCGGTTGGCAGGTAACCCGTCGTTTAATTCAATTTCCTTTCGAGCCTATCACTAACTGCACACATTAGAACACAATTCGACATAATTTATCATTAAATCGTTGCTTCAAAAAAATATCGAAAGCAGAGATGGATGGTGTCAAAGGAAAAGGTGGCTATTGGACTATCGATCCAGCACACATGGAAAAATTTAAAAATGGCGCTTTCGCAAGAGGATCCTCGAGCATATTACGCCGCAGACCTACATCAACAAACACCCCTTCACCGCCTAGTCTACCCGATACCCCTGTGTCTAATGACCACGGTAATCCTTGTCCTGTCATGCAAATTCACAATTTACTCAATTAATGTCGAACCAAAAACAGTGTACATCAATCTTTACATCAAACAGCCTTATAATTATACCCTAATCTTCCAATGTAATTCCAATGGAGAAAACATTCTTGTCAATAAAAATAAATAGTCTCTTACCAGGTGATACCAAGACTTGCCTGGTCTATACTGAAACGACTTTAATTTGTCTTTTTTGAGCAAGTGTGCAGTACTCCCATCAACAAAGTCACCGTAAACCTTAATTTTTTCTCTAGTCCGCATAAGAATACAAATGGAAGGTACAGCACTCATAGAACAAACCTTAACAGCTAAATTTGATGCACATCTTAACCCAGACAACCAACCTCGGCAATTCACTCTTCCGAACCACAAGAAACAGTACTAGTTTACTTCTGTCAGTCATGTACTGTTTTGCAGTAGTATCTCAATTAAGAGCTGAATTAGATTTGACTGGAGAACTGTCTAAAGTAAATGTATGACATAAACTCCAATACAGTGGCGAATAATTACGTAAAATGACTGCTGTCCCGGATCTATAAATACAAATGTACCATCATACACATTTTGATAAAACGATGTTACAAAAAAAAAAAGTTTGAAAAAACAGAGTTTCGTATGTTTTTAGAAAGGAGTGTCGCACTTTTTTAAAAAAAAACCGTGTCGCACAGTTTAAAAAAAGTGTAGTTTTATATATATGCAAAAAAAAAACATCGCATACAGTAGTCGCCAATGGGCGATTTTTTTTTTAAAAAAAAAGTTAGACATGAATATCCATACACACGGTATGTCACAAAACTGTTTAGCCAACAATGTCGAACACAAATATTGTTGGTTCTGACTTTGAACATAAATCGTTAAATGGTTGACAACCGGGCGTTTTCTATTTTTATGATTTGGAAAATCTTTTTGTCCTCTTCATTCCGATAAGTGGAGAAGCAACAGTGCGCTGAAGGCAGTTGGTAGTAGTGTCTACGTGGGAAAAATATTATGAAATATCAGGTGAGACAGACAAATTGAGTGAAAAGTCGAGACTAGCAGTAGTGTGGATTTGCAGTAAGGCAGTGTGGTGATTGTGCCTCAGAAAGTTAGCTGTTTTTCAGGCTCGCTATGTCAAGTGTTGATGAGTTGTATGACACGGCTGACTGGCATACGACAAAGAGTTGTATCGACATTTCATCAACAACAAATGCTTAGAATTTCGACAAGGTTATTTCATGATAATCAAGTTTTTATTCCTGAGCTGCATAAAAAAGAGTTTGTCATGCTCTTGTGGCGGTGAGTTCGTTATGTTTTGAGCGGCTTATAAGAACAAGTAAGCATATGTTTTTCTATCGTTGTATCACGTTTATTGACGCTCTTCAAACTTAGTCTATTCGTACCAGTTCAAAACTGGTTCGTTTGTAAGATTCTGTTCCTTTTCCGTTTCCAGTCCTTCACTGATGATTATGTTTATGGTGATCTGGCAAAAGCCCATGGCGTCTCTCTACTTTCAAAGTCTATTCCTCGCATTCAGCTCTTAAATGGTAGAGATAAAAAGTTTGTTGTATTTGATGCAAGGGATATTATATTGGCTGTTGGATTGCTGGATTCCTCGGACAATTCGGCCTTTAAGTATGTCATAAAAACTGGCGATGCCTTTTCTAAAGACATGCTTAGTACTGCTGGAAAGATCTGGAATCTGGAATAAAGGGCCATTTAACTTTAGATTAAAATTATCGCTCTCTTGTATCACACAAAGTTCTAGTATTTACTTCAAACTTTGATTCTGCCAACAATAATAAACTTAACTACAATTTTTTCATCTCAAGACTACTTCAAATATGACTTGTTATCTTTATATAACAGTTTTTTTATATTTTCTATGTCATTTGAGTTTTTTTGATTTTGCGGTCAATGTCTAAATTTTATCTGTACCTGTGGTCGAGGTAATTTACAAAAATTAGACCTGAGCTAGCGGTTGCAATTAGCGATCAATGTCCTTCAAAACCCCAAAATTTACAATAAAGTTTAACATGTTTACGCCCTTGATAGTATGCAATCATTACCAAATAAAAATCCAGACTAACAATATTCAGTTCTCGGGTTCCGCTTTCATTAGCTTTTTATGCTAAATTTTTTTTGGGTAAATTGATACTGGACTTGTTGTTATATTATTCGCGGTAATTCGATTGATTAATCAGTTTACGACAGAATCTCTCCGGAATGCAACGGCACAAAATACCTTTTAAGAATTAATTCTGCTAGACGTGGAAATTGTTTTAGTGAACTAGAATGAATTTCCGTACAAAGAACATCTAATTTCGAATTCTTCATAATAAAATCACTACGACTCTTACCGTGCACAAATATCTCCCAAAACTGGTAGATTCTCTTCTGTGTTTATTATAAACTTCTAGTCTTCATTAATCAGTTTATACAATTTTCAATTTCCTTGTCTTAAAATGCTCCATCTCCAAACTTTATTAGTTTTTCTTTTTGGCGCTATCCATGAAGGTGCCTGGACACATTGTTGAAACTTTATACTTAAATCGACACCCTTTGTACCGGATCCGTTCGTCTGTACCATCATCGACACCGCCAAAACATATCATGCTCACTCGAATAAATTGCCTGTCATTTAAATCTATTTATTTAGTGTTCATTTAACTACAACCTTTTATCACTGCACACCTTTCGATATGACGTGTGACTTTCATTGAATGTGAATAAAATTAAAAACAAAAACAAAATGAAAAGACGCGCACTTTCTTATCTTTCAACAATCTTATTATACTATGCAGCGAATGACAGCAACTGAAGATTTGACGAGTGTCGAATGGCGTGACACAAATTGGTTAGAGGTACTTTTAGTTGATGTGTTATGTCAATAAAAGCTAATTTGTCTTCATCAGAGAGTGGGAGGATTCCAAAATCAACAAATGGTGCTCGATTATTTCGCACTTTCGCCATTTTGGGATCGTCAATGTAATAATCAGGTGTTATCCATGCAAACGCAATATAATGATTTGAGACAGCCATACGAAGCTACAGTAGAAGCACTTCGGTAAACACCCATGGGGGAAATACATAGTTACTTTGACTCACAGCATTCTATAGTAAAATGACAGGTATCGAATTTGCCGTAGTTCATGAACAGCCACCTGTTTGGATTATTCAGAAAAGATACCGACGTGGACCTGCACCGGACGATGTCAATCCGATTGCAACATATTACATTATGGGAGCCAACGTATATCAATCACCAACTATTTATTCTGTTATTGCTAATCGTTTGGTACAGTCAGGAACTTAAACTTTCCATTTGATATTTATACTATTTTTCTATAGTTGACAAGTTTGTTTCATGTAAATAGTGCATTCAAAGAAACGCAGGATATGATGGAATTTTATCCTTCAAAAGGATATACATGGAAGACAGCACCCGATCCATCAGCCTCAGCCAAAAAAGATAAAACTACAGTCAACATGGCGAAAAGCGTATTGCGTGCACAAGAAACACAGGCATTTAGACATTGGATGGATAGAGCAATAGAGAGTTCATCTGCGAAGGTCATACAGGCCCGACAAGCAATTGATGCGCCGGAGAGCGAGGAAATTGCTAAACCAACAAGCATAGAATTATCACCAACACAAACTCGAGGTAACATCATGTTATCCAAATATTGTTTTATGTTTGTTAATTCTATTACACAGAGGATATTGCAGGAAAAAGGCCTAGAAAGAAGTTGGATGAAGGTGGTAATCGTAAAAAGAAGTCTGTTAAATAATAAAATTTTATTGGTTAATTTATTATTGAGCTTTAAGTGCCTTTTCAACGCGCTTAATCGATCCTTTATCAGTTTTTGGTTGCGATTTTTCATTTGCGGTTCCTAAAGGCCCTTCGATACGGAAAGGGCGACGAAGTTCACCAGTACTAGTGTTAGCATGAAAGAGATGGATACGTGCTTCTTTGGTCATGAAGAAATTTTTAAAACCCAAGATACTTTGAATGATCAATGGTTGCACATAGCCAAATTTGAGATGGAGAAAAGCAACCACTGCGAGACCCGTGAAACCTTGATTCAATTGTTTCTTGACATCAGCAATGTCATATTCTAGATAGGAAGATTAGCTACCAGTTCCGTTTAAATCACAATTCGTATGTTACATACCCATATTAGTGGTCTCAACTAACTTATCGGGTGTTTGCTTGCCATCCCACTGCTTGGATCCAGGCTGAACATAGCGTAAAACAGTTGTGTCTAATATATGGATCAGTTTTAAATCAATAGCAGTTTTTTCTATTTATCAAACCATTTTTATTCTTGATGACAGACAAAAGGTAGAAACTCAAAAGAATGATGACAAATTGAGATCCCAGGTAGAAACTACGAATCAAGCTAATGTAGCGAGGATTGTCGAGATCAAAAAGCTTTGTTACTTGGCGAACACCAAAGAAAAAGACCATGTTAAACAATGGATGGCTGATGACTTTGTTCCAACTAGGCATTTTGGTAGGCTATGAAAGTAAACAAAACAAAATAGAAACGCTTGTTCAAACGGCGATTTATGAAACTTCCACAAAATGAAGCTGTGAACAAAATTTACACCAAAAATTTATTATTACTGAGCAAGCTTTGCTCTCATTTTAAGTTTAAAAGAGTGGTAGAATACCAAGGCCAAGTAGGCAGCAACATAATCTTTGATCATATACATGATGCCTTGGTTGAAGAAACCCTTAATAATTTGAGCTTGCATGCCTTTATAAAGACCAGTATAACCATCCTTATCAATTACTGCTTTCAAACTATCAATGATTCCATCCTGTTGTTTACCACCACCAATCATGCGTGTACGTAAAAATATAAAAGGATAAGTCAACATAGTTGCTATGCTTTTGGCACAGGCTGAAAATAAAAACACTTGCAATCCTGTCAAATTGGATTTCTTTTGTGTACGCATGTAAATCGACTTGATCTTTTCGAACATGAAATATGTGATCGATGGGTTTGAAACCAGAACAATCGAAGCGCGATATCCTACACATTATTAGTCCAGTATCAAGAATTTGAATTAGATCAATTACCTGTCCAAAGACCGGTGATACCCTTTTCTTTTAAAATATCTAACGCAATCTCCTTAAATCCCTTTTCATTATGTCCTGCAGTTTGAAGTCTAGTTGTAATATTGGATACAGGTGTTGTAAAGAATCTGGAAATGAGAGCAGCTTCGGCCCCTAAAAATAACTCCTGGGCAACGTTTAATTCAGCTGAAGATTTACCTATGTTTGTATTCATTTTCTCCTGTAGATTCCGTAAAGCAGTATAGCAATAGAAATAGATAAAGCTGGATAATACTGTTGCTAAGGTATCTGATCCGAGGCCAGCATATAATCCTTTAAGTCCGCCTTCCTTTTCATAAATAGTTTTGATTTGTTCTAACAATCCTTGTTTCTTTTCATCATCTCCTTTTAATTGAAGTCTAGTGGTGGAGCTGGCAAAAGTGTAAGCATATCGTTAATTTAATATGCGGCATAATACATACATATCTAACGGATATATAAACAAGTTGGCAATAGTAGATCCCACAGCACCCGAAATGGCATGACCTAAGGGTGGCAACTTGTAATCCTCGAATGACAGAATATCATTGTTTCCTTTCGACATGCTTGAATCACAAGAAATAAGAAAAGGCGAAAATGAAAATATTTTTTTTTTTCGTAATTCAAATTATAAGACGATTTAAAATTCACATGCTTGAGTTATTGGTTGGACATTTCTGATAACAAATCACAATGATGTTTTCAGCGCAAATTGAGTTTGAGTTTAAAAGGCATTCTCTTTAAAATTAATTGACATGATTGCCTCATCGGTTCAAACTAACAGTGCCACTGACGAAATATGTCCCTCAATATCAATAATTATGAGTATTTTATTATACATTTATTCCATCTGTATCACGATTTTTCTGTATGTGACTATGACGTGGAGATTAGATCATGGTCTCGGTTACATCTGAAACTTCCATGCAAATAAGGTATATTAGGTGAGTAATATTACTTCAACGTATGGCATGCAATAGACATCTTTATATTGCAAGTGATAATTCAATTATTAATGTGTTTATACGTCTATTATTGAAACAACTCAAATGTTTGTACTTCTAGGTACAATGACGCGATTTTTAAAATTTCTGTACGTATGTTCGAATTATAAGTTTTCACCAAAGCTGATTTATGTAGAACACTTTAAATGAATATTACATCGTCTTAGAAACCCATATCGAAGAAGAAAATTTACTTGTGTTGAAAAAAACTAATTTTGTATAGACTATTATCCCTTGTTAGATATCTAGAATATAGACAATCTCGCTTTGCCGTGACAATTCAACTTTCCAAAAAAAAATCTGTATAAACCGACATAGGCTAAAAAGAGCCCCAATAACAAATCATACGCCTACCTTTTCAGCGTTTTTAATACACATGGAATAAATATCTTGCCTGTATTTGATTGGAGTTAACAATGAATTCCATGTCCGCCCCACCGGCATTTTTTGTGACATCACTCTCTGGCTCGAATCCTTGTATAGAGCCAGCCTAAATATTTTTTTATTTTGTTGATCTATCTTACAATAAGGTAATTAGCCACGAATTCAACATTTAATATTTTGAAACCTTTTTTATATGACACTGGACTAACATGAACGTATTTAATTCCGAATTATTTCTCTTTGCTCTATTTGATTTTGCAGTCTAATATAATAAAATGTCCTGGAATTCAAAGACTTGGGCTTGGGTTGGTAAATACTTCTCCATTGTAAGTCTTGCATACATTTCGTTTGTACCTGGGACCGAAATATTAAATAATAGACTTGTATAGAACCCTTTGGTAACTGATGGTATGCCTGTTGTTGGCAAATTCCGTACTCCTGCACCCGCGTAAGACGATATAGCTCAAAGGAATTTTTTGTGGAATGTTAATTGTTTGGTTTTCTATCAATAGTTCTCAAGGAAAATACACATATCCCAAAACATCTGCTTCAGCCATCAGCAACAACCCTTATTACAAGCGTGACACACGTAGAAACTTCCCTCGTCTTGCTGTCTACAAGCAACAAGACCTCGCCCTTCTCCTCGAAGGTGGTGTTGTTAACCCTAGGTAATAATGGATTAAAATTTATAGGTAACTGCAATTAACCGCAGAATATTCTTAGTCTTCCTGAGGAAGCTGCTGTCGATAAAGTTGTTGCCTCTACCGAAACCAAACCTCTTGTCGAAGTTTTGAACTCTCACAAGCTTTATTCAGCAAGCAAACTCCCCCCTATTCCTCAATTCGGCCGCAAAGCTGCTTGGAGAGATTCAGAGGACTTTGTTTTCCCCAACGATGGTAAGGTTACGATTTAGAATACTCTTTTGATGAAATACTGATATTTTAATTTTATGAAATAGGTTCATATTTCCCCATGAAGGTCATCACCATGTAAAACAACATACAATCTAAATTAAAAAAAGAAATAAAACCTCAGTTCTAGAGTGGAAATTATTGTAACAAGATATTTACGGATTTTATAATCTTGGCACTTTTCAAAATATGGAATCACAAACACGAGAGAAATTGGTTCCCTAATTCGTGGACGAGCACGGGAAAAAAAAAGATATATCGTATTATGAATGTCTAAAGTGTGAACTGTTGAGTGTAGGTATTTAATGGCTGGCATATATATTTATTTCGACCCGAATATGCCGCATCATATTATGAATGTATTGATCGAAAATACGACACTCAATGCCACATACCATCGAATTATTTGTAATTTAATGACAAGATACGTCTAAAATATCTTTTATTCCTGGATATGTGGAGATAGAAAGCGTATTGTAGCGTATTGTAATTGGCTTCCATAATCCATCCATGATCAGATAGTCATAGTTCTATCCACTGTTGCTTTATCCGAAAATCAAAAATGAGTGTATAAATACATTTGTATATACGAAATGATATCTGCTGCTGTAAAAGATGTTTACAATGTATATCACTAGTGCTCTTTCCATGCCCGGAGACTTAAGTATATCATTGAAATAAAATGCGCATATGCCAACAAATGACAGCCTTTCGTGTATTTGCATGTTTTATCAGGGAATATACAATTTCCTGATTTACACACTCCTGCTCATTCCTTTTGACCACTTAAATATCAGATACATGGGCCCAGACTGAGTGAGAGAACCTAGGTAAAAGGATTTACATATATAGTTTATTAACTCAAAAGAAACAAAATTAATTTTTAATACCATGTTGTTTGAGGGCAAACTATTGGTGTCACAAAGACATTGACAAACTGTTTTTGGGTGATTCGGACAACTTGATAAGTTTGTTCTGTAGCTGTTTATGCAACTGTGCCGACGACCAAAATCATTATACATCTTTACAGCATCTTTTAATGCTTTATACGTATTCTTAAGAGATATTTGAAAAATTTCAATACTTTTTAGCATTTTAACACACGCGTTCCACTTTTAATGTCTTGTTGATAATCTTAGTTTCGTGTTTTTCTTATTATTATTATTTTGATCGTTTATTCAGTCTTCTATGCCATCTAATATAATAATCCGTTGATCCTGTGTTTCTGACTACGCCTGTAAAATAAGTAATTTAATTTGAGATTTGAGAAAATATGAAGTTAATTTTAAAGAAACGCGTTACATACTTTTATGTGTAAATAGTTCATCCAATCACATGAAGGCACTCGTTAAATTCAATTTCCATTTTTTTTTTTTTTTTCTCAAAAAAAATGTTACAAGGACATGTTTGATATGGAAAGACTTTATTACTTCCAATAAGGTAAACTATTCTACGGTTACGGTCCGTAAAATAATATTCCCATGATCGACTTTTTGATGTGTATTCCTTTCCTGTGTGTACATGGGAATTTTTTCATTTTTACGACCAAAATGGAGATATTTGTCCACATTATGGTTACTGTCAAGTACTTTTTAATTTAAACCATGTCAGTTGGATACTCACTTTTTATTAGAAGCATTATTATTCCATCCGTTAGCTTTTTATACTATTGCATTTCTTTGCACAGCAGTTAAAGTACCATGAATTACTAAATTTGGCTACTACTTTTTTTTATTATTCGATTGGGTGCTCCCCGGTATGCTAGCATGTAACATTGATTTATATTATTTTGGATCAAATGTTCAGCTCGTGTAAAGTCAAGTAGAAGAACTATTTTCAGATGGTCATATGTGCGTAATCGATTGAGAATCCAGATATTGCTAATTTTGAGGTTTTGAGGTTTTTTTAGAAAATGAATGAGCAATCTTTACTATGGCGATCCTTTGCTACATATATATACATAAAAATCTCTATTAATGATATATTCCAGCCTCTTTGAAGAGCCGATTTTTATGTTTCGAATGATGGAATAACTTGTGCAGCATAAATGTTTACACAAAAGAGTGGATGGTATCCTTAATAAGCCTTTTTGTGTAGCTAAAATTCGCAGTAACTGATTTAATCCCCGTTGCAGACGGTTTGGCTTCAGATTTTCCCATGGACGAGAATTAGGCAGCTAAATTGACAATTAGGTAGCATTAGTAAAACCCAAATAGAGAAAAGAATGGAACGTGCACAGATAGTTGACACTTTTTAAAAAAATACTTAGACTATTGTAGTATAGCTTTCTGTCAAATGAAATGGAAAGGGTCAAGCTATTGTATCTTGATTAGCGCAAGTAAAATTTATGCAAACCAAAAAGTAGAAAAAAGAAAAAAAAAAAACTTTATCTATCTTTACACGAACATGGTTTCCTAAATAAGACTTAATCCACTTAATTTATTTTAAAACTATAATCCTACGCGTTATAATATGTTGTTTTGCGATAGCATGAAATATACTGAAAATACAGGCACATAATAGAATAAATGGAACATACTATTGTGAAAAGTAAAAACTACAATACCATTGTATTACATGGAATGCAAAACGGCACGGATGTGAAACTCTGTACACTGTCTATTATAAGTGTAGCATCCGAAAGGAGCTATGCTCTTCTACATGCAAAACGCAATAAAACAATGATTATTGTGTTTTTTAAACATTTTTATTCTTTGCCAATGAAAGCCGATATTATTTAAACTTTTAAAGCCACTCATTGTTAAATTTTAAATCGACGAAAATACTCTTGTCCCTGAATGGCTAAGCTTCATATGAGCATTCATCCTCGGGTAGCCACAAATATATAAATATAGATTATACATAGCAAATCCAAGAATTTCGTTCTACAAAATTAACAAAAGGCACAAACTACGTCAAATATTTTCTATCTAGGACACAAGGCACGATAGTAAATCTTTTATAGCAAGCATTTTACCAACTGTTATAAATGCCATAAAAAACCGTCTGGACCTTTAAGTGCTTATTAAGCAATGTGGTATCGTGAGAGCGGCATACGTTGTAAGTTTAAGTAATCATGACTATCGGATTACTATCTATCAATCAGTAAGGACGTACTGCTGGTAATTAAAGTATTCGTTGTAGAGATGGCATATGATAAATTAACCATCTGAGAGCGCTCTTCTTTTTCATGCTCTTTTTTTTTTTAAGTGTTACTATACCATGCATGTCCTGATTTCCAAACGCGTTTAGAAATGATATTGAGCATACTTTGCTCTTGAGAAGGCCCACTCACAGGTTGAAAGGAAAGCAACTAGTTCTAAGAAATGTACAAACATATTCAAATTTCTTAATTCAGAATTTCGACCCGGGATTGCATACAACAAGGTGATTTATATTTATTTCTACGATCATAAACAGGAAAATATATGACCTGATAGGCGATCTGTAATTCGGAGATACAATCTAAAGTGAAATGTATTATTTTAGGGTCCAATATAGAATCGCGAACCAAATAAAGAACTGCTACAAAACTTACAAACGTGCAGCGTCAGGTTACAATTGGTACAATGACTACTGGGGAATACAAATATTTATCCCAAATGGACGTACAAAACTTTAACTGTCTGTACCACCTCCATGTTTTATGTGCAGACAGATGGTTTTATTTCTTAACCTGTTTTAGCTTAAAAATATAAGTATAAACTCCCTCCAATGTAACCGCACTACAGCTACCACCCCCCAATCGATTGTACCAGATAAAAATTTATCTTGTGGTGTATTAAAAAACTATATCTCCCAAAACTTTGCACAAATACTCAAGAGTTGCCTTTTTGAGTTTTGAAGGTTAATGATTTTCATATTCACTTATTCTTTACAACAAAATGACATTATTTTAAAAATTGTGTGGGTAATTCACATGAGAAAGGTGGATCAACATTATTGGTGTGCGGCATCTTGTATTCCCCAGCTGTAAATTTTGAGCAACCCACTTTTAAATAGGGAAGTGTGGAGAGTCTTTTGTGTCCAGCTTGTTGTACTCCCATCATAGCGAGTTTGAAAAAAAAAGTACTGTATATAAGAGACAATGGCCTTGTTTTTTTTTCTTGATTCTGAATCTTTAATTACTCTCTTTTTTTATCCTCCTTCTTGATATTCACTTTTTGTGTTTATTAATCCGACCAGCTGAATATTTTACCAAGCTGTGTTTGACCTAATCCTCCTTTGTCAATCCTTTTTTTAAAAAAAACATCTCCACTCTTTACAACTAATACTAATATAATATATAATGCCTGGAAGCATTAATAATGCTCAGCAGCCTTTTGCTGCTGAAGGTGATGATAATCATTATCACCGACAAGAATTTGTTACGACTAATAGCGAGGAATACCGCCAAGAACAGTACGCAGATGATGGTTTTGAAGAGTATTCCGAAAAGCCTGCCGCTCCCGTCAAGAAGCCATTCTACAAAAACAAGAGATATTGGATCATTTGCTCCATTATTTCCATCATTTTAATTGTGGTTGTTGTTCTTTTAATCCTTTTTGTTGCTTTCCCCAAGATTGCTCAATCCACCATGAACCATTCCACAATTGAAGTTCAAGCTGCTCAAATCTCATTCGATCCTCCTGCCGATTCTGGTCTTCAGCCTGTTGCTGGTGCCGATGCTAATTCTACTTTCTACATGCATATGGTCACTGACCTCAAAAAGACCGGTCCATTTAGTGCTGATATTGTCTTTGAAGATAATATTCAAGTCATTTACAACGAAACTGTTCTCGGTACTATTACTCTCCCTAAAACACACATTGCCCATGGAAAGGGTTCAATCGATACGTATACCCCTTTTACCATTACTGATGTTGCTGCTTTCTCTGCGTTCAGTCGTTACATGTTGGCTAATGAAAAGTTCGTTTGGACTTTAAACGGTAAAGCTAAAATCACTGCTCTTTCAAGGTAAAAACCATCTTTTTATTTTTTAAAGATTTGTTTTGTAACAACTTACTAACTGATTTCGTTTTTTTTTTAAATGTATTTACAGAACTGCTACTGTTGACTTAAAGAAAGATATCACACTTGAAGGTATGAACGGTTTCCCTCAGGTCAGAATCAACTCTTTCCAACTTCCTGGTGATGCCGTTAATGGTGGTATTCTTATTGAACTTGGTACTGTTCTTACCAGTCCCTCTCCCATCGGTGTTCAACTTGGTTATATCGAGATGGATATCAGTTACGATGGTGTTGATCTTGGTATGGTTCATGCTAATAACGTTTCACTTCAAAAGGGTGATAACAATATTTTGCTCTCTGGTATCATGAAGTCTCAAGTCAATGACCCTGCTGCTCAAGCCAAGATCAGTACTCTTTTCTCTAATTATATCGCTGGTTTAGTCTCCAACACCACTGCTAAGGGTGTTTCTGCTGCTCCCAACGGTAAGGATCCTATTGTTTGGCTCTCTGAAGGTCTCAAGTCTGTTACCCTCAATGTTGCTCTTGCTGCCGAAGCTCCCTTAAAGATCATGAACTCTGTCTCTCTTGGTTACCTCGATCTCAATTTCAACAAGGATGCTCCTTATACCCCTGGTGTCAAAGCTCCTGTTGTAACTGCTGGTTTCTCCATTCCTTTTGGATTTGCTTTGAATATCACTGAAGTTACACAAAATATTACTCTTGGTCTCAACAAGTCCACAGGTTTTGAAAGCTTTGCTGTTATGAATGTCCCTTATACTAAGGCTACAAGTGACCAAAAGGCAGGTATTCTCAACTTTGCCATGGATAATACGGTTCTTGCTGGTATCCAAGGAAAGGAATCTGTCTTTAATGAATATAACTATGCTTTGACTGCTTCCAACAATTATACTTTCATCGTTGCTGGTAATGCTACCACCAAGGTCAATACCACCATTGGTCCTCTTGTTCTCTCTGGTATCAACTTTGAACTCCCTACTCAATTGAAGGGTCTCCAGTTCTTGAACTCTTCTGCTACTGTGATCAATTCTCTCGATGTCACTGGTGGTGAGTCTGATAATCTTATTTTGGGTATCAATGTGACCATGGAAAATCCTTCCGACTTTAGTATTGCTACTGGCGATGTTGAATTTGCCATGTTATCTGAAGGTACTAACCTCGGTGCTGTCATCTTGAATAACTTGACCTTAGCACGTGGTTCCAACACGGTTTTGGCTACTGCCAAATTTGATCCCAAGTCCTCCTCTGTCGGTCAAGAGTTACTCAGTACCTTTGTCATGGGTCGTGATAACGTTGTTCAAATTGGTGGAACCCCAAATTCGACTGCCATTGCATCTCTCTCTGAAGCTCTTTCTCAAATCAGTCTTGACTCTACTTTACCCGGTCTTAAGGTAGCTTTGATTCAAGGTTCTGCTTTAACTGTTCGTCCCACAACCATTGCTGATAGTTTGGTTGGTGTTAAGGTCACCATTGCTAATCCTTTCTCCGCTGGTTTGACTATCACCAAGGTTGTCTCCTCTGTTGTTTATAACGGTATGCCTGTTGGTAATATTGATCAAGATATTAGCAGCAATCCTATTATTATCCCTGGTAAAAGTACTGTTCAATCCAATGATCTTGATATGACATTAAACACTGAACCTGCTGCTGTTGCTCTCTTGCTTCGTTCTCTCGCTGTTGGTTCCAACTTGGATACACGTCCCATTGATGCCTTGTTCACCATGGGTGGTTTCAATATTGAAGGTCAAGAAAGTGTCACGGGCGATGCCAATTTATTCAAGGGTTTCAACATCTCTAACTTTGTGATGGAAGCCATGAAGAGTTTAAAGGTTGATCTTTCACTTGCCTCTGATTTGACCATTGGTCAATATGCCAATGTGCTTAGCTTTTCTCAATCTGGTGTTCAAACTGCCACCGATAACACTGTCACTGGTTTGATTCCTATTGTAGGTCAACCTATTGTTCAACAAATCGTGGATGGTTCCATCCTTGGATTTGAGTCTATTGTAATGTCCTCTCCTACCGAATCTGGTTTCAAGGTTCAAATGAAGGGTTCGATCAAGAACACTGGACCTATGGATGCCTCTATTAGTTTCCCTACTCCCTTGACTGTTGCCTGGAACGGAAAGGTACTTGGTCAAGTGTCGATGCAAACTCTTGAAGCCAAGGCTGATGTCGGTGCCACATTTGATGTTAGCGGTGATTTCACCATCAGCAATACAGATGATATGACTGCCTTTGCCATTGCCATGATTAACAAAGATAGTTTCATCTGGGATATCTATACCAAGGATGTCAGTGTCAATGCACTCGGTTACACTTTCACCAAGATTTCCATGGAGAAATTTGTCACACTCTCTGGAGCCAGTGGTTTCAAGGATGCTGTCAAGATTTCCAAATTTGATTTACCTAGTGATGACCCTGCTGGTGGTATTACTCTTACTGCTGTTACTTCGATCGTGAACCCCAGTCAAGTTGGTTTCAACTTTGCAGGTGCTAACTTTGAGACATTCTATAAGGGTGTTGATCTTGGGCCTCTCGGTGTAGATGGAGCTGCTATTTTCCCTGCTGTTGGTACTGCCAATTTGAACATGAAGGGTCAACTCCAAGCTCAAAAGCCTGGTGCTGGTATTGAAGCTATTAACGAGGTCTTTGCCAATTATTTGAGCGGTAATGCCTCCATCTTGACTGTAAAGGGTGTTTCTGCCTCTGGTCCCAACGGTCCCGTCCAATGGCTCTCTACTGCTTTCAAGACCATCCAAATCGAAAACGTGGCTCTTCCCGGTGCCTCTCCTATTCCTAACTTGATCACTGCTGTCAACATGAAGGATTTACAAATCGACTTTACAAAGAATCCTTTTGCTGCTCCTGCTGGTTCTCAAGCTGTTGAAGCTCAACTTAAAAATCCCTTTGGTTTCCAACTTGGTGTCAAGTCTCTTAATATGAAGGTGGATGCTAACTCCGGTGGTCATAATGTTGCCAACTTGGATATTGGACAAGTCCCTGCTACCACGACAACCGATGGTATTGTTCACACTGCTTTCAATAATACTCCCTTCAAGGTCTATAGCGGTGCCGAGCCCATCTTTACTCAATTTGTTGCTGGACTTACCTTGAGCCCTGTTGTTCCTTTTGGTCTTAAGGGTGTCGTTAACTCGATTGCTCAAACCAGTATTGGTGAAATTAATCTTAACAATGTTCCCTTTGATGTCCAAACCTCCTTAGCTGGTAAGACTTTTTATTTTATTTTATCTTTATTTACACTTGTTAACTCTTTTTATTATTATTATTATTGCGTTAGGTTTCCAAAGCTTTGGTGGTACTACTGAAATTGTCTCTCTCAAGGTTGTTGGTGGTTTCCCTACCTATATTGCTGTTGATCTTGTGATTGCCTTGAACAATCCCTCTCAAATCACTATTTCTGCTGGCGATCTTGTCTTTGACGTGGTGATGGATGAAGCTGGTTCAAGTGTTGGTTCCGTCTTTTTGACAAACACAATTATCAAACCCGGTAGAAACGAAATGACCGCCAGTATGAAGATGACCGGTACTGATCTTGCTGCCCTCTCCAAGTTATTGACCAACTACTTGACTGCCAAGACCACTCCTTTAACTGTCAAGGGTACTGAAGCTACTACCAAGATTATCCCTCTTCAACCTGGTCTTGCCAGAGTCGCTCTCAAGACCAATATGGTGGGTATTCCTGCTTCTCTTGTTGTTGAAAACCAAATGAAGCTCGTAGGTTTAACTCCTAATATCTGGGTCAAGTTTTCTAATCCTCTTGATACTCCCTATACTGTTACTGGTATCTCTGCTCAAGTCTTCTTCACTAACGGTAAGGGTGTCTATGGTCAATTGGGTACATTGGCTGGTGCTGTCGATCCTCCTGTTACCGTTCCTGCCAAGGGTACCGCTATTAACTCTAGCCCCTTGATCTTGAAGGCTGGTTTGGCTGAAGCCTTACAATTCTTGATGTTGCCTGCTGAAGCCAAGAAGGTGGATCTTTTCCAAAACGTCACTATGGTTGTAGGTGAAGGTTTCCATGGTGGTATGTACTATGAACAAAAGGGTGTCCCCGTAGTTGATAAAGCTCCCGAAGTGACAGCTGCTACACTTGCTCAAGCCGCAGCACAACAAGCTGCTGCCGCCTCTTCTGCCGCCGCTGCTGCTTCATCTCCTGTCCTTTCTACTACCGCTGCTTCTGTTCCAGTTACAACTACCGAAGCTGCTGCTCCTACCACTACTGAAGCTGTTACCCCTACCACTACCGAAGCTGCTGCTCCTACCACTACGGAAGCTGTTGCCCCTGCCACTACTGAAGCTACTATCAAGGCTGCTACCACCACTGAAGCTCCTACTACAACTAAGGCTGAAGCAACAGAAGCTGCTGTCAGTGCCGCCAGCGCGAATGAAGACAACATTGTTGTATTGCCATTCTAGAATATCCATCCTATTAAATTTCATTTCTATTACTTTTTTTAAAAAAAAAGAAACTATACAACATTTATACATAATTTAATCTTTTTATTCTTTTTTTTTTATACATCAAATTAATAAAAAAAAAAACCAAACTCTCTCTATACAAAAAATTCGGGTAATTAAAAAAAAAAAAGGGCTATACTTTGTAAATCATGGCTTGAATGACACCACGATTTGATACTTTGATGGTATCCGCTTTATTTGATATTTCAGTGGTTGAAGGTACAAGATGAAAATTGTCTTGTAGGATTCGACCGAGATGAATCAACTTGATTTGCTGATCCGAGTTTAATGTGATTTTCTGCTTTAGGTCCGCTACCGTCATGAAGGGAGCAGTAGTTGGAATATCCACCGCAATGTCTTTGGCACTCGAGGTAAGTCGAACCAAAATTGTCCAAAGAGGTTGTGTAGTGTGATTGGGTGATGTGTATGTTGTCGTTTCCGCTTCAGGTATTATTGTTGTCGTTATGGGTTCTGTCGTTGTCGTTGTAGGTTCTGTTGTTGTTGTTGTGGTGGTGGTGGTGGTGGTGGAGGGTTGGGGAGCAATGATAACAGGTTTAAGATCCAAAGTGGCTTTTCGTGTGGCTGTTTCTTCTTCCTCTTCATTAAAAGCAGGTGGTTCATCATATGCTTGCTCTTCTTTTCTCGCTGGAGGTTTCTCTAAAGGTTCATCGGACTGTGTTGAAATAGCATTAGCTGAAGTTGAAGCAAGTAAAGACTCTCTAGAAGTTATTGATTGAGCTTTTGTAATGACAATAGGAGGAACTATATATTAAAAAAAAAAAAAAAAAAAGGATGAGTTTTTTTTTTTTTTCTGGGCTGTAGTCATCTCGTTTTTTTCTTTCATTTTTTTCTTTCTTCTCACCTTGTGTGTTTATGTTTCTGGTTTGGTTCTCATGTGCTTGCTCTTGAACATTGTTAGCGTCTGGTTTCGAATTACAGCAGCCCATGTTCAATGAAAAATAGGAATAAGAAGAGAAAGAAGAAAAAGAAAAAGAAAAAAAAAATTAATAACAGGAGGGGTATTCCGATTTTTTTTTTTTTTATTATTGCCTCTCCGTATTGTGTGATACACTTCCCAAAACAGTTCGAGCTTGACTTTCAAATGTTTTATTGTTTGAAAAAAAAAAAGCGGAGGGAAAAAAAATCCGTTTACCAATTCGGTGGTTCTGCCTTTAATATAAATTTTTATTTTTTTTGTAGAAATTTTTAGCTTTTACCATGGTTACCCACGGCGATTTTGATATAAACTCCTTGCCTCATTTTTTTCCTCCCATTTAGACCATTAGACCTTGAACAACAAAAGAAACTGGTAAGTTTTGGCTATTTCAAATTCATCTAAATTGCAACAACAACCCCCAGCCGTCTCGTATCAACTTTGCACCCTACCCTTCTCATGAATCCCTTTACCCTTCAAGAATACTCTTTTTTTTTTTCAATTATCACTAGAAGAGACACCTTTGTCTTCTTTTCTTCCCTACAAAAAAAAATCCTTCTCATCCTTCTTTTTTTATTTTCTTGAAGAAACCATAACTGCTACGATATTCTTTGAGCTGGCATGACAAGGTAGAGAAATAAGCCCGGGTACAAACATATCACGGGATGGAAAGTTACCGAGCTCCCCGGGATATATATCCTCCACCCCCACCCCCACTCCGTGTCCCAACAGTCTAACAGACGATGTTCTTGTCCATCTTGTAGTGAGCAGAAATCAATAGTCAATTGGAACATGGTCAGCTTAGTAGACACATACTGAATTGAAATGTAAAACTAGTGGAGAAACGTTGTTGCGATATACAGGCTCTTTGTGTAGCAGCAAAGAGGGGCTTTTTTATTTTTATTTTTATTTTTTGTACGTGACAGTCTGGATAGATACAAGTTTTTAGTATATTGGGTCCACTTGCTCAGGATCGATAAACGTAAATTTTCCCTAAATTTCAGCGCCACTTAAACTTCAAGAAGCTACAATGCTGATCTTTTTTTAAATAAAAAATCTATATTTATTATTATTTAAAAGTGCTTTAAAATATCATTAAGAAAGAAGACGTTGTAAAACCCATTGCCACCAAGAAATGATAGATGGTTCTTGAACGGGTACACTTTGTCCATACCAATTGTTGTTGGTTTGCACAAACATATTGGCTAAATAAACTTTCCATAAGGGTTTTTCTTCTTTGGAGCTAATTCTTTCTGCAAAATCCAGCCAACTGGAAGCTGTCAGATCCGTCATATTATAAGTCTCATCCGTACTGTATTCAATTTCAAATTGAGGTTTCAAGGGTTCTCCTTCCTTATCAGCTGCCTCATTGTAAATGGTCAGATTGGTGTACCATTGGGTGTATTTAAGCCAATCACCAAAACGAGCAGAGTGGACATTGGATTCATATTCATTGACACGAAAGGTAGGATAAAAGAGGGGTAGCATAGGTGGAGCTACATGAATCACCACCAAATTCTCGGTATCTCGAAGTTTTTTCACTTTTTTATACTGTTTATGCAAGGTAGAGATAAATCTCCCTGTGTCCTTTTGAACATGCATATCATCATCATCATCATCACTGCCTCCTTCATTTAAACTAGAATAGGATCGACCTAACACTTGAAAGTGGTCCATATTGGCATGACCATACATGTGACCAGTAATGATATCTGCAAAATTAGTAGACAATTTGATATAATCATCCAAGCAATCGTCCTTGAATGTCTTGATGGTAGGTGGAACATGACCAATGATAATCACTTTGACACCTTCTTGACGTGCGCGTTTTAACTGTTTCTTCATCCACTTGATATGTTTAGCACCAGGTCCCAAGAGATCACCACAACTGTTCACCACATCATTGGATCCAAAGAAATAAAGCGAGTTGATCGATAAGACGCGAAGTCCCGGTACCACATCCACAGCAAAATATCCACCGCGTTTAAACACCTTTTGTTGTTCCAGTGGAATAAAGTCGTCCCACATTTCACTGAATTCTTGTAATTGGGGATTACCCTTCATGCCTCTTAATTCATTATGAGGATGAACATCGTTATTACCTAATATTTCGTGTGTGTGTGTGTAAGAGGACATGATAAAGGTAACTCACACTTTACTATTTACCTATGCATGGGACGATAGGCAGTGTTCTATTACTCTCTAGTCTAAAAGCTTCTTTTAATAATTCAGCGACTTGTACATTGTAACCCACAATTTCCTCTTTTGTTCTAGTGATAAGTCCATCGGCGTCATGTCTTTTTAAATGTTTTTTAGTGTTTAAAAAAAAAAAAACTAAAATGTTTTACAAGTGTCTTTTTACCTAGCATTATCACCTGTCCAGATGACAAAATCAATCTTATCCTTCCACTCTGCTGCTATGGTATCGATTGAATGATAGACCAATCGTGGAGGTGAATCACAATCCATACCGGGTGCACCCCAATAGCCTGCTAATAGGCCTTGCTTCTTTTTCTTGTTCTTGTGTTTTTTTGGTTCACGATGACAATCTGATTTAATGGTAGCTCCAACGACATAATGTTTGTCCATCTATTTGTTTGTTTGTTTTTTCGTTAGTATATATAACAAGATAGTGTTTTGGGCCTGCAGCATCAGCAGCAGGAAGGAAAAAAGCACTTACATGGATATCCGTGATATGGAGATACTTTCCATGGAGCTGTGTTTCTTTCTGATGTCGCATTGGATGCATGAATGGATGTTGAATCATCTCACCTAAACATGTGCCTGCCATCATGACAGCCATACACAGACTAGATGTCTTCATTTTTTTGTTAAAATCAGGTAGGTTAAAAAGAAAGAAAAAAAGAAAATAAAAAAGAGAAAAGAAGGAAGAAAATATATAAAAAAAACATTGAATAAATAAACAAGTCTAAAATGCAAAAAAAAAGCCGAGTCATACAAGGTCTCACTGTACATTTTCATAATAATAAAAAAATGCTTCGATTTTTGTTTTTATTTTTTTTTATTTTTGGGCCACGTGCGGGATTTGCATCACAACAATAGGAGCGAATGAGATGTCAAAGTGTGACACCACGTGCCTCTCTCCAAGAATGTAATTTTTTTTTTTTATTCTTTTATGCCTCTTCTTCTTCTTCTGTGGGTAAAGCAATGGGAGACTCAATACCCAACCACTTTTTAACTCTGGGTGAAAAGAGAATTAACTGGAATACAATAATCGTATCAAAGCTCAACTGAATCAAAGCACAAGCAACAAACTGGATGGGTGAGTGATTATAAAAGAAATAAAATGCCTTGAATCCATCCCCTAAGAACTACCATACCATTACCATCGTATGTGTAAGTACACTTCTTTGTTTCAATCAAAAAAATTAAGTTTCTTTAACTTACCCAGCTAGCCAGGATCAATAAACTAAAGCCATCCGTGTTACGATGTTTAAAATTTGTTAATAATTGAGGCACAGGTAACGTACTTTCCAATCCTAAACTCAAGAATCCAAGTGCTTCAATAAACATCGAATACGGATGCAAAAAGATGTACAATACGCCAATCACACTCGTAAACATCAACAAACAATTCACATAGTCCAAGTAATTATCCCATCCCCAGAACGTACGTTCGTACCATCTCTTTTCTACTCTCTGGAATGCAATATGATGATCACTCTCACTATCATCATCATCATTATCGATTAAGGTTTCAAATGCAATGTCCTTGGGCTTGTATCGAATCACAATCTCCAATAACACAAGCATAGATACAAGCATCGCAATCGACTGGAATAACAAGGTGATGTCAAATCGCTTGCCTAGCCTACACAATAAAAACAGGGTCACTTTTTCATCATCTCGTTACTGTTCCTTTTTTTTTATATATATATATTACCAGAAAAACAAACGCAGAATACTAGCAGCAGCAGCAAAAGGGGGGGGGGGGAATAAGAATACAAATTATACTTTTATATATATATATCTTACTTTGCAAAACACAAGATGGCACAAGTGACAGAATTGAATCCTAAACTCGTCTTGCTTTTATAAATGATGCGGTACTATGTATTCGTTCAATGGTCGCCATTACTTTTATTTACGTCATGTCTTTTTTTACCTGATCGAAATAACCAATGGTGGGTGCAACTACCATGACAGCAGACAAGAGTTTGTCTGCAATATCCGACATGTTCAAATAATAATAATAATAATAAACGAGTGGAAAGGGGAGGTCGGTGATAAGAGATATGAAAAATCTTTTTTTCTTAATGGGCTTGAGGTTACATTGTAAAAAAAAAGTCAATCATGTGATTTCCTCTTTGTTACACACCATGACATCTTTTGATAGTTTGCAATTAAAAAAAACCCTTTCATGTTATGTAAGCTTGTTTGGGATGATGAGTGCCTTTTTTTTTTTAAAAAAAAAAAAAAAGCCTGTCACACACCAGAGCGCATGAATTTGACTGTAAATGTTACAAAAAAAAAGAGAGGGCTGTATTTAACAAGTTTTTCTTTTTATCTGCCAATCAATCAACTGATGAAAAAGCAACAAGAAGACCAAGCTTATTACAGACTTACCCATCTTTCGGAAGAACAGCGCATCTTTTTTGAAGAAATCGCTTCCTTACTTCATCCAGAAGCAGTCGCAGGCACAACCACCACCACTGCAGCACCATCAGAAATCGCAGCAGTAAAAGAAGAAGAAAAGAAAGAAGAAAAGAAAGAAGAAAAGAACGACGAAAAAGAAGAAGAAAAGAAAGAAGAAAAGGAAGAAGAAAAGGAAGAAAAGCAGCCGCAGCAGCAGCAACAGAAGCAGCAGCAGCAACAGCATCCACCGCAAGGAGAGGCATCGTTTCTGGATCCTTCTCCTCCACCACCAAAACGTGGCATTGTTGACTTTTTTAAAACCTTGTTCAAGGACGAAAGAAATATGTTGAAGCATATGGTGAATCATCCAGGCTCATCCAAAACCACCTTCTTAAATATCATCAAGACTTACGAGAAACAAGTAAAGGTCAGCATTGACAACACTTCGAAGGGTCCTCCACATGCTCCTATCTTTTATGCCGAGCTTACTTTACAATCCAAAAAGTATGCCAATGTCTTTATACGTACGAAGGGTATGGCTCATAAAAAGAAGGAAGCTGAAGTCGAGGCCTTTCATCGGCTTGTATGTTCGTTGGTTTAAAAACAAGCAATAAACTAAATAATGTGTATATGTGTTTATTGTTTTTTTTTATTTTATTTTATTATTATGATATGAAGTTTTTTCTTTTTTAAAAAAAAGAGAATTTAATAAACACGAGCAAAGGGAGGAACGGGCTTACACTCAGCTTCATCAAGGGTAGTATCAGTGACGGCACGATAATCAAGCTTGACTTCACCGGTTTCCTGGTTTTGCCAAGAGAGAGTATGCTTCATCCAGTTCACGTCATCACGCTCTTGATAATCATCACGAGCATGAGCACCACGAGATTCCTTACGAACAGCAGCAGAGTGCATGGTTTGAGCAGCACAAGTCAACAAGTTTTGAAGTTCCAAGGTCTCTACTAAATCAGTGTTCCAGATCATACCACGATCAGTGACACCCACATCCTTGAAAGATTGGAATACCTTGTCAATCTTGGTGACACCTTCATCAAGAGATTCTTGAGTTCTGAAGACAGCAGCATCACTTTGCATGACCTTTTGCATATTGAGACGAATCTCGGATGTACGCTTGGGTCCCTCAGAGTATCTGAGCTTATCCAAGTTGGCAATGGTTTCAGCACCAGCATCAGCAGCAAAAGGCTTCAAGGGAGTATTGGGTTCCAAAGTCTCGGCAATATGATGAGCAACAGCACGACCAAAGACGACAATATCCAAGAGAGAGTTAGCACCAAGACGGTTAGCACCATGGACGGAAACACAAGCAGCTTCACCAGCAGCATAAAGTCCAGGAACAACTTGATCTTCACCCTTTTCATTCACAGAGATGACCTCACCGGTATAACGGGTAGGGATACCACCCATGTTATAATGAACAGTGGGTAAAATAGGAATGGGTTCCTTGTTAACATCAACACCAGCGAAAATAGCAGCGGTCTCAGAGATACCGGGCAAACGTTCTTGAAGAACAGCGGGAGGTAAATGATGGAGTTGAAGATGCATATGATCCTTCTCGGGTCCAACACCACGACCAGCCTTGATCTCTAAGGTAATGGCACGAGAAACAACATCACGAGAAGCTAAATCCTTAGCAGTGGGTGCATAACGTTCCATGAAACGTTCACCAGCAGAGTTGACAAGGTAACCACCTTCACCACGAGAACCTTCAGTGATCAAACAACCGGAACCATAGATACCGGTAGGATGGAATTGAACAAATTCCAAATCTTGAAGGGGGAGACCAGCACGGGCCACCATGGCATTACCATCACCAGTACAGGTATGTGCGGAAGTACAAGAGAAATAAGCACGACCGTAACCACCAGTGGCAATCACTGTCTTGTGAGATCTGAAACGATGGAGAGTACCATCTTCCATGTTCAAAGCAATCACACCCTTACATTCACCATCTTCCATGATCAAATCAAGAGCAAAGTATTCAATGAAGAAGTTAGTGTTATGACGGAGTGATTGACCGTACAAGGTATGGAGAATAGCATGACCTGTACGATCAGCAACAGCAGCACAACGGTAAGCTTGGCCACCTTTTTTTAAGTGTTAGATATCTGATTGCTTTTACTGTCCAATATATATATATATATATATATGCATGTATTCTAACTTACCCTTGCCATACTTCAAACTTTGACCACCGAAAGCACGTTGATAAATCTTTCCTTCGGGAGTTCTGGAGAAGGGGACACCATAATGCTCAAGTTCAACAACGGTGTGAGGGGCTTCACGACACATATAATGAATAGCATCTTGATCACCTAACCAATCTGAACCCTTGACGGTATCATACATGTGCCATCTCCAGTCATCCTCAGTCATGTTACCGAGAGCAGCGTTAATACCACCCTATTTTTTTTTTTTTTTTTTTTTTTTTTTGAATTAATGCATCTTGTCTAACAGGCTCGCTCGTGTTTTAAAAAAAAAAAATTAAATTACCTGAGCAGCGACAGTGTGAGAACGGGTGGGGAACAATTTGGTGATACAAGCAGTGTTCAAACCTGCTTCGGCAAGACCGAAAGCAGCACGAAGACCAGCACCACCAGCACCGACAACAACAGCATCGTATTCGTGATCAATGATGGGATACTTGCTGGCAATAGAACCCTACAATTCATGTTTAGTTCTATATTATTTTTGTTTGTTTACTTTTTTTTTTATTTTCTCTTACGGAAGCTTCTTGGGCACGAAGAGGGTTGGTGGACATGACTTGCATGGCGGGCTTGGCATAGTGAAGACCACGGGCGGCCATTCTACCGTCTTCAAGTTTAAATTAGTATTCAATGTATTTATGTATATATATATATAAATGTGAGCTTACTGGCAGCACGTAACTAAGGAAAAAAAAAAAGCAAATGTCAGTATAAAAAAAAGACGGCCCTGGAGACATGTTGAATACAAAATAAAACTTACTGCCTTGGGTGAAGAAGATTGCAAGAACTTCAACATCTTTTTTTTTTAAGATTACTGGAAAAAGAAGAGAGGGGGGGTGGGGTTGGTATTAAAAAAAAAATAGGAAAAAAAAGAAGAAAAAAAAAAAAATAAAAGAAAATGTTTTGTTTCGCCGGGCTAAGTTTTGGCAGTGAGTACAGCTAAAAAAAATAAAAAGGGGGTGTGTGAGATGAGGTTTTTGGCGCGCCTAGGAGGGAATTTTCGATGGAGAACGATTACGAACCTTTCCGGTCGTTCAAATCGGAGAGTGTATATATTGTATTATAAACTTGACGGTGTTTACAAGGGACCTTGTTTCTTGTCCACTGTAAATCGTTTCACGTGCAAGGTGGAGGGGTAAGAAGAAAAAAGGTACAAATACCCTTTTTACCCCGCACATTCTGGCTTTCAATTCACACCCGGCATCCCCTCTTTGTTGTGCAGTGTTTATGAACGAATCGACTGTCTAATAAATTCTCTTTTTGAGCTACATACACCTCATAGAGGTATTGAATTAAGTGTTAAAGCATGTATGTAAATAATCATGCCCAAAAATCAAACACGGGAAGTGTAATTGATGCACTTTTTGTTTTTCAAAAAGAGGAACGCGGAAAATCATTTTTGAGCTATTGTGAAACCTTGTCTCTAGGTACACCCTCATTACGATTTTTTTTTTCAATCGGCTAATAATTAGAAAAAGATAAAAATAATAAATTAAATTGCTGTAATCTTTTTAATTAAAATATATTGACAACTTAATGGGTGAGTATAGTGGTTTTATTGTTTTTTTTTGGTACAACCTTAAATGTATAAAAAAGGATTAAACTTCAATTTGTAATCGACTTATTGATCGCATTAAAAAAAAAAAATAAAAAAACTTTTTTTGACATTTTTTTTTTTCATATTAAATTTTTTTTTAATCATATTTACAAAGGATCTTTTAAAAAAAAAAAAAATGTCGCACGAGCATATATAAACATATAGGGAGAAAAACCCCAAATAATAATAATAAAAAAAAAAAAAGTCATAATAAAAAGGGGGGGGGGTAGTAGTAAAAAAAAAAGAAAAAAGAAAGAAAAAAAAAAGAAGGAGGAGGGGGCATACAAAAGGTCTAAATAGATCACTACTTGGATAAGTAATCGTCATCAAATTCTTCTTCTGACAAGACAGAAGACGATAAGGCATCACTGTTGGTAGGTGAATTACATTCTTCTTGCTTTTTCATATCTAAAATATTGGCATATTTACTCTTCACTTCCAACGATTCTACCTTCTTTTCTAACTGTCGCGTTTGATGCCACAATTCATCATACGCTGTTCTCATCTCTCGTTCCATCTCTGGGTTCTGTGCAATCATACGTGACGGTCTACGTGTATTATCCTGTACTATCGTTGGCCTTCTTCTCTCTTCCTCCTCCACTTCTTCTAATTGACTCGGACTTAGCCTCGAATCAAAAGAACTAATTGAAGGTAATGTAGGTGCTCGTCGTTCTGAACTTGTACCTGTACTTGGGGCTATATCTGCTAAAAATGCATTTCGTAGTGAATCCAGCAAGATCAATATCGTGGCAATATCACCTCCTAAGTACGATAATTCTCTCTCCAAGTGATCGACAGCCTTTAAATTTCCTTTCAACCTAGTATCCACTCCTCCTCCTCCTTCTGCGTCTTCTTCGGCCGTTTCGTTTGCATTTCCCTTACTACGTTTATTCGTTCCCTCTCCTCCTCCCTTGTCCCTCTTTCTCTTGCTCGATGAGGTCGTAGGTGATGGAATAGGTGTCACATTCGGTGAACTCTTGGTTTGATTCGCCATATCCACTTGTGTCTCTCTAGCTGCTAATGATGCTGGTATATGTGTGTCTGGAACAGCAGTTGTAGGGAGAGGTGGGAGAGGTGGGATAGCGGTGGGAGGTGGGAAATAATGTACTTGCTCTTGTGGGAATAATGGATATGGTTCATGATGGTAATAATCCTGTTCTTGCATATTTAATTGAGAAGTCCATAGATCTTGATGATGCTGTTGCTGTTGCTGTTGCTGTTGTTGCTGTTGTTGTAGTTGTAGCTGCTGCTGCTGCTGCTGCTGCTGCTGGAATTGTTGCTGCTGCTGCAATTGTTGCTGATAAAGCTGATTGTGTTGCAATTGCTGCTGAGGATGATGGTGCTGGAAATAATTGTGTTGATGCTGTTGAGGATGTGTGTTAGCCCATGCCATGTGTTGTTGCTGATCAAAGGGGAATGCGATCGGTTGCCAATGCATTGGTGCTAGACTGTTGATTTGCATACCCGTGGTAACCATGGGAGCCGTTTCCATAGTAGTGACAATAGGAGACGAAGAAGAAGATGTGGGTGAAGAAGTGGTGGGTTGGAGCATATAGTAATCGGGTTCTTCTTGTCCAAGTAACGGATATCGGTTATTCATTTAATTTTAAATAAAACCTGTAATGTTTTTTCTTTATAAAAAAAGAAGATATATATAAATACACGCGTTTTAACTTTTTAGCAAAGCAAACAAAAAAGTAAAGAAAAAGAAGATGAAAAAAAAAAGAGAAAGAAAGAAAAAAATAAAGAAGGGAAAAATAGTTTCTTATTAAATTAGCGCTCGCGTTCCCTTTGAAAATATATAAGCTTTTTTTTTTTTTTTTTTTTTTTATAAACTCCCGTTTTAAGTTGATCCTAAAAATGGAGTATAGAATACATGTTATCAACGCCACAATCTTTAATATGCAAACATGTGAACAGAAAGGTGGCTCGACTTTTTTTTTTGTTGTATTGAATACCAAAAAGAAGGGTCATGTTACAATCGATGTTTTTTTTTCTTTTAAAAAAAAAAAAAAAAAAAAAAAAAAAACCCAAATTAGAGCATTGAAACGAAGTCTAAAGAAGGTGTGGCTATATTTAATTTCATTAGCCTCATCTTGGCAAGTGTAAAATGGAAAAACTCGGATTGACTCTTTCCTGATGGAGTCAAAGCTCCGTTTGGATCAACCCCAAAAGTCGTCATCATAACACAATTGGACAATAAACTACAGACATAGCAAAATTATGCAATGCCTATCAACCAAAAAATAATAATAAAAGGCTCCTTTATTCAAATGACTATCACTCTCCTTTTATTCTATATCTTTTTTCAATCTGTAATAAGAGACATTTCATCTTGCCAGATATAAAAAAAAAAAAAAAAAAACAAGATGCATGAAAAAAAAAAGAAAGGGTATTAAGGTTATGTATGCATGTTACCCTAACACTTTCCAAAGTAGCTCAGTGCTCCTTTAGGCAATTTTTGTCTTATGGTTGCACGAGGGATCTAAACTCTCTTTTTTTTTTTTTTTTTTTTGTATGTCTTCTCCTCAGATTAGATTTCACACTGTCACTGGATAAAGTGGCATTTAATTGGACAGTATACAAATAGATATTATGTTTCCTGTTCAAACATTGTTGTTGTAACATGTAAACTGAAACAATAAGAAAACAAACTGTCATATCTTTCTTGGGTTACTCAAAAAAATCGTCATCACAAAAAAGAAAATTGCCTTCTTGGGTGTACCATCCGAATGTTTGGACGTGCGCCATACATTTTGATTTCCCTGCATTTTTTTTTTGCATGTTAGTAACTTTTATCAGATAGCTACCTTTTTTTACTGACGTTGAAAAAAAAAAAAAGTGTGAAATTAATATGCAATTATAAATTAATTTTTTTTTTTTACTTGATGTATATATTTATACCAGCTATTTTAGTATCACGGTTAAATTGACTTTTTTTTTTTTGGCATTTTGATAATAAGGTTTTCTTTTTTGGAAGCTGTATCTCTTTTACTCTATTTGTTATAATATTGATTTTCCATCAATAATAAATCTAATTTTACATAAATGGTGACACGTTGTACAATGCATACTAAGGGTACACAAGAAAAGAAAAGAAAAAGGCGCTTTTTGTATTGTAGTGCGAGGGATGAGAGGGGAAATTGGAGGCTTGTGCATTTTTGACACTTTAAAAAAAAAAAAAGCCTCAGGGGAAAAAAAAAAGAGACACACGATACACGACACGCGTGCGTACGTGCATATGTGCGCGCGCTCGTAAATAACAAGTGAGAAAACAAATACGCAATCAGAAAATAGAATCTCCGGACTCTCGGAAAATGGGGTGCATCGTGTGGAATTCAGAATGAACTTAACTAGTGCTGAAACAGGGTTTTTTAAAGGCTGTGATACAAGCTAGCACTTGATAGTGTTTAGCGGGATGAACAATTATATATATATTTATATATATTTTTATACATATATACACACACGAGTCTCTTCAGACGCGTGGTCCGAAATAGACAAGGGTCACAAAAAAACCAAAAATACATCTATAACGTGTAACATTCAACCCCTTCATTTCTTACCCCTCCACCCCCCTAAACCCACCCACCCCCTTTACCGTTAATTGTTTACCGAGTTTTTTTTATGATTGTTGTGGTTGAGCAATCTATTTATACATTCTTTAATTGTTGACGCTGCTATTTGCATAATATGTAACAAGCAGTAATTAACCGGATTTTAATCAACTCGGAAAAAGAAAACGATATTAATAAATAAAAAGCGGTTACTCAAAAAAAAAGAGGAGGGGTGGGTCAAGATTACGCCCGTTGGGGGAATAAGGGTGAAATGCGTTGATCTTTTTTCCATTAAAGCAATAAGGGAGAAGATGAGAGACAATTATTGTTTCTGCAGAAATAATGACAGCATAATACATGATGTAACCCTAGTTACAAATATATTCAGTTAACCGAGAAAAACTAACAGAAAGACAAAAAAAAAAAAAAAACGGATTGCGCTTTCCACTCGATCGGTTCTGCCCAAGGGGTAAAGAAAGGGTCAAGCCCCATAAATGCCAAGACTAGTACATACCAATGGAAGTCCCTGTTTTGTACCACCATCGGTTGCACAAGAATTAAATAGATGCTTCTTACATGTTTCCTTTAATATTAAAAAAAAGTAATGACTGTTTGTTTATATATATTACAATTTATTGCTTTCTTTCTTTTGAATTGCCCAATAAGCGTTGATTTCTAATGTAGTAAAGGAGGGTGATGGTGGTGGTGGTGGTGGGGGGAATGCAGATATAATACTATTACTACTATTATTACTTGGCAATGCCAATAATGGCCTTTTCTCTCTCAGGCACACGCTTAACCGCATCCAGTTTCTTGGAGTGTTTACGTCTTAAATCATCCTTTCGCTTCTCAGCCTTCAAAATTTCCTTCTTTGTACTATCAGCCAACTTGATATCCTTGGGTGTTCTTCTATGCTTATCAATTCTACGGATCTCTGTCATGTGACCGTATCTCTCCTTCAACTTTTGAGCATATTCCAGCTTATGCTTCTCACGCCAGTCCTTTACGCCCATCTTTTCATTAGCATGTGCCTTCCAAATACGGATATTACCGTCATCTGAACCTGACAACACATATTTACTATCCATCGAATACTGCACTGCAAACACACGTTGCATACGCTTCGTATGGTAACAGTCTCGACTATGACCCTTTCCTACATCGTATAAACGGATCGTACGATCGTATGAACCCGTCACAATCTCCTGACCAGTGGGCGAGTAATCCAAGTCCATACTATTAAAGAGAAAAAAAAATTAGTCCCTTCATATATACACATTATACTGCACATTCACAACTTACATGGCCGACACATGATCCTTCATGACGTTTTGCGCAGACTTCATATTTCTCATGTCAAAGGTGTAAGCATTGTGATCTTCACTACCAGTGGTAAAGATATACGCTTCCATAGGATTCCAAGCAATGGCGTTGGTCTTTAAGGACATAACCAATTTGGATAATGGTTTACTTGTTCTTAAATCATAAAGTACCACAGTACGATCAGTACCACAAGAGGCAAAGATGTTGGTTTGTACTTGGTTAAATTTAACAGTTTGATACGAATCGGCACCCCAAGCAAAATCATGAATGGGTTCAGATCGAGCTTCATCCCATACTTCCACAGTACCACCAGAGGTAGCAAAAATCGACTCGGAACGATGATGGGATAAACCTGTAAAGGCATGCTTACCCATGTACGTTTCAATAGGCTCAGAGCCTTCTCCCCAGACTTTAACGGTTTTATCGGTGGAGCAGGATAAGAAACGACCATTGTCTTTACCGGAACATACACCAGAGACCATGCCACGATGACCCTGAACTCTCCAAGTCGTCTTTTCTTCGGACAATTCCCAAATACGAATCTCTCCATCGCCCGAACCTGAAATCATGCTGTTGAGTTGAGAAGGATGTTTCGTCATACAATAGACACCGTCAATGTGTCCATTCAATGACGACACAAAAGGTTTGGCGAATAAACGATCCAACTTGACTGAATTTAAAGCTCTGGTGTATTCTCTGCCTTGTTCAAATGGATGAGCACTGGGGTCCAAATTACGTTGTACTTTATGAATATCTTCTACACGTTCACGCACATAATCGTTGGAGGAGCGAGACAATACTTTGACTTTCTACATTTATTGAAATATTAAAAACAAAAAATCGGTTTTTTTTTTCGGCAGGTCCATTCATACCATATTGTATTTTTAAAAATCAGAGTTGCAAAAAAAAAAAAAAAGGTATATGCAAAAAAAATAAAAATAAAAAGAGTGTATGAATATATATGGGGATAAAGTTCTGCTTTAATTTTTTTTTTAAAAAACAAAAAAAAAGGAAAGCAAGTCAAAAATTACAGAAAAAGAAAAAAGTGGCTTTTTTGTTGTTGTTGTTATTGTTGTTGCATGTTCCAAGCACCGCTTGTCATCACATTTTTTTTTTAACCCAGATTTATCTATGCCAATTTATACTCAAAATTTTGTTGTTGCTGATTCGCAGAATCGTACAAGTGTTGTTGTGGCGTCATCATGGGCTCGTTATTTTGTTGTTGTTGTTGTTGTTGTTGTTGTTGTTGTTGCTGTTGTTGTTGTTGCTGCTGTTGCTGTTGCTGTTGTGGATCGACCATACCTGCTGGAGGAAATGACAACATATTGTTGGAAGGGGTATAAACCTTGACATGAGTAAAGTTACTTTGACTTAACGAAGGATGAGGCGTATTGGGCAACGACTGACTATGAATCGGATGCAACATTTGACTATTTAAATAATCCACCTGTTGATTCCCATTATTAAAAGGTGTTGTATTGCTATTTAACCCTCCTGTTGTTGAGCTATTATGATTGGCTGCTGAATACTGAATCACACTATTGGGCGTAGATAACACGGGCGTCGTCACTTCATGTGTCTTTTCATGCTTCTTTAACGATCTCGAGTGATAATACGCTTTACCGCATCCCTTGGCAATACAGATAAAGGGTCGAACATTCGAATGTGTCTTGATGTGCGTCGTCAATGAATCAGGTCGCGAAAATCGCTTACCACATCCCGATTTAGAGCATACAAACGGACGTTCTCCTGTATGCGTTCGAAGATGGTTGTACATTTTGTGTCGCTTTGTAAACGGTTTTTGATTACGCTGGCAATTATCCCATTCGCAGCAATACGTAGGCTGCAAAGAATATGTGCTGTCAATAAAGCTGTTTTTTTTTTTTTTTTTTTTTTTTTTTTTTGCTTGTGTGTAATATCTTACCTTGCCGCTACCGACATGAGTCTCATTGATGTGAGCAATCAATTTTTGCAATTCAAAAAACAAGTGTCCACAGCCCTTCCATTTACACTGAATGTGTATCTTGGAGGGTTCCTCTGTAGCCGTCGTCAATAATAAAGGCGAGACTTCTTCTTCTTCGTCATCTTCCTCTTCATCCATGGTGGATTTATCTTCATCCATCAAGGGTATGACAGCTGCTCCACTTAATATACTAGGAGAAACATCCTCTTCCCTGTCTTCTTCATCCTCTTCCTTGTCTTTACTACCCGCCGTCACCACCAATTTAGCACTTTCCAAATGGATCAAACGCGAGATCAATTGTTCGCGTGTCATATTCTCATAATCCTTGGCTGTGGTTCCCTTGGGTTGCAAGCCTAATTCTTGAGGAGTTGGAGGTGGAGGCAATGCAATCAAACCCAACTTTTGTTGTTGTAGTCTCTTTCTATCCTCTTCTCCATAATAACAAGGATCGATGGCTGCTGCAGACCTTGGTGTATTAGACATGATCAAATTCTTGGTCTCAATGTTTAATAAAGGAGGAAATGAACTAGATACTGTGTGTCGTCTTGATTTCTTGATACGACTTAACGCGCCTTCTTCATTCACTACACGTTTTGTACCTCGCATGGAAGATTCATCAATAAATACCATTTGCTGTTGCTGCTGCTGTTGTTGTTGCTGCTGCTGCTGCTGCTGCTGATGGAATTGTTGTTGTACAATGGCATTATGTAAAGAGATATTATCACTCTTAACTTGATGCACAGGACTCGATGAGGCAGAAGGGGTAGTAGGACTACTCAGACTCGACATTTGAGATAAAACAACATGAGGCGTATCTTGTGAAGTGGTGGGTGATTGGATCAAATCGGTATTCACCGTCAGCATTTGTCTTGCTCCCGTCATCATGTGCTCATTCGTATTGCCGTTATTGGACTGAGAAGGGACTTGATGTTGCATTAAATGCTCATTCACTGGATGCATAGATTGATGAATTAAATGATCAGTGGTATGCATTAGATGGTCACCCCCAGATGATGGCGCCGCGTGTAATAAATGTTCTGTCGATTGAGGCGATGCCTGCTGCTGTTGCTGCTGCTGTTGTTGTTGTTGTTGTTGTTGTTGCTGATGATGAATCAAGTGATCAGTGGAAGGATTACGTTGCAACATCAAGTGTTCATGAGACGGTGGTCGCAAGTTGGATTGGGGCGAGCCTTGATGAATCAAATGCTCTTGTTGCAATAAACGGTCCGTGCTTTGCGAAGGTACTTGGTGTTGACCATGAGCCAAGTGTTCTTCTCTTTGTGTAGAAGGAGGCACAGACACGCCATGCTGCATGCCATGTTCCTGCTGCTGCTGTTGTTGCAAGATGTGTTCATTAGAATGTTGTTGCTGTTGCTGTTGCTGTTGTTGTTGCAGCAAGTGTTCGTTCTGCTGCTGTTGTTGCAATAAACGTTCATTTTGCTGTTGTTGTTGCAATAAATGTTCATTTTGTTGTTGTTGTTGCAATAAATGTTCATTTTGCTGCTGTTGTTGCAACAAGTGCTCATTCTGTTGCTGCTGTTGTAACAAGTGTTCACTCTGTTGTTGTTGTTGCTGTTGCTGTTGCTGCTGTTGCTGCTGCTGCTGCAATAAATGCTCATTCTGTTGCTGTTGTTGCAAAAGATGCTCATTCTGTTGTTGCTGCTGCTGTTGTTGTTGGATTAAATGTTCATTTGGGTGTTGGAGGATATGCTCTGTGGACTGAGAAGGGACTTGATGTTGATGCAAGATGGCGAACTGCTGGGCGATTTGTTGGGCCATGACGTGCTGCGCAGCAGCAGCGACTCTCTCTTGCTCTTCCTCTAGGTTACATTGATGCTGATCCAAGGTGCGTTGGGAAGGTACAATGGGATGGTGATCAATATTGGGTTGAGAGCCCAACATGTCTAGCATTTGATGCTGTTGTGACATTTGCTGTTGCTGTTGTTGCTGCTGTTGCTGTTGTTGCTGCTGTTGCTGCTGTTGCTGCTGCTGCTGCTGTTGTTGTTGTTGTTGGAGAAGCTGAGGTTCATGCTCAGGATAGGACAGATTGGTAGTGGTATCAGGATAATCAGAGGGAGTAGAAGATGTGGCTACAGCGGTGTACATTTGACCTGTGGTATCATGAGACATGTTTTCCATGACAGTTACTTGTGGTGATTGATTTGACTAGGAAAAAAGAGGGGTAAGTGACTATTTTTTTTATGTGCTTTTTTTTTTTATTTTTTTTGGAGTGAGTAGACAATACCATGGTCATGACGTTCATTGGAGTAGGTGATTGAGTGTTATTGGTATTCAAAGAGTCCATGTCGTTATTTGATGTAGAGTACAAATGTTGTTGTCTTTGAATAGGAGTTGTATTGTTGCTGCTGTTGTTACTGGTGTTGAGCGACATGGGATCAAATGAGCCTTGGTTAGGTGAATAATAATTATCTTGTTCCATGATGTTGTCCCCGAAGGGAGGTTCCCCTTGTTCCTTTATTTTCGAAATGGTGTTATTTTCTTTCTATTATTTACAACACACAACACACCCCCTTATTTGTATTTATTGAGAGTGATATATTTAGTTTGGAAATAAAATAAAAAAAAAAAGTAGCAAATTGTGTGTGTGTGTGTACACCTCTAAAAGCACTAGTGAAAACTGTTGTATGTAAGAAAAAGAAAAAGAGTATGAAAAAAGGATTAAAAAAAAAAAAAGAGATAAAAAGAGAAAGCCCAGAGGCGGCGATTGAATCGTTTTGTTGTTGTTGTAACAGAGTTACCGCACGCTCGCCCCCCTTCCTTTCACACTAAAATATACATCTTTTTTTAGCTTTCTCCAATTAAGAGAATAAGGGAGACAAGTTCAATTAGACTGAATATGTGCAAAACATATATTTTTTTCTCCAATTAATAAACAACAGAAATAGAGCGGGCTGGGAAAATTAAGATGCGTAATCTAAAGTTCCCCAAAAATGACGAAATAGGTTGTATAATTTGTATTATAAAAAAGCAAAAAGTCACAGTTGTGGCGTGTGATTTATTTTGTTGATTCACTTACTATTTTTGGGTAGAAAATATGGCATCATAATTTGAAAGACTTTCGAAAAGCACATTGTGTATTACCTTAATTATGCTTAATTAAAAAGACTCAACATGTGTGTTCAATTTAATCAACATATTTGTACCACGCTATCCTCTTAATAAGAACGTGCTCTTACTTTCAACACTCTGACTGAGCTAAAAGATAATCATTTTTTTTTTATTTTTTTTGGTCCGGCAGAAATAAATGTTCTAGAAAACACTCTTTTCCACCGTGTTCTTTTTATTCTTTCTATTAAAAAAATTATATGTCTAGTAAATATTATTATGGTTCTTATTGTAAATCGAAAGCGCTAGATTCTCGCTTCTCTTGAATGGCCTGTTGATACACACGGAGGTAATCATACACCGGTCCTCTTTCATTCCCTCCATCCCAGCCCAAGGCATAGGCACTCGTCATCATTCTCAGCACATATTCCTCATGTAAAGATTGGATTAGCTCCATCTGTGCATAGTCCTTGGCTGCACGTCTTACCGCATCAGATAACTGATGATTGCCTTGCTTAGCTGTTGCATCAAATAGATATGCATTAAACCGATATGCACTTTGAACTGTCTTTTCTTTTACAAATACATCAGCTGTATATTCATCCACCTGTCTATCCACCAAGAACTCTCCCATCCCACCTGTACCTGTAGAGATTACACCCGACCCAAACAATAATCCTTCTGCTGCCACCAGACCAAAACTCTCGGTAATACTAGGTACATAGACAAAATCAGCAGCCGCTCTGAAATAAATCAACCAGTCGCGTTGTTCTTCCGTGTGGGTCATTAACACCACATCCTCTCGATGATTCTCGGCCAGTTGTTGTACCCATTTTAAAGGGTAATTATTTGGTTGACCAAGAATCGCGAACTTCATATTGTGCGACTTGAAAAGACGCGTTGCTTCCTCAAATGTCTCCAAACCTTTATTGTATTGAAATCGACCAACAAATAATACAAGAGGTCTATTCAAGTCTGCAGATTGAAGTATGCCCTTTTCAACCAAGTAAGCTTTGGCTCTTTTCTTGGTGTCCGTCACATAATCACTGTCTTGCATGGATAAGGTCCACTCTCGGGGTGTCGTATCATCCTTCTTATCGATCAATGCCTTTGCATAACTAGGGTAATTTAATCCATGATCGATTAATTTGGATTCGGTAAAAGGATTTACCCCACCCTCAAAGTCGAGTCCGTTGCTAATCCCAAAAAATTGACCCCGTTCTGCTTTGCGTAATAAATTCTCCATGACAACCTCCTTCAAATAGAAATCCAGTCTTCCTTCCACCATATCTTTTGCCATGCTCTGACTAACAAACGTCACACGGTCTGCCAAATCAATGGCTAAAGGGGACATAAATACCTTATCTGTGCCAAACGTATACGGAGCCAACTCTTGCTTTGTAAAAGGTGTATTGGAGAATTTCTCTACATTTTCTAGTAGGTTGGTATACTGTAATTCATCCAAATAATCATGCATAGTGTAAATAATGGAAGGGGGTGTGGGTCCTGTTTGCTTTTCATATTCTTTTAGATATTTAGCAATATAGGCATTGGTGGCTCCATGCAAATGAACGATATCCACGCGAGGTTGAGCTACATGCAAAGGATCAAATAAGGACTGTTCATGTTTACCCGCTGATTTCCAAGTGATGAAGGAAGCCACTGCTTTATCAAAGTAATTGTCCTTCCATTCCTGAGGCAAATCCTTGGGCGAAGAATAAATTTGTGTAATGGAACTGGCTCGAAAGGCCTTACGTAAGATACCGGATTTAGCAGGACCGATCAGATAAACCTTGACGCTGTTGGGTGACGTCCGTGCCCTTTTAATTGAGGCCAATTTCTCTTCGGCTGGTAATAATTCGAATCCATCAATCGGATGAAAATCATACACGAGCTCGGATACTTTAAATTCAACCTGTTGCATCTTTCCCTTTTCGTTGTTCATTGTAATCACAAGATCCACCGTCTTTTTGATTGGATATTGTTCTTGGGTTTTCAGGATCGAATAGTATGGTAACACGACGTAAGGGGTGATTTTGCCCGTGTGTAATTGCGCTTGCGTGATGGCTGTCAATACCATGCCCATCCCGCCCATGGTGGCTGGACCGAATTCTTTGGTCACATGATATACCGTGCTGTCCGTTGCTAATTCAATCGGCACCGTTGTATCCAATGGTCTATACAAAATCTTGGGGTAATTTCGAATCGCTTTTCATGTAAGATACAATTAAGTTTGTGTATGAGGATATAACATTTATAAAAAAAAGGAGGGCATATTCTTACTAAATGTAACAGGTCGTGAGGCCAGAGACAAGAGAATCGCATTGGTGATTAAAATAATGATTTCTATAAAGGCTATGCAGACAAACAAGACGGCCATATAATCCCACCAACGCCACCGCTTTCTTGCACTTGGCGGTGTAAAGAATGAGAGTGACGCATTTGGCGCAACCGTTGCATTTTGGTCAAGTAAACCTCGTTGTCGTATAAAACTCGGGGAAGTGTCTTCTTGTATTGTTCCCATGGCAATCGCATGACTTTCTTTTCGCACCATCTCTTTTTTTATTTGGTAAAAGAGAGAGAAAGGAAAAATTCATTATTTTTTTTAAAAGACCGTTTTTGTAACTGTGTGTGTGTGTCGTTGCGGGTGACTTTTTTGAAGTTTCTTTTTTTTTCTCTCTTACACTTTTTATCATGGCTGTACCGCGTGTTCACCAATCGGCATTTACACCTGGAGAAATCGAATTTGTTGCAGGCAATGAAAAAATTACTATTATTCCTAAGGCCAAAATGAGTAAAATGTCTCTAGTCCAGGCATGTCTTTTTTTCTTACTTGTGCAAGACGGTTGGACTAAACCCTTTTTTTTTTAACTTTACAGGGAAAATCGGGACCCTTTCAACCTCCTTTAACAGCTGAAGTCGCAATATGGTTAGCCTTAATCATGAAGAAGAATAACAAGTGTAGTATTGTCTGTCCTGACTGGCTCAGTCTTGGTATGTTCTAGTTTTTTTTTTTTAGTCTGTATCTTTATACTTACTGTTTATCCCTCCAAAAGAGTTTTTAAAAGCAAAACATGAGCATGAAGAACAAGATCTAGACTTTAGTACCATGCCTTTTCATTACATGGAAATTGCTCAAATGTTGTTGGAAACGTAAGACCATATTATTAATTGGCCTACCTATTTTTATTTTTTTTTAATTATATGTGTCTTAGTGCTCCTGATGATATTCCCAATGCCGAACAAGTCCGTACCATTTTAAAAGATATCCGAGAGACAAGACAAGCCAAAGCAAGATTGGGTATTAAAGAGTTAGACGAAAGCTGGCTTGGTGTAAGTATTCTTTCTATATATATATACATGTGTGTCCTTTGATCTAAAGACATACTATCAAAGATGAAAAATTTCTCCTGTATGGAAGTGAATGAGGTCAGACCCATCTTTTGTCGTGCATACGACGAAATTAGAAAACTTAGTGAAATAGACGATGTGGAAGAAGAGGATCAAAGTACGCAAGGAACCAACACAACTTTTTAGGATACCCCCACCCTCCACACCTCTTTTAAAATTTATTATACATAACGTGGTAAAACAGAAAAGGGTTGAATAGGACTGGTGGATTCTAGTTCAAGTGCGTAAAATAAACAGGCTTTTGTACGATCTAATCGATCCGTTTGACGATATATCTCACCCAAATGGAACCTATACACATACATATTTTTACTCATTGAGTACTTTTCCATATCATATTAAAACATTGTCTATGACTTACCAAGCTTCTGCACAATCCCATCCATTTGACTTGGTCATGACATCCAAAATACCTTCCGCGATCTCTTTACTTTCTTGTGACAAGTGCGATTTAGCTAGCCAAAGTCTACAGGTCACATCATTTGGATCAATCACCAGCGACTTGTAAAATGCCGTCTGCGCTTGTTCCACATCCCCTTCCGCTTCTAATAATTGGCCAAGTACACACCATACCTGGGGGTTCGTAATCCAATCCACATTCTCTGCTTCCTCAATTGCCTTCCTCGCCTCATCCAACTTACCAAGCTTGATAAACATCTCAGCTGTCAATAGCCATAAATCAGATAAAATACGGTCCGACCGCTGCTTGCGTTGTACTGTACGTGTACTGGGCTTCGTGGGTATAACAGACGGCTGCAAAATCGATTGTATGCTCATCAATGAAGGTGTCATGCTCTGAAGTGATGCAACTGAGTTTCCTGCAAGACTTTTTAAATCTACGATTGTATGAGTCTATATATCCTTTTCTTTCTTTCTTTAATAACTTACCGTAAGGAGAGGCAATTGTGTGTGCACTGGTATTGCCATTAACAGCCGCACTAGGATATCCTCCATTTTCTAAAGCTTTGTTTCGATGACTTGTACTTCTGGATCCAAATAAATGTAAACCATGAATATGATGATGATGATGTCCTTCTCGTTTACTTGTATCTGTACTTCCATCTGGTACAGACAATAAGCTTGTGTTTGCTTGTGCGGTTCCACCAGGACCTAAAGGAGATGGAATCGCTAAATTCGAGGCGGATCTTGCTCTTCCCACTGTCAAGGAATGTCCCGAAGCCATATTTACATTATCATGCGACCTCGAACCTAACAATTGAGAGGATAAATCTGTAGATGAAGAAGCTACAGGATAATGCTGATGAACCATGCTATTACTTGCACTTCGACCTCTTCTTCGATTCTCCGCCGCAATCTGTAACTCGCTTAAATTACCCAACGATCCTGAAATAATCATACCGTTATGCGCTCCACCATACGAAAGACGATCCTGGCTACCGTTACTGAAGGAGGCTTCGGGAATAGCAATTTTTCCATATTCCAAGAATAATTGCTCGCTGGATTCAAGTGCGGCTTCGGGACCATGGATGGCATAGAGTAAAGAAGTACGAGTCATTTGAAACATCAAGTGGTGTTCAGCCTCTTCGTGCCCATTTCCATTTTGATCTTCAGGGTCTATTGTATTATCCAATGCAGCTTGTTGTAAACCCATCTCACAGGTCTTGAGGGCCTGCTTGTAATCTCCGTGCACAGGACAAGAGACAATCAAAGTCAGTAAATGCCAACAAGGTAAATAAGTAGGATTCATCTGGATTGCTTTTGTCACGGATACAACTGCTTGTCGAATATCGTGCATGTCCGCTTGTTGTAAAGCTAATTGGTAATAGGTCTCCCAAGCGTTTGAATCAAGCTCTAGTGATCGCTTCAAAAACACCAATGCCTTTTCGTGATAGGTAGGTCGAAGTTCCGGATCAAAGGCTTTAAAAAGAAAGAAAGGGTGTGAGTTTGAAAAAGAGCAAGTGGTCTAGATGTAATTTTCTTACTTTGACAGCCTAATAAGCCATAGGCAATGCCTGTAGCACGATAAACATGAGCTCCAGTTTCTAAAAGTCCGGACAAACGTTCTGATTTAGGTTGCTTTTGATACATCTCCTTGGCAATTTCAGCCATTTCGACTGCATCTACACCACGTGAGAGATCTTTACAATACATTTTGATGGCTGTCACAAGCACTTCCAAGGTATCTGCTACTGTCTCCTTTTCTGAGTTTTTAATATCAGCAATATTACTAATCTCTCCAGCCTCAATATCTTGATCGTCTTGAATCTCTGGTCTGGGTTTGGGTACAGCCATATTTAAGCCTGTCTTATCCGTGGCCAGTGCCTGACCATCTCGATGAGTTTCCTTCCAACCGTGTGAGACAAGACCGACGAGATAAAGGTAGGCGTGTAAAGCATGTTCAGCCTCATCATATTCTCCCAAACGAACAAGAGCACGAAACAAGTGTCTTGTAATTAAAGGAGAATTGAATGTTCTCTGTGAAGCCCGATCCAGCGCCTCTACAAATCCACGTAAATCATACGACGTGGTACCAATCAACTCGAAATCACTAGCAAATTGATCCACGAAATCTAGCACACGGGTATTGACTTCACCTGCTCTTGGTAAAGGCACCTCTAGATAGAGCATCTTTTCGTAAATGGTGTGTAATTGAGACTGCTCGACAATAAATATTTGTCGCTCCAGTTGAGGATCGGCATCGGTTGTGTTTGTTGTGCCGACAGGTAAACAGTACTCTCCTTGTCGGTAAACGGTGGAGACGTAACGGAGTGAATAACGGGTGATAATCATACGTTTTTGAATGCGCCATGTGGCGGGTTGAAGTGTAGTGGTCTTTTGGTATTGACGCATGAATTCTAATAAAGAGGGAATAGCCACCGGTGACCTATTAAACATGAATTAGTTTTTGTTCAGCTTCTGTAAGACTGATCTGTTTACAATTACATACTCGTACCCTTCTCTTAATCCAAGTAAAGTGGCTCTGTACAATGCTTCCTCAGACCATTCGACAAAGGTCTTACCTTTTGCTTGTGGGTTCTCGGAAAGTAAGGATTCCACCCCTTCATAGCTCTGAAAAGCAGCATCTTGATTTCCAATCATTTCAAACGATATAGCTTTTTACGCAATGGACATAAATTTCCAGCCTTATTCCATTTCAAATATCTTCTTTTATTTATTTACCTTTAATCACACGTGCCTGTAAAAACAAAACCAATGCATAACCTTGACTCACTTGTTCCTTTTCAAACGATAATTGAGAAATAATATCCACAGCTCTTCCATAATCACCACATTCAAAATAAGTACGTGCCAGAATGATCTTTGCAAACTAGCAGGCTATGTAAGTAAAAAAAAAAAAGAAAAAAAGAAAAAGATAAGAGACATTTTTTGTTTGCTTACTTCTTTCTCGATGAAATGCTGGTTATTGGGGTCCGATAATTCAATAGCAGCTTGTAACTGGTCTTGAATCGTCTTCAGTTGCTCTGGATCCAAACGATCCTCCATGCTAATATGGTGAGGAGCATCTGTCCTGTAATTCACCGCTCTTTTAGAACGTGTCATGGCGAGTGTTTGAATAAGGTTGGTTTCTGCTAATACGGTCTGTTCCAAAACTACAGGAATTGCAAGTTACTGAATAAATGGTTGTTGTAAGTTTTCGTTCAACTTACTTGCTCCTTCCGAGTTGTACTTTCTATATCGTCTTGCTAATTCAGCAATGGCAACCCAGTTACCATTACAGCGAGCATTATCTATATCTTTTCCTATTTGGATGGCTTTTGCAGACGCCATTGGTGTTCTTATGATTGAAGAAATGGTTTAAAAAGAGGAAAAAAAAAGCAAACTAGAAACAAAAAAGAGAGTCTGGGTTTTGTTTTTTTACATTAATTTTCTAAAAGAGTGCATAGACTACAAATCCTACGTAGTTGCACGTGTGTTTTACCGATGAAAAAAAAAAAGTGTTTTTATACCGAAATAAAAAAACTTGTAGACGATTGTCCTTTCTGTTTAAAGAAGCATTTGTAAATAAGCCTAAACGTCATCACATTCCTGCTTTGTGTGTGTGTAAGTGTGTGCCAATGCACAGTGACACAAAGGGGACTATTTCGCGCATAGTCAGGCTGTCAAAACCTGTTCCTCCCCAAACATATAACTTGTCAAAGAGCAAGAAACCTGTTTATTCTGGTATCATTGAAAATGTCAGTGTCACCATCGGAATAGAGTGGAAATTACGATGCAGCACTTAATTAATATAGATGGGTGTCTGACGTGGCAAAAGTAAATAAAATAAATGGAGATTATGATAATTTATTAATAATAAAGGGAGCCAATATAAATATATAGTACATTTTTTAGAGAGTAATAAAATTTAGATTTTCAATAAAAGAGGATAGGTTTTGCATTAAGAAATAGGGAGGTTATTACACACAGTAAAAAAAGAAGAAGAAGGGGGGGGGGGAATATAGCTGAAAGAAAAAAAAAAAAAGGGCGGGGGAACGTACATTGAGTTTAAAAGTAACTAGGATCATTGCCATATCGACGACCACCAGTTCTTAGTGAAGGTTCTCTTCTAGGAGGAGGATGTCGATCTCTTGCACTGTCGTTATTATAATAATAATCATCCAAATCATTTTCTCGGTCGTATTGCTGATGATGAGCAGCAGTTACTCTTTGTGGTGGTGGATCACGTTGTAGATATCCCCTAGCACTTCGCTCGCTTCTAGGCGCTGCTGTGGAAGATGGTGGTGGCGGTTGATCGTTGTAATAACGTCTGTTTGGACTCTTTGGTTGGTCGTCATAGGGACGTTGATAGTTGTCAACTTGTGGCTCTTGGTAACGGTTTGATGATCTTGCATCTCTATAGTTGTTATCTCTTTGATAACGATCTTCCTCCTCGTGATAACGATCGTTTCTTGCATTGGAAGGTACAGGAGGAGGAGGAGGTTGTGCTTGTCTCAATTCTTGTCGTTCTCTTTCTCTGCTTGATATATTTTTAGGGTCGGAAGGGTTTTGTTCCCATAATCTTCTTCTTGAAGGAGTTCTTACAGGTCCATTGCTATCTGCATATAGATCTTGGTGTTGAACAACTGACTTTTTTCTGGCCACTCTAGGTGTATCACCATCAAATAACCATTCTGGTAAGCGCAAACGTTTCTTTTCGTAATATTCCCGAAGAATTCTGGACACGTGAGTTTCTCCTTCCCAATCATCTTCATCAGAATCTGTTCAAAAAAAGAAAAAAAAAAGAAAGGGATTCAATAAGGAGTGGCACACTATTACTATCTTTTCCTATTACCTGCACCACGATCATCACGGCTTGGAATTTTATCAGCCATAGTTTGTGTAGCTTGCATTAATTTTCCCCATAATTTACCGGATTGTTTAGGTTTCTCATCTAAAATAAACAAACAATGTTAATTTAAGCTTTTTTGTTATATCTATTGTCATCTTTTTTTTTTTTTACTTTTTTCACCCAGCTGTTTCCATTTTTCATTCTGCTTGACCTTTCCCCATAGTTTTTTACCGGTGGCAGGCTGGTCCTCAGGTAAATTGGAGGCAAAGTTATTGAAATAAATAGACTCTTCTGTTTCAGCGTGGTCTGGATGAGCGGAAGATTTCGCTAATCGGGATGACCATTTGGAAGGTGTCTGTTCCACCGAGCTAAAGCTGGGACTAGTGGAAGACGAGGTAGTGGAGGACGCAGAGCCTGAAGAAATAGTTCTTGCGTTCAATTGTAAAGGTGGTGGTGATTTTTGATATTGGCTTGGTAATGTAGGCATAGCAGGTCTTTCAATCGGACCACATTTATGACGAGCTGGGTATAATCCAACGTCTTGTCCACAATCTTTACATAGCACAATCAGTGTTGACACTCGATAATCGACTGCTTGAGCTCCCATTTTATCTTTTTTGATTATATATTTTATAGAAAGAAGAAACAAAAAAGAAAGAAAAAAAAAAAGAAAAGGGGATTTTGTATTTCTTGAATAAATGAAAGCACGAGGGGATCTACTTTGTGTCACCGCTCTTCGGACCTGTGACTTTTAACCCATTTACAAGCAAAATGCTTTTGAGGGAGGCGGGGTACAAATTTAAGGGGCGAAAGACTTTGGATTCAAAGTCAAGCAGTTTTCAGTAAAGCCATACTTTAGTAGAGGTCTGTCATCATGGTCTAAACCATCAAAGAATTATCTCTCCTATTTTCATTGTAATAAAAAAAGCACGTGATTTTTTTTCTTTTTCAAAATAGTGCCTCGACACCTACTACCATATCTAATCGATACATAAACCTAGGATGTTTGCTTAAAACCCCTCCTCCATCATAGCGTACCAATGACCATATTCAAGTGTAATAGCGACCCATATTCTCACAAAAGTCAGACTGCAACCTTTTTTGTGTAAAAGGTAATATATCGTGAGATATGAAAGATATATATTTTAATTGTCCATTTTAAAACAATAAAACTTACTTGCTAGAAAAGACTTTGGTTCATATATTCTAAATTAAGGTATTTAAGTTATAAATTTCAGTACTTAAAATCAAGCTGCTCTACTATAAGTTATCAGACATACAAATCCGTGAGTGTCAATTACATGTAAACTATTTAAAATTATGAGCTACAGCTCGTACTTCTTTACCTGGTGTTTAGAATAACTCGGGAATAACATTTTACGTCTTTTGTTGACAGGAGTTCTAACTCTTCAAAAAACAGTGACCCTTTTGCTGCTTTTATTTACACCTACAGAGCTGTCTATTTGTCAAAGTCTTCAGCAGGATGTTTGTTGGTAAATCCGGTATCATGCAAGGTAGCACGCATATTGTGTGAAATACAGCACGTTGTATTCACATTGTCAATTTTTAGCTGGTCTAAAAGGTAAGTGAACTTGTATTTAAATTTTCAGCGAGCCATCAGCATCCTTAAACCGAAACTTACAGGCGTCCGATACACACAATGCCTTTTTTAAAAACGGAATGATCAAGTTGGAAGTACAGGCAGAAGCGTGTGTGTTGTACATCAAGAATAAAGAAAGTGATACAAACAAAAACATGGGAAAAAATATAGATATCAAAAAGTCTCTGGGTCTATGAGAAAAAACTATAAACATTTATATTAAGAAACAAATGATCTTGGGATAATATGAAATGAATTTTATGAGTAAATAAAATGCAATAGCTTTTTTGATAATCATACCAAAGTTATTTGGTCCTTATAACCCGAGAGGGACCAATAATGTAATATATTAATTTTATCAAGTGACAAATGCGACATTTTTAATCCCGGCCTAAGAGATCGTATTAATTTATACTCATAGTGTGATGTGACGATAGTTTTGTTATCAAAATCTGTGAAAACCTCTCAGCAGATGTTGTAAGCTCCCCATAATTCAGAATTCCATATGGTTGTCAGCCTGACCCGACAAACAATTTGCAATTGTAGCGTAATTACATATAAGCATTCGAAGGATGATTTAAATCTGACCTAATTAATGCTTGTGGAGTTCAAGCCATCTATTAATTAATTATTTTAATTGGATATTTTTAAGTTGCCCACGGGTATATATTATAGCCCATTCAATGTTTGTTCGTTTATCTTAAATGAAGCTGTCAAACTTACCATATTGCTAATTGGTCTCTGTCTTACACCGGAAATGAATACAAGAGCCCGCCAAATGTTCTCAACGATGGATGGAATAAGGGGCTTTTGTTAGACTTAAGCTCAAACTCCCTCTTTTCGCCAATTGGTATCCGCACCTATTTGTTAAGATGAGCCGTATTACTGTATTCTAATATCAGTATATTTTACATTTTTTAAAAAAAGTGGTGCAAGCGACCTTCCAGAATGTTGACTTACATATCTCGATCAATAACGTCATCTTTCGAGTATAACAATAAAGTAATTATTGCATCACATAAGAAAAGATAGTGAGATAGACTGTATTTACAAGCATTCATTCTCCCGTAGCCTCTGTTGACTATATACAATAGCACTTGAAGCCAGACCAAGGGTCAGGGTAAAAGGGGTAACTGCTGATATTAAAGTCCATACAAAGCAAGATATCACTTTGTAAGTCACGAAGTCCAAAAGCGGGAGATCTTATTGCCTGTATTTTTAAAGGAGCACCTTGCTAAACTTTACCAAATCTCTCTCTCGATAGAATCAAAATTCTTGCCACTCTCATTCGGGAGACAGTTGAAAAAAGACAAGAACAATTATTGTAGATGATGTATTAATTACTATTCAAGTTTCTTTTATTTATGTCATTACATGGAAAGGTTACAATTGTGCATCATTGGCGGAATTAAAATGATGGATTGGCTCCCCTGTTACTTACCCCACCAAAGATCGAAATTCTATTGGTTGTACCATAATACGGCCATTTTTTTTTAGGTCTTTTCATGTTTTTTTGGGGGTTTTAGACATTACATCTTTCTACCTTTTTCTCTCACCATGGCATTGCTGTCCGTTGCGCAAATAACTAGTCAAGTTCGCAATGCCATTGCTAATAATGCAGCCGTCTCAAGTTTTTTCCCGAGCCAACGCAAGGTGATTATTGCAGACAAAAAGGACGAAAAGAAGAAGGCAGTATTACAAGAAAAGCCCGAGATTGTTGTATATCCTCGTCGTATCAAGGCAATCGAAAAGATCATTGTGACTTTGGCTGATACGACTACACAGCAATTAACAGGAGGTATTTCGGCCTTAGATATGCCCGTGACACCACACTATGTAGCCCCTAGAGCGCCTATTGTATTATGTCATGGACTTTACGGATTCGATAAAATTGGACCTGATGCTTTACCACTATTACAAGTTCAATATTGGGGTGGTATTGAAAATGCATTGGCCAAACTAGGCGCAAAAGTGATTGTAACCAAAGTCCCTTCCACCGGCAGCATTTTAGAAAGAGCTCAAACTTTGCATGCAATTTTGAAATCAATTTTAGACGGAAAAGAAGTGAACTTTATTGCTCATTCAATGGTAAGAAAAAAAAAAAGGACAATAAGATGGGGTTTTTAGGATTAGATACTAACCGTGGATTGAATAGGGTGGATTAGACTGTAGATATCTTATTTCACATATTCCAGATAGACCATACAAAGTGAATTCGTTGACAACCATATCCACACCACATCGAGGATCACCTGTGATGGATTGGTTTAGAGATAATGTAGGCGTTGGTATGGCGGGATCTATACTTGCGAATGCAGCCAACAATAAATTATTAAGAGACCCATCCTTTATGGAGCCATCTTCATATGCGGCAGACAAGTTTAATCAACAGCATCATAAATGGTCATTACTTGCCGAACTAGCCAAAAATTCACCTAAATTTGACCCCGTGGTGAAGAAGATGATCAGCTTAGTGGATACAGCAGCCTATGCGAATTTAACCACCGACTACTGCACCAACTCATTTAACCCCAATACGCTCAACGATCCCAATGTATCCTATTATTCATATGGAGCCAGTGCAACATTTCCAAGGTGGTCATTATTAAATATGCCATATAAATGGACCAAAGAGAAAGAAGGGGAGAATGACGGACTTGTAAGTGTGAAGAGTGCACAATGGGGTAAATATATCAAGACCTTGGATGCCGATCATTGGGATCTGAATGGACAAAGGTGAGTGTAGCTACTATTCTTTTGGTCCCATTCCACTTTTATATTAAACGGTTTCGATTAGGTATCGATGGAGACACACAAGACCATTTATAGATAAGACCAGGTTCAATACGTTAGACTTTTATATGGAAATGGCAACTCGCTTATACCAACAAGGCCATTAAATCAATGATGTACCACCGGAGTTTATATCATTTGTGCCCCCTTCGTTCACTCCTACTCTATGTGTTATAAATACACGCGAGTGCACAGAACCTTTTTTTTTTTTTTTTTTTTTTTCTACTTTTTTTTTTGTTAATACATACTTTTTCTCTCTCCTTCTTTTTTTTATCATTCTTAAAAATGTCATTGAATTTTAAAAAGAAACAACGAAAGGCTTCTGGTGATGGTGCAGGCTCTCAATTATTTGAAGAAGATGAGTATGCTAAAGTCATTGAAGGCATTAAAAAAATCTATAAACAAAAAATTAAGCCCGTGGAAGAAACGTATAACTTTGAAGGTAATAGCAAGACGACTTTCTTTTCGAAAAAATAGAAACTCTAAAAAAAAAACTTTCAATATAGGCTTTCATTCGGCACCTTTAACTGACTCTGATATTGAGGCCAAACCAATTGTACTCCTTATTGGTCAATATTCCACTGTAATTTTTATTTTATTTCTTTTTGAGGGAGGGGTTTAATTGTACCTTGTTCATTGTCTAACCAACGTTAAAAAATGACTAGGGTAAAACTACGTTTATTCGATACCTATTGGATAAGTCCTATCCAGGTGAGCATATTGGTGTAGAGCCAACCACCGATAGATTTGTCTCTGTCATGCACGGCACAGAAGAGCGGGTAATTCCAGGTAACGCTGCTGCTGTAAACCAAGAATTACCTTTCCGAGGCTTAAACAGATTTGGTCAAGCCTTCCTCTCAAGATTCCAAGTGTCTCAAACTAATTCACCTGTTTTGGAAAATATGACGATTATTGACACACCAGGTATTTTAGCTGGTGATAAACAATTGACTGAACGTGGCTATGATTTCACTCAAGTCATTGAATGGTTTGCCGAAAGAGCCGATTTGATTCTGTTAATGTTTGATTCTCACAAGCTCGATATCTCCAATGAATTTAAGTTGGCTATTCATAGCTTAAAAGGACAAGAAGAAAAGGTTCGGGTTGTCTTGAATAAGAGTGATATGGTAAGTCAACAACAATTGATGCGTGTTTATGGTGCCATGATGTGGTCTCTTGGTAAGGTAGTACAAACACCTGAAACAATGAGAGTATATCTTTCGTCTTTCTGGACAGAAAAACCACCCAATTGTTTCGAAGATTGTCGTGAATTGATCGAAGCAGAATCAAAAGATTTATTAAAGGATTTGAAAGAGTTGAGAAGAAACGCTGCCATCCGAAAGATCAACGAAATTGTGAAGCGTGCACGTTTAGCAAAAGTCCATGCTTTAATTATCAGTCACCTTAAAAAAGAAATGCCTGCCATGTTTGGTAAAAAGAAGAAGCAGGACGCTTTGTTGAACAATCTCGGCGCTGAATTCCTCAAGATCCAACAGCGTCATCATTTACCATCTGGTGACTTTCCCAATCCAGAGCGATTCAAACAAAATTTGGCTCATTATGATATGGATAAATTCAAGTCACTTAAGGAAGAATTAATCGATCGTGTTGATGAGGTATGTCATTATATGTCAATAAATTACGATAAAAAATTAACTGGGTTGGATTGCAATAGGCACTTGCACACGATCTTCCAAGATTGATGTCCCAATTCCCTACGATGAACCCTGAACTCAATCAAAGCGAAAGAAACCCTTTTGCTGAAGCAGGTGGTATTCCTGGACCTGGAGAAATCCCTCCCTCTTACTGGAACTTTGATTCTATTGACAAAAACTCTTATTTACCCAACTTTCAGCGCTTGGGCCCTCGCGAAGGCAAGGTGTCTGGTGCTGATGTTAAGCCTATTTTGATGGAGAGTGGATTACCCACAGAACAGTTGGCCCAAATTTGGAGACTAGCCGATTTTGATAACGATGGTTACATGGACATTGACGAATTTTGTATTGCCATGCATTTGATCAAGGCAATGCAGAACGGAGCTCAGTTACCTGATAAATTACCCCATACTTTGATGCCTAATAGAAAGTTTTAAAGTCTCCTTTTTGGCGAGATATAACAATTTTTGATACAATTTAATAATAACATAATATAAATATTTAATGATAATGATATCTTTATGACACGGCAACCAACCAAGCAATAATGAGGTAAAAGAGAAAGAGGGGGTACACCTGTCAAACAAAACAAAAACAAAAAAGAAAGGAGAAAATCAATTACATGTATGACGTTTTGACATTTTATACTCACAGCTAAGGCTCTTCTATTACTCAAATGCGCTTTTGACTCTGATAAAAACCCAACAGATGCATAAGTTGACCAACCAAACGCAATTAAAGAGCCTGGAACTCTAAACCAGACAGTTTCTACAAAGATAGCAATCATTGCTACTACAACCAAAGGGAAAAGACAGTATCCAATAACGCAAACAGATTGAAAAAACGAGCTGAACAATATAGAAGCGAGATTAGAGGAGTCTTATTAACAAATATAACTTTCACTTACACAGATCCACCAAGTAACTTTGCATTCAGTGTAACTACAGCCGCACCCAACCATACAATGACAAATACGCCAGTAAAGATAGGCACAGACTGGTCGGAAGGTACGCTTGTACTGAGTGTACTGAGTGCAAAAAAAATAAATAAAGTCAACACTCGCATAACAATGACATGAAAAATAGAACTTACATTGCTAACGCCAAGCATAAAATAAGAGGACCCCATAAATCCCAATCTTTTAACACACTTCGATCACCATTAGGATGTAACACCTGTTGTAACTTTTTTCCGACTTGCTTTACATCACGAAGCTATTTCAAAGAGTTCTTTGCTTTTTAGTAGCTGTATATAAGCAACAGGAACCGAGATACTTACAATAGTAGCAGATACAGGTTCGTCTAAAGTATCTTCACCAGTATAGACAGGGTTGTAATTTGTGCTTTCTGTTTCAGCAGCAACATTAGATGAGGAAGGAGCAGCGGACCCAATTGATCCACTAAGATTGGCAAAAGGATTTGCAAAAGGTTGCTGTTGCTGTTGCTGTTGTTGTTTTGTAGAAGATTGTCCCGTCAAGTCTACGTCGGGCTCAATACTTCTGTCTTGTTGATAAAAGTCAAAGTTATCTTCTTCACGCGCAAATGGATTATCGTACATTTGTTGTTGAGTATGCGATAACATTTTTGTTTATGGCCAAGCAAAAAAAAAAAGAAAATGTCTGCCTTCAAATTTGGACGATGTGGATTTTTTTTCTGACGAATCACATTCACTGACTGTAGCTCAATTTACCTTTTTTGGGTGCATCGCTAAGCTCCTTCGGCATACTTATAGGGCGATGATCATCTACGTATTTTCTTGTCCTTTCTGTGCATAATTAAAATATACACATATCCTTATAGAAAACTCATACTAATTTACGCGCTAAATTTCACATGCCAAAATGTGAAATAGTGAGAAGCTCTTTCACAATACGTATCCAAGGTCTAATGGGCTATCACACGAGTTCGTGAAAGTCACCGTTAAGAAGTTAGAAAGAGAAAATGAACCATCCATTCATATTTGACTCTGACCCACGAAAAGGTCTTATATCAACGGAAAAGAAGCTAAGGGATAAAGAGATAGAATCAACGAGTCAGCCAAGCCCATGGACAATGAAAAAACAAAGTCGTCATTATAATGCAAACGCTTTCAATTTTCTGACTCTACAACAATGCTTTGTTTTCATTTCGTCCCATTGGTTATCGAAGCAAAAAAAAAAAAAAAAGAAAAAAAAAAAAAGAAAGAAAGCACTAGAAGGAAACTGTTGCTGTCTGACTGAAAGTACAATATACAGAAATTTTTTCACTGATTTGCAGAATGCAATTCGTTTATTCTACAAGTTGTCTTCTTGTCACTTAGAGCCATAAGTAACACACACGGAACTGTTCACCGCTTACGCAATCGTGTTAGAGCTGCTTGTTAAATGTGCCACATATCATAAGGCAGATTTTTCAGGCCTACTATCTCAGAGCATCCATAGATAATAAAAGGTGCTAATCAAACTGTTTATAGAGCTTTAGTTGAAGAGCTCGAAGGATAACATGGATGGAAAGAGTACGATTTGGTTAAAATAGGAAATTTGGTTTTAATTTGGTGCGTTTCAATTGGCGGGAATGAATTATCGCAGTTCCTAAAAGGCCGCCCCGAGAAAGAAAAAACCATGTTCCTTTTTTGTTTTTTTTATGAACATCCTCACAAAGAAATCAAGCTTGTTATTTTCAGCAAGGACCTCGACTGCAAGGTTCTATAGAACTACAGCAAGAAAAACTATTAGTAACAAAAGCAAGGTTTTTCTCGCAGGAAGTGCTCTTTGTTGTGGTGGAATTGGCTTCAGTTGGTATGAATCTGACACTGAAGCTCGGCATGTGGCCTCTGCCATTCACAGAATGAGCATTGCTACCAATATTGGTGTAAGTGTTGCCGTTGATTACAAGTTGACACAATCCAAAAACTATGATTCAGAAGAAGAGCGAGTAAAAGCAAAGCGACAATGTGATCAACGCTGTGCAGAGAGAGTACTGATAGGCTTACAAAAATTGGGTGGTATTTATGTTAAATTGGGTCAACATGTATCTGCCATGACTTATATCCTTCCAATCGAATGGACAAGCACACTGGCTGCACTTCAAGATCGTTGCGATCCTACCTCAATCGAAGACATCGAAAAACTATTTATATCAGACTTTGGATTACCATTAGATCAAGTGTTTGAAGAATTTGATTGGAAACCACTCGGCGTTGCATCTTTAGCACAGGTTCATAAGGCAAGGTTAAAGAAGGAACATTCAAACTCGAATGGCGATTGGGTAGCGGTCAAGTTTCAGCATCCTCGTCTGGACGATTTTTGTAAAATTGATTTACAAACTGTATCGTTTCTTATCCATACAATCAAGCGTATATTTCCTGATTTTGGGTTTGAATGGATTTTACAAGAAATGCAAGAATCATTACCTCAAGAAATGAATTTCGAACACGAGGCACAAAACTCAAAAACGCTGCAAGAGAACTTTACTTATGAGAGAGAGCATCATACTACTGCTTTATGTATACCTAAAGTTTTATGGGCCAAGAGAAGAATTTTATTAATGGAATGTAAGTATGGATAAGTTAGAAAACGTCAATCCGTATAATAATGCGATCCGTTCTATAGTTATGGAAGGAGCCCGTGTAGATGATATGGAATATATGGAAAAGCATAATATTGATCCAAGTCAAGTATCCACTGAAATTACAGAGATTTTTTCCAAGATGATGTTTTTGGATGGGTAATTGATAATTTAAAGAGCCAATCTAAATCAAGCTCTAACTAACCTTACCTTTTTATAGTTTTGTTCATTGTGATCCTCGTAAGTATTAAGCTGTTATGAACGTTTAGATCCAGTTATTAACCGAAAAAAATATATATTAGATCCCGGAAACATTCTTATTAGACCTGCCAAAGATCCCAAATCCAGATTCAATTTTGATGTTGTATTGTTAGATCATGGCTTGTACCGTACGTTGACCGAGGAACTCCGAACCAATTATGCTCATTTATGGACTTCTTTAATACGGGGAGACGAAGAGGGTATTCGAAAATACTCCTTATTAGTAGGGTGCAGACCTGAATCACATCGTCTGTTTGCCTCCTTGCTTACAGGTCGCGAATGGTCAACAATTTCATCAGCCGATCTATCCACAGACAGAACCGTTAACGAAATCAGCCGTGTCACTGGTCAGGCTAAAGGATTTTTGGTTCGTATCTATGATATTCTCGAAACTTTACCCCGTATTATTCTTTTATTGTTGAAGACAAGTGATTTATTGAGAGGGTTAGATGAGACTTTACGAACCTCGCACGATAAGTATATGACTTACGCATTGATGGGAAGATTCTGTGCCGAGGCTGTCTGGAGGGATGCAAAAGCCAATTTAATCAGTCGTATCAAGGAATCGCCAAGTATATCTACGACGTGGTCGCTCATCAAGAACTTACTTTATGCCTGGTGGGAGTATCAAAGTTTAGAATACGGATTAAAATTATACCAACTACAATCCAATACGCGCGAGAAGTGGCAACTGTTATGGAAGCACAGCGTAGAAAAGAAAAAGAAGCAGGAGGCCTTAGACAGAGCATCTGTAGTAGATGTTTCGACAAAATTTGAAATTTAATTTAGACTTAATAAAATATAGAACTGTACACCGTAATTTCAAAATATATATGTTAAAGACATGAAATGATTCTAACAGAAAAAAAAAAAAAAAAAGCTACAGGGAACTGGAAAGAGTGTAACAAGTATTCCCAATATTCCTAGATAGAAAACAGGTTCAAATAACAAACTTTAGAATTAACATGGCTACTATTTAAGATATTCTTTTTAATTTTGTTGTGTATTATTAGATTATGTGTCTTGTCGAAAAATTTACAGATTATAAGTAAAACATCGCAGAAGAGCAGACTAAGGTTTATTAATAGTCCATTAAAACGTAATTATAGTAGCTTTCGTAATTTAGACCATAGCGAAATAAAAGTATCAGAGTATTCAGTAGTAGACCAAGGCAAACAGTTTCGAGAGTACATCAAGGCAGTCACTTTCAAGAGTACATCAAGGCAGACAGTTTCCATATTACACCGAGGCAAGCAATTTCAATAAAAGTATTCGCTACAGCCACGTAGTGACTTGAATAAGTTAGAGATGAAGATGTTGAGATGCGTGATTTTACTTATCTTTGGCAGTGATTCAAAAAAGAAAATAGTAGCCCAAAGGAGTATAATACCCAACGTTAAACACTGTAGACAAGTACTTGCCAATTTCGAAGTTCCTTCCTTCCTGAATGTCAAGCGTATCTACAAGGAGTAGCCACAAGGCATATTTACCACAGACTACTACGATAGGCAACTTCAATGAGGGAAGGTTGGATAACAATGCGTAAAATGATTCACAATCTCGACCAGCAACCCGACCTTGATGTGTACTTCCTAACAAAGAGTGCGGTTCTTTGTAGACAATAAAATGTGAGTTTCAAAAGCTTTTTCTTTCTTTTACTTTAAAAAAATAAGGCTACTTACTTCGCACCCAATGCAGTCGATACACGACCAGGAGGTTCGAAGACAAGTATACGCGCACTGTATAAAATGTCTACTCCCCTCTCATAGGACTATTTATTAATAGTAAGGGATCACCACCGATTAACATTTCACCCAAGTAAACGCACGAAATTAGTCTAAAATAAAACTTATTAGCTAGCATTCCTTGTGACAATGCCATTGTGGGATATTCTGTTGTTAAAAGAAAAAAGAAAAGAGTAACAAAATTCATTAGTGCGTGGCAACCAGACTCTTATTGCTGATATGGTAGCGCTGATAAGATAGTTGCAATAATTATCGATTTAATATAACCAAATTGATAATTACACACTACTTTGTTTTTTGGCAAGTTAGAAAAAGCAAAAGTTTTACCATGAACACTTTGCTGTAAACATAAAAGTTGAAAAGTCACCGTATATATGAAACACTGAAAAACTCAAGAAAGTATACTAATCTAGATAATTATTTCTGCAATTGGTTTTTTTTAGGATAGTGTCATTAGTTGAGAAGGACATCAATTACACAAAGCTGTCACTAGAAACTTTCAATTGCATTCAAATGACTTAAATAATCTTGATAAGGCTTTATTTCAATGAGTACATATTATAAAAAGTAAGCATCAGAATGCAGTAATCACTGGGTGTTTAATGATCATGTCTTTTGTAGCATTGGGTACATTACCAGACCAAAGGTAATATACCGATTCTCTGTACACTTCCTTTCTTTTTACTGTTTCTAAGTTAAGTTAGGAATGGTGTTCGTACATACTTTCTTAGGGTAATCTAGTCGTTTTTTGGATCTTAGTTTCATTCGTTGTCTTTTTGCTTTTTGATTTTCTGCCTTTCTGTCATTGTACGAGATTTTATTTGTGTTTTGAAAGCAAAACAGTTCAGCGTTTTAATAATGATAAAGGACTAGGCCTCCAAGAAAAAGGTATTACAAAAAGTCTATTGATTTAAGCAAAAAGACATAAGATTAAAGAGAAAATATCAATGACGTTAAAGAAAATAGTATGCTGTGGATTCAAGCATTAGAGTTCACTCTTTTTTATCTGAAGGATTTGAACAGCACCTAAAAAATAATAATTCAAGGTTCACGTATGTTCTTTTTTCTCTTCATAGCCCACTTGTGAAAAGACGATGGGGTCTACCGGAAATCCATGAGTAGTTCTGAAGATCACAGAAGAGTCCGAAATTTCTCTTCGTTAATTGAGCTGACAGTGTTGGTGGGGATACTGTAAGCAAGCCGTTAATCGATCCCAGAACTTCCTCCGGCAAACTTCGTGTCCACAAAGAGGCGTCTAAAGAGTAATTAGCAAAAAAAATTGGGGATTAGATCCCGTGTTGTGATGCAAGGTAATTATATCAGGGTTCTGGCACATATGCACTTCCCTGAGAAGATACGTTTAGGCTTTTGGGACAGTGTAGAGAGGCTCTCCACAAGTTTGAGAGACTTTACCCAGTTGATCAGTACGGGTAAAATTTTTGCATTTGTAGTCAGCCAAACGGCAGAGCTGGTCATGCTTAATTTAATAGAGGTCATAGCACTTTAAATAGTCAACGTATTGTTGGACTCCGCAAAACAAATAGTTATTTATACTAGATCATTTTTCGAATGTTAAATTTTTTTATGGAAACACCTAGGCTAAAAAAACTTACTTAAACAGAGTAAATGCGGACGAATGGGCGAATAGTCGTCTGGGGGTAAGCATCCGTTCAAATCTGAGCGGATAGTCGTCCGTGAGCGAGTATCCGTTCATTTTGGGTAAATAAACAATGGTACACAAAAAATAAAATTACTTCATTTACTCAAAAAGGGCAAATATTCGTCCAGGGGTAACTGTTCGTTCATTTTGAGTAAAATATAAACGTTGCACAAAAATTTAAGCTTTTTTATTCGTTCCATTTACCTGCAGCAGACGAGTATTCGTCTATGGGCGAGTACTTACTCACATTGGGTAAATAAAAATTACTTTATTCGTTCCATTTACCTGCAGCAGACGAGCATTCGTCTATGGGCGAATACTTACTCACATTGAGTAAATAAAAATCACTTCATCCGTTCCACTTTCCTGCAGCAGACGAGCATTCGTCTATGGGCGGATACTTACCCAGATTGGGTGAATAAAAATTGAGATCCAAACCTTAAAATTGCTCATTCATTCCATTTACCTGAAGCAGACGAGTATCTGTCCTAATGTCCTGTTGTCAAGAAGCCGCGTATACAAAAAAAATTATCTGCCTCCAGTCATCCCTCCGTCGTAACACCAACCTCTAAAAAGTACATATAAACGGAGTCTTTTTTTTTCCTTTTCTTTTTCTTTTTCCTTTTTTCTTTTTTAATATCTATTTTTTATCTTTTTACCTCAATAAATCAGTTTTTTTTTTAAAAAAAATTTACTTTTATTCGTTCTTGTTTCTCGTAACCATGTAACTGAATAAACGTCTGGGCTTACTTCTTTTGCAATTACACTCTGGTAAACTCACCATTCCATCTCTGAAGTCCCTCCCCTTACTTATCTCTCTTTAAAATCAGCATAGACAGGTGTATAAAGGCCGTGCTTGCAGTGTACTACGCCAGTGCTATAAGTAAGTGTTTTTTGTTTATGGCTTTTCCTTTCTCTAATTATCTCTTCAGACTTACGCTTCCTGCTTTTACCGTTGTGGCGGCTACTCTGTTTAGAAAAGGAATTAGTACGTATCAATTTTGAGTCTTCTTATCATAAACTAACCTAATATTCATTTAGAAAACTTTGGTTATCTCCCTTGTTTTTAGATTATACGTTGCTTCCTACACAGAATAATCAATGACTTCATGTTATGCCATGTACCGTTTACTTTTTAGCTCATTTAAGTAGTAATCCTTCTACATAGCAATTTGTCCTCAAGTATCAAAATATAAATAAATCTTACTTTCATTCTTTTAAATAAAATATATAATCAACTTTTAAAACTGCAAACCAATTTTTTCAAACGAATGAATGTATTAAATGATTCAATATGTATAAACGAAAGTTTTTTTATTTCGCTGAAGGCTGAAAGGGAGAGCTGATTTTAAAATATACACCCCCTTAATTATGCATTTAATCCGGTTTTTTTTTTTTTTTTTTTTTTTTTTTTTTTTTTTTTTTTTTTTTTTTTTTTTTGGGTAAATGGGTTCACGCTTACTATAAATTCGTCTAAACGAGTAAATGGGTAAATTTACCCAATTCACTTTTTTTGGGTAAATGGGTAAACACTTACTAAAAAATTCGTCCAAACGAGTAAATGGGTAAATTTACCCAATTCGTTGTTTTTGAGTAAATGGGTAAACACTTACTAAAAATTCGTCCAAATGGACGAATCAGGCGAAACATTATAGCCTTGGTGAGTGGGTGGCAAAGCCAACGTGTCAGGGTTCTCTTTAAATCCCAAGATATTGGTATGCCTCCAACAATTCTTAATTGTCTCAGGTGTTACCTTTAACCAAGCATTGGCCAAGAAAAACATGGCTTGCACCTGATTCATGTTGTAAACACCCAAGTTATCTAACTGTTTGCTGGCGAACAAATCGAGACTTCTCATGTACTGTTGGGAGCGAAAGTAAGCCTTAAAGTTGGCAATAATTCCTAAATAAAGTGAAATAAAATTAGTACTTCGACTTAAAAAACAGTATCCTTGTTTATTTTGTCTACCTGAATCGAGAGCTTGCAACATACTCGTTGTGTTGGCAGGAAGAAACACCAACTTTATGTTCACCGGCTTGAACTTCAACTTATGCACTGAGGCATTGTCTAAAAGAAGAGCCACTTTTCTACCCTCTCTACCAAAAGCATTGTCCAGTTTTTTGACATAAGCCGAGAAGATCTCGGTAGTCATCCAAGCTTTAGGCGAGTGGGGGTACTCCACGTATCGACGGGTACCAATGGCTGTCATTGAAAGCATTTTCGGGTTTTCCTTGAAGCAACGAGGGCTTTTGAATTGCCCAATTACAATGGGATGGCCTTTGTACGTACCATCCGCATTGCAAAGTAGCCCCACAGTTACACAGGTCTTACTCTTCTTCAACCCACCAAGTGGTTGTGAGCAAATTGTTCTTCTTGGTGGTTGATTGTAGTACAATCCGGTCTCGTCGAAGTTCATAATATCAGCAAGAGGATAATCCGTCAA